CATGTTCCTAAACTGACCCGTATGCGCAAAAGTATATTATGGAGAGCACAAAATGTCTAATTATGCACACAATGTGTATATTGTATGAGTAAGCACGTTGTCAGATCATGCTTATACAATTATTACCCTTTTCACAGACAACCGTGGTGTATTTCATAAACTGTCAAGGGTTGTTCTGCTACTACAAATGTGTGTTTCAGCATTTGAGACCTAAAACAAGTCTCTTGTGGTTGAAAACACTGATCATTTGTGATTTATGACAACCGCGGTGCGTGGCGCTCCGACCACCGGTGTACTAATAGAGGGTTAATAAGCAGCTGTAGACTGAACTAAAGGCAGAGATGGTTTATGTCTGTTTGCAGTGATATTTAACTTTACTTCATTATAAACAACAGACACGTGCAAAAGAAGAGTTTAGGTGCTCGAGCACCTGCCCTTTTTATCTCTCAGAGAGGAAGTTCCCTCTCCTTTGCACAAGGATCACCTTTTTTGCAAAAAAATAAAAATAAAATAAAAAAATAAAAAGTGTATGTATACGAATAGAGTTTGCATGTTCTGACACATTTTTTCAGAAGAAAACCCTAATTAATTAATTTTTTTTTTACGAGTGAGTACAAAATATTTTCCATTGGCCAACTTTAACGTTTAGCCCTGTAAAAGTCTGAAAATTAGTTCATAATGGTCTTAATGTTTCAAATTTGATTTGAAACCTGCAGAAACCCTGTAAAAATGAAATAAATTTTTTTTTTTTTTTTTTTTGGAAGAGTACTTTAATTCTATTGTCATATTGGCACAATATAATGACTGGCATACAATTGTCTTAATGACAATAATATTGTATATTGCAATATGTTTGTGTACAATGTATCGCACAGCAAAAATTAGATATCGCTACTGGCCTGCGTATGATAGATGTTGGCAAATTGATCATATTTCCACTCAAACAGTACCATACATTTACCTTACAGTGCCAACACAACAGTCATCATCCTATCTAGAACTGGCTCCTCTTTACTGTTGTACCTTCTGCACAGGAAAGCCCAAACTTTCCCACACTGTGGATTCAAAACAAACAAACAAGCAGGCAGGCGGTCAAGCTTTTTGCGTGCTGTCTGACTCTGAACTTGTCATTCTTGTTTTGTATTGGTGTGTGTAGCAGATCTCTTCTTCTGCTTTTTCCTGTTGTGGCAGTTGGCTTTGCATTAGCATGTGCTCCCCCTTCTGGCCAGTTCTCACATTGCTATCCATAATAATCCAAAGTCATACCTTTTATTTTAAAATAAATAAATAAATAAATAAATAAATAAATAAATAAATAAATAAATAAATAAATCAACACCTAATCTTTAAAAAGAGAATGTTAAGACTATTAGGGATAGAACAATGCAGATTGCTCAGTGTTTGGTTAGTTTCATGGTTTTAATGTTATCGTTTCAGCATGGTTTGGTATCTGATATCTTTAGTAAAAAGAACAGGACACTGTTAAATAACTGTAGAGAAATCAATCTAGTCTACAAGTAAAAATCACAAGTGAATACAATATTGCTAGGAGACTACAATAATAAAAAATAACAGTAGTTTTCACTAATAAAAATAATAAAATATAACACTCCATACTAGGCATGGGCCGCTGTAAGATTCTGATGGAATGATAACCTTAGATAAGAGTATCCCGGTTTGATGGTATTTTGATTACTGCTTTAAAATGTACTCTTTAAATGTCTGGGTACAAAACAAATAAATCATTGACTTCTTTTGTCTTAATTAGTTTCAAAAACACAGATTTCTTCATAATTTTATTTTTTAAATTACATCTTTGGACCTCTTTAGTGCTGGAGATACTGTTGTCCTAAAAAAAGTACATTAAAAAAATTATTTACAAAGCTATTGGATGCAACTATGAACTGCTGGAAGAGTTTTAATGGAAGTTCATACCGCATGCTAAATGTGTGTGTGTGTGTGTGTGTGTGTGTGTGTGTGTGTGTGTGTGTGTGTGTGTGTGTGTGTTAGTGTGTTAGTGTGTTTGTGTGTGTGTGTGTGTGTGTGTGTGTGTTAGTGTGTGTGTGTGTGTGTGTGTGTGTGTGTGTGTGTGTGTGTGTGTGTGTGTGTGTGTGTGGACTATCCTGTCGTAAAACGCGGCGAAAAGTCCTACATGATGGTAATAATTCGATAAAGGTGTTTACATGTCTACTGCACTTCAATAATGCGGTAAAATCGGCATACTTACATCTTAATTCGATTTCTCTTTAGTTCGATTATGACCTTAATCTGATTAAATTAATAAAAATTGCTGTTTACATGGTTGACGTTTAATCAGAGTATTGTCTTAATCGCATTAAAATCAAATTATTAGTGTCCATGTAAACGTAGTCACTGTCAGGTCTTGATGCTCAATTCCAGTTTGTTGCCTATGTCTGATTTATTTGCCTGTCCATTTACATGTTCTTTTAATTGTGACCATATCCGATTCATGTGTTTACACTTGCCATACAATTTACGACATCACGTATGCGTGAAGGCAGGTTCTAGCTTCTGCTCCACACTAGCCACGATGGAAGAAATTAACTTGCTTTTAGCTTGCGAAAAATGCAAAGCTCACCCAACTTGAAAATGATTTTGAGGCGGAGGAGGAGGGAAAAGGATGTTATCGCAACTTGCCCCTATGGTTTTTTATATGGTGATCTCCTCCATTCAAAGGAATTTGTGGGTACGAGAGAGACCTCAGGTCTGGTGAGAGCAAATTGTGGCAACTGATCCCTTTCCTCCCCTGTGTTTAATCTGTTGTTGTTGTTGTTTACCGCGTCTCCACACACGCTCTTTCTTCTACATCATTAAATCACGGAGAAGGACCATATTGTCACAAATTTAATGACGGACAAAACAGAATGCCTCAATTAATCCGATCTGCCTGTTTACATGATAGTCGCATCATCACATATCCGATTTATATCTAATTTTTATTTCCACATATGAAGGTGGTCATAGAACAGATCGATCTATATCACATATGAGCAAAGAATCATAATTGGGTCACATTTAACTGGCAGTGTAAACTGGGCCTTACCTATAGCATAGGGCTGCTCAATTAATCGTTAAAAGATCGCGATCTCAATTCGACCCCCTGGATGATCTTAATCCAGCATTTCTACGATTCTGTCAATCATATTTTCAAGTTCAGAAGAGAAGAGAAGAAAAGGCGGCTGCACGAGTCTTTTCATTGTTTCACACACGTTGCTCATTGACACCTCCAAATGATGTTGAATGAGTCACATACTGTATTTATAAGGTATAATTCACCTAAAAATGTCATTTTTGTCTTCATATAATGATGTTTTTGCGGCCGGGAAATCACACGTGACGTGAGCTGCTGACCGTGAGCTGTTATCACAGAGAGGGCGCGTGTGTCTACTTTAGTGTACAGAACCTTCATATGTTGCGAGTAACAGGTAATACATTTGTAAATAATATTCAGTTTGTGGCACAGAGTTATTGTTTGAGGGCCGCGCGTAAAGTATGAACAAGTACTTAGCAGTCAAAATGAAACCGAAAGTGTGCACTTGATCACAATGATCATATCGCATTTTAATGTTATGATTACGACAAGCATTTTATAAGTTTTTTCTTTCGTAGCGAACGCATAGTTTTGCATGAAAATAAATGTTTACAATGTCAGTATAACTACTCTACCCTATATATTGTTGAATATAATCTGATAATGGCAAATGTCTGATTTTACCAGTGAATAAATTTGTCTAATATGACAGATTGCAAGCATATATCTCAAACATAATAATTCAACATCAGAATTATTATAAGTAGAATAGAATTATTTATAGAAACCAGTAGACCTACACGTAATATTATTATTGAGGTTGTGCCTTATGTTTGTTTTTACCATACCTTTATTTTACATCTACAGAATCTTGAGAAAATCGTGATCTTTTATTTTAAGCAAAAAAATCGCGATTCTCATTTTAGCCAGAATTGTGCAGCTCTACTATAGCATAGGAACGATATAGCAGAAAATTTTGGCACTTTTAAAACCTTGACTTTTCCAAAGTGCGATATACCTTGGAAAGGGTTATCATCCCATGCCTACTGCATACTGTATATAAACTTCACTGTATAAATTAAGTAAAGGGTAAACATAATTTAAATGACAACAGTTATTTAGTCAACACTGTAAAAAATGCTGGGTTCTACACAATGCCTCAATGTTGCCCCAACACAAATGCATTAAGGTAGCTTCATTGTTTTTACAAGTTTAAGTTTATTGAACATAAAACAATTAAGTTTTCCTGAAAAAAAATGAAGAGTCGTTTTGCCTCATTTTTAAATAAATACTTTGAAAAAAGCAGAGCAAGAACAGAAAGTGGTTCCATTGACAGCTTCAAATTAATACACTTTTCAGATCTCACACTCACGCCTCAGTAATTAAATAACAAAAGCTTCAATTATTTTCATTTAAAAAAAGAATAGCGGCATACAGTGTGCACTTTTGATCCCACATGTGCTCATGTACTGTCAAAACCTGGTTAATAATGGGATTCAGAGTTTACAAAACGGGACTTTCATCATCCACTACTTCAGGTTGTGTTTATGGTGGTGGCTTGTTCTGTACTCACTGCTGTGTTTGTGTATTTTAACAGGTAAAATGCATAGTACAGGTTCAAGTTGGTTACATGACTATCAAAGCAAAGCATTCCTCATTTCAGCACTCACTGATTGTACATTTACTTGCAGAGAGCAGTGTCTCAGTCCATGAACATACATTCAAAAATACAGAGGTTCAGTACACTGAGTAATAAAAGACACCGATTAAAAAAAAATTTAATACTAAACTAAAAATAATGCAATTTTACATATGCATATTGAACTATGAAGGTCCTACTGAGTGGTTATGTATAGTCATGATATGGTTAAGATATTATATTTAGTTATGTAGCATCAATAATTACCACATAACTAATGATATAACTTGTATTTTTCTTTCATTCTAGATGGTCTGCCTCAGGTCTTCTATTTCGGGCCCTGTGGGAAATACAATGCCATGGTTTTGGAGCTGCTCGGCCCCAGTCTTGAGGATCTCTTTGACCTGTGCGACCGAACATTCTCCCTCAAGACCGTCCTGATGATAGCCATTCAGCTGGTGAGTGCACAGGCCCTGTGTTTTTAACAGCGGTGTCTTCCGGGAACATGCTATAAAGATCAACCAGCTGGAAATCAAAAGTGCATATATATATATATATATATATATATATATATATATATATATATATATATATATATATATATATATATATATATATATATATATATATATATATTTTTTTTTTTTTTTTAAATACAGTCAATGAGCATTTCCAGCATTATGGATGTGACATTTGAGGTACAATCTCAAAACAAATTCACATAAAAAGTAAACATTATATTGAAACATCTGTTTATATTTTTCCAAACAACTAACCACAGAGTTATGGGGTCAATCTGTAAATTTAAAGTTTTTTTTTAGAATTTTAAATGAGGATGTGACTAAAAAAATTTACAGTATACAACATACTTTTTAGGATTTCTGTGAATTAAACTGCACAACTCTAAAGAAACCATGCTAATCAAGAATATAAGGGCTGTTTTATACTCATCATACTAGATATTATTCATCACTACAAAATTTTATTTCAAATCAAGTCGCAATTGCAATATCTGTCAAAAAAAAAAAAAAGATTGCAATTAGATATTTTTCCCAAATCGCACAGCCCTAACTTCCACACAAACGGCATTGCAACAATTTTATTGTACTAAGTGTGCAAATAAAGCATTAACAGTGGCCAGACAAGCTGAAGACAGAGCATCGATGTATCAACACGCAAAACACAGCACTTGGCAGCTCAGGAGCCGCATGGGAATGGCTGAACACCCACAGAAATACACAAGATATTCAGCATTAACTTTAACATCTTGAACAGATATTGGCATTTGTTCATTTCATACTTCTGCAATTTCGTGCTTTTCAACATTAAATGAAAATACTGCACAGATAACACTTTTACAGATGACAGTTTTCAGGTGGGTAGTTCAATACACAAGCAATATTTGTTAATTCTTTCTGAAAGTGAGAATCTTTTTCTAATGCTAGAGCAAAGATTAATTTGAGGTGTTTTATTTAAGTATTTCTGAGGAAAACCCGCTATCTTTCTATTTCCAGCTAAACAGGAATATTGAGTATAGAGAATGTTTTAAATTTTCCACTCATTCCTCCGTCTTTCACTCACAAAAAAACAAATGGTTGGAGAGACATGGCTTAGCATATTTTTCCCAAGCCATCAAACTCACATCATCAAAAAATCGTTCCAGAGCGTAAGCAAGCGGTCAGATTTAGTTTAACGATTACCAAAACAAACAGTTTTTTTTCTTTAGTACAATTAATTCGCACTCAGAACTGTGTGTAGGTATAGTGTCACACAATCATGTAGGACTGATAGAAACACAAGTCACTTTTTTTTAATTTCCAGACATTAAAATAGGATCCAAATCTCTGCAATTTTGAGTCTAAAACCACAACGTGACGTAGGAGTGTGGTTTTTCCCACCCATCGAATTGATTGACAGCCACATATTAACATGTCTCCATAATAAAGCTTCTAAACATATCCATTAGACAGGACTTACGCAAAGCAACTGAGATTAAAAGTCAGTTCAAATCTCTGTGATCAGCTGCACCGCAAGAATGAGTTTCTTTGAGTCATGTTTCAAAATGATGCAGTTTAATTTATCGTCCTTGTCCGTGTTATAGTTACAGTGCCTCTTTTTAAATCACTAGAGATAAAGCATAATAAATGCATTGTTTATCTATTGTATTTTAAAATCCACATGAACCGGAAGCTACAACCACTTTTTTCTCTATTGTGTTTCTAGAGAAACAGAATATTAAATAAGAAAACAGTGGGTGTGTCTTTTTTTTCTGCTCCGAGCTGATTGGTTGTAGTAAAGTAGGCATTTCATTCAGGAAGATTAGGAAAACGGTCTCACGAGTTATTACAACCTAACAGACACCACCTCCTCACCATTTCGGTGTGTTGTCAAAACTGACAGTTGGAGAGGCGTGGTTAAGTATGTTAGCCACGCCCAATACCTCAGACACCCAATCTGAGAATTTAATTTAAAGCAACAGGAAGTGCATTTTAAGATGCTAATTTAGATCACAAGAGCAAGCATTTATTTATTTTTCTTAATGACATGCACGGATAAATTGTTCACCACAAAACTAGCAATGGCGAGCTAACAAAATCTGAATCAGAATTAAAAAAAACGAGATCTGGGATTTACTTTTGCAATGTCCATGCATATATAATAATGATGTATAGTAATTAATTTCTACGCTTTGTTTAATTCCTCAGATTTCCCGAATGGAGTACGTGCATTCAAAAAACCTCATCTATCGGGATGTGAAGCCAGAAAACTTCCTCATCGGGCGGCAAGGAAACAAGAAGGAGCACATCATCCACATCATAGACTTTGGCCTTGCGAAAGAATACATTGACCCAGAAACCAAAAAACACATTCCTTACCGGGAGCACAAGAGCCTTACCGGCACAGCTCGATACATGTCTATTAATACACACTTAGGGAAAGGTAAGTGTGATATACCTCCCTGGTCTGAACTTAAATGAACTAAACATTAAATATAGCATGCCACTATCCTCATGCTTTACACCACGGCTTGATTGGCTGCTTAATAGTGTTGGGAATCATGAACCAGTTCTTTTAAAGAGCAGGGTTTTAATGTGTGGTTCATTTGGATATTGTGAGCATGTCGTCTAAACCTGAATGAGAGGAAACGTTGGATGCGCAAGACAATGGGAAAAATAAACAATCTGGACACTGTTCTTTTTTTCCACTGAATAATTTAACGATTCTGAAGATGAGTCAGGTTTCTTAAACGCCTGTTCTGTTGACTTACTGAATCAGAGGTCAATACTATGTCATCTCGCTCTGGATACAAATAAATAAATAAATACTTGACCAAAAGGCATGGTTTACACTCCCAAAATTATATTTTGTCAGCATTAGTTGTCCTCCTGTGGTTCTGAATTCATAAAGCTTTCATTTATCGTAACAACATGAGATTTTCGCCATCTCTTTGAGGTCCAGTGCTTCTCACACATAGACTTTACTTGGGCAGGCCGCCCAGTTATATTAACGGCCACCCAAGTATATTTAGTGACACATTTATTACTATTATTTACATCCTTTTACACTTTGTATCTGCCTAGTATAACCAAACATCCACAAACGACTAAGTGTCTTCTCTCGTTTACCAGTTTCATTCTGTACCCGCGAGACCTGTCAGCAATCGTGCAGACCGTTTCACATGCTCTTCAGACCCATAGAGAGGTGCATTTTGGGGACTTAGAAAGTTTGTCTGGCCCAGGTTTCTAAATATCCTAAAATGTCCGGAATTGTTTGCTTTCACTTTCTAAAGCGCGTATGCCTTTTTGAATTACTCTTTTATTAAAGACTACTGGTTTCACAGCTAACAGTACACGCATAGCCGCAATACTGAGTAAATAATAGATTCCTTAATATAAACAACTCAGAAAAACTTTACTATATACTTGGAGAGGAATGACATCTAAACTGGCTGCAAAATATAGTTAAAAGTCAGAATTATTAGCCACTCTGTTTATTTTTTTCTCCAATTTCTGTTTAACGGAAAGAATATTTTTTCAACATATTTCCAAACATAATAGTTTCAATAACTCATTTCTAATAACTGATTTATTTTATCTTTGCCATGATGACAGTAAATAATATTTTAATAGATATTTTCAAGACCCTTATATACAGCTTAAAGTGACATATTTAAAGGCTTAACTAGGTTAATAAGGTGAACTAAGCAGGTTATGGTAATTAGGGAAGTCATTGTATAAAGATGGTTTGTTCTGAAGACAGTCGAAAAAATTAAAGAATTAAATTAAAATTAAAAATCTAGCTTAAAGGGGCTAATCATTTTGACCTTGAAATGGTTCATAAAAATTAAAAATTACTTTTTTTATAGCCAAAATAAAACCAATAAGACTTTCTCTAGAAAAAAAATAATATCAGACATACTGTGAAAATTTCCTTGCTCTGTTAAAGATAATTTCGGAAATATTAAAAAAGGAAAAAAACAAAAACAAAGGGGGGCTAATAATACTGACTTCAACTATGTACACCATTTGTAATGGTTAGTTTTGCCTGTAATGATGTTTGCCTTATTTTTAAAACTCTACTCGTTTTAACCTTTAAAATCATAATTTTTAGAGATATATCTGTTATTATTAACTTAAGATATTGTCGTTTTTATTAACTTCTCCTTCATTTATTTCTCATTTGCTGATTATTTTATTAATTTGATGATGTTAATATATTATATAGGCTATTTTATATACATATCTAAAATGCTTTGCCATTCAAACTTAAAAGAGAGAAGCAGACTTGACCTGTCAGTGTGTGCACATGGCTCCTCCTTTTTTTACTTTATTTTATTTATTTTTTTTACTTTAACACATTGAAAAGTAACTGTGTCAGATTAAATACAATTATTAATAAAAATGAAATTATGTTTTGCTTATCACATATATAACTATTTATGTAATGTGGGTAAATGGTGTGTTTTAATCCTGCTACCACCGCAAGTATATTTCAAACCTGTCGGTAGCACGTCTGTACAACCAAAATGGCCAGCTCATAGAGACATATGGATTATAAGTCTAATCCAAATCTTTTGAAAAAGCTATAGCTTCACTTGATCAATAGATTTAATTTATTCCTATATTCAAATGTAAACTTTAATCAATGCACACTCATTGAGCACTTTAAATATGCTTAACTTGGGAGCTCATTTGTGAGTGCTTGATTCATTAGCGCAAACCTAATTAGTTCAATACTCCATTGACTTTCCAAGGATGGACACCAACAATTGTTTGTTGATTAATGGAGTACTTGTGAGTCTGAAATCAGTGTGATGCATTTATTTGTCAGTTATTTGGGTCTTTCAAAATAACCAGCTGCACATCAATCAAATATAATTACAATATAATTATTCATAATAATGGAATCAACTCACAATCAAGGAATTGTAAAATTGGAATCAGGAATGGTACCTCATTTCTACTGATATATACAGTATGGGTAACACTGACCAGGGGTCTCATTTATTACTTTGTGTAGAAACCTTCCTTAAAGTGAATGTACAGCAGAAAAAAATATTAATTTAGTAAGGATCATATGATAATTTCAAGTGGTTGAATTAAGTCAACATTTTTTCTAACAGCTGAGCACATTCTTCTGTCAAGTTTGCTTTATATAGATAACAACTTTTGCATAGGATGTGGTATACACACATTTCCACACCTGTTTTGTGCATATGCCATGTTTATAAATGAAAGACTACCATTTCCACTACCAACAGTACCCTTGCTTTTGATCTTGCAATCAACATCACTTTATAGCAAGAGTGTATGTTAAAAGTAGTGATCTGTGTCATTTACACATGAAGAAAAATGCTGTGCTATAGGCCGTTCACCTGTGGTGTCTTTTGCACTCAAAAAAGTTTATTTCAAAAGTAGATATAGAGAGAGGAAGCAGTGTGCCTTGTGTTTTTAGACATAAAAGATATACATACAGCAGAAGCTGTCTTGCTTCTTGGTAAGTGGCTGTTTGTCACAAGAAAGACATCAAGCTTTGTTTGAGCTCAGGTTGACTATGATTCATTGAGACGTGATCATTATATTATTACAGTTCTGGTATTGCCTGTACATTTAAAAATGGCACTTCCTGTGTTCCTTTGGTCGAATATGCAAGTGATGATTCTCTTTAAACCAATCAGCATTCTGCAGTGAGTCTAGCTCCATTCTTTAGGTATTGTAGAATTCACAGTGTCTGACAGTGGAAAAACAATTGCATACTCAATCTTCTGTGCTGTATTATACCAAACTGTACCACTCAATGCCAAAATGCCATTTAATTTCACGCCTTACTTTTCAACCAGCTTCATATTGTTGTTTACATGATTTGTTCTGTTTTTTTTTTGGCAGAACAAAGTCGAAGGGATGACCTTGAGGCCTTGGGTCACATGTTCATGTATTTCCTGCGGGGAAGTCTCCCTTGGCAGGGTCTAAAAGTATGTTACACCAGCCTGTTAACATTGTTAAAACCGTTTTTTGTTCTTGAAAATGACACGTTGTTGCTTTGTGCTTTGCAGGCTGACACACTGAAAGAACGCTATCAGAAGATTGGGGACACGAAGCGAAACACTCCCATTGAAGTTCTCTGTGAGAACTTTCCTGGTGAGAACCCCTTTAAAAAACATAACATTATTACTTTAGGCCTGGACACACCAAGCCAATGCCAAACAGCTAGTGTTAATGAAAGCTAACTGTGTTGTCGCCTCGTGTTGACTCGAGCCTGGTCCCGTCTGGACTAAAAAGCTGCCCGTGAACACATCAAACAGACGGAAGCCGAATCAAGAGCACAAGTTCTATGCCTGCGTGAGATGACATGTAGTAATCTGTTACTGAACTTCTAACGCACACTTGCAAAGCATAAACAAAGCCACGTTTAGTACCATTATCATAGTACTTGTCACTCACCACTAAGGGATTCGCTCTGAAAATTTAATCTGTATCGTTTGCAAATAATTGGGGAATGTAGAGAATTTTTCAGCTAGCCTGTTTGTGTTTCTTCTTGACTTGAATTGTTTATATACTACGTCACACTCGCGGTCTGATTCGTCACTGAATAACCAGTTAGGGTGCTTTCTTCAGCTGACACCAATTCTACACAATGAATTCTGTCATTATAATGTTGTTCTCATTTGTGTTTTCAGAGGAGATGGCCACCTATCTGCGCTACGTCCGGCGGTTGGATTTCTTTGAGAAGCCAGATTACGATTACTTGCGGAACTTATTTACAGAGTTGTTTGACCGAAAAGGATACGCCTTCGATTACTCTTATGATTGGGTTGGCAGACAGATTGTGAGTCAACAGGCATCTTTATGAAGAATTTCAGCATTCCACTGTAGTGTTGTTACGGCACCAAGATTTAAGTAAAAAGAGAAGCAAAACAAAATATGCATGGTTGGAAAAGTACCAATTTTAGTACTATATACTTTATTTTATTGAGGATTAGCAGGCCCAGATGGAATCTGTGAAATTTTTTTTGCAATTTCTCTGAAACATTTTGTTAAAAATCTGCGGAATGACTTAAAACAAAGCATAAAATAAAATAAAAAAAACTTTCACCTTTTATTTATGGTTTACAATGCTAATCCAAGTAGATCCACATAAACAAACAAAGCAAGTCTCAAGATAGTAAATATTACTTTACAAACTGTATTGTAATCAGCTGATTAATATGATAAATCATATTAGCTTTTGTATGTAAGTTAATAGTACAACTAAAATTAAGATAAAAATCAAATTGAAATGTATTTACACACATTTACATGAGTAAATAAATACTCAATACACTTTTTTACAAGAGTGTTATGTCGCGTTTGAGAGTCAATTTTATATCCTTAAAGGTTTTTAATATTTTAGGATAGTTCATTTGATGTTGTTTTCTCTTCTGGCTGCCATTATCAACAAATATTGGTTGTACTCCCCCATTCATTGTGCTCTCCTATTCAAGTTTACTGAACTATGACTGCTTTCGCTACTGAGAAACCCGGATATAAATAATTTAAAATCTTAGTATGGGCCTAGAAATGAGTAGGTTATAACCTCAGTACTGCAGAAATCCTCTTATGCTGTAATCACAACAGATGCAGCATGCATGAATTAGGATGCTTTCACACCTGTCTTATTTAGTTTGTTTGAATCGCATTAGAGTTTGTTTTCCCTCTGGGTATGGTTAATTTGGGCATTTGGGAATGTATCATTCGCACTCGAATGCGTACCAAAAGCGTACCAAAAATCGTACCAAGACCTCCTTGAAGAGGTGGTCTCAGTACACTTTCAAACAAAGCCTGGAGTGGTTGTTTGTGGTGAGAACAAGATCTGAACTAAAGCAAACCCAACCGCAAAAAGTTCTGTGCCTATTTGGACTAATCACGCTGCATTAGTCCGATGTGCTGTCCATTATGGGATGTGGAGGAAAAATATTTGTTGACAACGCTTTACCAACAGAGATAGAGAGGGAAAAACATTACCTGATGTAATATTTCTGGAAGATGACCATGTCGCAGCGTAGCTGAATTAATTCACGCCTCCTCCTGAAGTGACTTGCGATGCACCTTCGCCGTTTGCAGTGCATTAAAACATTGTTTTCCAGCCGCAACTGCACTTCATTCTCGAAATGTATAGCTTGTTTAAAGTAATGTATACAAACTATACAGTATACTATTAGCAGCGATACAATCAGCCAGCGCAGTTGTAGCTCCATTGTAAAAAGCTGCATTTTGTGTTTGCCGGTTTGTTTACTTGCTAGAGTTCCATTGGCATTTTCCTCCACGTGAATTCTGACCAATCGATAAGCAGTTCAAGAAACACGTTCAATAACATCTGGCCAATGAGGGATGGGGATTTAGTCACATGATTGCATTTGGGTTGTTTTTAACTGGTTCTTTGTGAAAAGGGCCCAAAAACGGCAGAAAAATGCTACAATGTATCATTTGTTGCCCGTGGTCTGGACCAAATGAACCGAACCACAGATGTGAAAGCACCCTTATTCAAGTTATTCACTCAAAAATAGATGCATGAACATTTTGAGTTTACTCGCTTTATTTCTGCATCAAATTCACTTTACAATAGACGCAGATTCGCGTCATGGGCTGGGCCCAGTGACTCTAGTATGTTGCTAAATGGCTAACATGGATTTTATTGAGAGAATAGCTTTGTATATTTGCTTTAGGAATGCTGAAAAAAAGAGCGTAGATTTGTTTGGTGCCGTGTCACTGAGTCCCCTAGAACTTTTTAGAGGTGCACCCAACTTTGTGAGTTCATCAAATCCTCCAGAATCTTTTAACTGGATGATGGAGGCTTTCAGCAGAGCCCAGTTTGATGAGCTGTTGTCTGGTGTCGGCAAGAGGACAACAACAGGCGCTATGTCATAATTGGACTCTAAAAGAGAAAGCTCCTGATCACGGCTTGAATGTCTGCTGAAGTTCAGATTTTCCACCTCGAGTGATTCGCACATTAGGCATGTCAAACGAGCACAATGCTCAATTGCCTCACATTTGCGCGAACCACGTCATTCATGCTGCCTCATTCGCACAAAACGCGCTGCAGGATGTCAATTCACATTTTTGCATTGACTTAACATGTAAATCACTCGTGTTTGATCTGGTATGACACTCCATTACTCTTACCACATTTCTAAAACTTGCTTATCGACTTGGTACCAAACAGCGGATAATGCAAATATGTTTCCTCCTTTGGTAGGATCTAATTGGTCTTTGGCCTTGTGAATTGATGTGTTTATTTTGTTGTGCTTTTCTCAGCCCACACCTGTTGGGACGGTTCATGTGGACTCGGGGGCATCTGCCATCACACGCGAGAGCCACGCACACCGGGACAGACCCTCTCAGCACCAACCCTTGAGGAATCAGGTAATCTTCTGCTCTTCATAAACCAATTCTGATTTTCGTCTTTATTATGGAAAGAAATCGATGTTCACATTTAATAGTTCATTAGTTAGAGGTGCACAATATTTCTCCTGAACTAAATGGGTGAATCTCACAAAACAAGGCTGGGTTATTTCATCTCAAGAAAGAAAAAAATATGTTTATGATGTTATTATTAGGTCCAAGCGATTTGGATTGTGATTTATTTATTTATTTATTATTGGCATTCTTAACAGTTTTTAGGAAGATCACAAAAGTTATCTTGATTGTAAAATATTGATTTATTTATTTTATTTTCTTATTTAGAAAATTAATATATTTAATCAGTAAAACCATATTAAATTATCTGGATTGCAAAATATTTATTCAATTTTTTTTTTCAATTTTATTTATTTATTTGTTTATTTAGGAAATTAATACAATTACTCTGTAAGACCACATTAAATTATCTGCATTGCAAAATATTGAACATTTTTTGTTTAATTAATTAGTTATTTAATTAATTAATTTGTTTATTTATTAAATTAATACCATTATTCAGTAAGACCACAATAAATTATCTGCATCGCAAAATATTCATTTAATTATTTTATTTATTTATTTATTTAATAAATTAATACATTTATTCAGAAAGACCACATTAAATGATCTGCATTAGAAAAAAAAAAGTTTGTTTTTATTTTATTTATTTATTTAGGAAATTAATACATTTATTTAGTAAGACCAAATTAATTTATCTGCATTGGAAAATATTTATTTATTTATCTATTTATTTATTTAGAAAATTAATACAATTTTTCAGAAAGACCACAATTAATGAACTGCATTGCAAAATATTGAGTCATTTTATTTATTGATTTATTTGTTTATTAAGGAAATAAATGCATTTATTCAGAAAGACCACATTAAATGATCTGCATTGCGGAATATTGATAATTTTATTTATTTATTTTTTTTTAATTTAGGAAATTATCACATTTATTCAGTAAGACCACATTAATTTATCTGCATTGCAAAATGTTGATTAATTTTTTTATTTTATTTATTTATTTATTTTTGGATAAATTAATACATTTACTCTGAAAGACCACATTAAATGATCTGCATTGCAAAATGTTGACAAAATGTTTCATTTATTTATTTTTTATTTATTTATTAGTCTATTTGTTTGTTTAGGAAATGAATACATTTATTCAGAAAGACCACATTAATTTATCTGCATTGCAAAATGTTGATTAGTTTTTATTTATTTATTTATTTAGGGAAGTATATAATTTATTCAGTAAGAGTACATTAAATTATTCAAAAGTGGCAGCTATCTGTTTGAACCTGTTTTTAAAAGATTTCTGGAAATAAAATACATAACAATTAAGGCAAAATAGTAGTCACAACAAACGATATTTATAGTTTTAATTAGTTAGTTTTTATGTAAATTATAAAACCAAACACCTACCCCGTTCAGACAGTAATCCACACATATGGACTTTTCCACATTCAAGCATCTGCCATAGGCTTAAAAAAGCTTGCCCTTTACAGCAGACTTGTTCAACAAACAACTAAAAGTTTGAACCTAAATATGAGTTGTATTCATGAAAATGAAAATAAAAAATTCACCAAAAGTATTCACCTAAAATTCACCAATAGTAACAAATTTTCTTGCCATAAGTCACAGGGATTTAGATGCTGAGGATCTCCTGTTCAAGCTAAGTAAAAAGGGAAAATTTTGTATTTTGAAATACTGTAAAAGTAAAAGTCTTTAAATATAAAAATACTCCGCTAATGTACAGATATTTAAAAAAAAATGTGTAGAAATGAAGTAAAAATCCACCACTGTCTATAATTGGAGATGCACTAATTGCTATTTTCTTGGCCAATTCTGCTTTCCTTAGTATCTAGTAAAATATTATGTATTGTCATCATGCCAAAAAAAAAAAAAAAAACACTTATTAGAAATTAGTTATTAAAACTATTATGTTTAGCAATGTGTTAAAAAAAATGTCTTTGTTCCGTTAAACAGAAATCAGGGAAAAACAATAAAAATAACTATGACTTGAACTGTATATTGTAGGAAAAATGTATTAACAATGATTTGGATTGTAATTCAAATTGTAAAAGAAAATGTGCTTGGTTGACATGGGAAAAAAAAATCACAATACAGACCGAAATATGGAAACTTTGTTCTGATTTTGGAGTGAAATAACAGCCTTGACTTATTTTGGTGAGATCTGCTCAAGCGTTACCAGAGCTGGTGGAGGTGGAGCTGATTGTACAGGGTTTCTGCAATAGTACATGAAGCTTTAAAGAAAGTCATTAGACCTGCCCACTCAGCAACTGGCTTGCTAACAGCATGCACTGCTTTAGCATATCATGGCTCTGAGTGCATGCTGGAAATAGAAGTTGTTGAATATACTTTTTTCTTTAAATGTGTATATTTGCCACCGGAGACTTTTTATACTGATTAATTTGCCAGTTTCTGCAAAGTGCTTGTTCTGCCTCTCTCTTATGTTTGCAAGAGCAAATCCGCTTTGCACATCTCACAAAATTGCCCTGCGTTAATCTCATCTGCTCAAGCTAATTTTTGATTTTGACTCATTTAAAAAAAATTCACAGAAAGTTGATTTGATTTTTGGGGTGGATTTAAATTTGTTCTTATTTCAAGTGTATAGGGTCAAAGGACAATTAATACAATGATATATATGGTTTGCATTGGCAGGGTGAGATAATGATGACTGAACTGAGATAGTTTTTGACTGAACTTGTATTTTAAAGTGCCCTTATTATTATTATTATTATTATTATTATTATTATTATTATTATTATTATTATTATTATTATTATTATCATTATTATCATTATTATTATTATTATTAAAACCAACAATTTGTTAATACGTTAATACCAAATGCCAAAGACAATGAGATCTACATACAAGAAACAAACTAAAGAAACCTCTATGAATTGTCCAACCAACTGAACCACATTGTTTTTACCCGCTGTGGAATTGGTCGCTCCAGGAAGTTTTTAATATTTGGAGAAGATTCTCTCACATTCTCCCTTTGTAAAAGCACTTTAACTAGCATGTTCTATTAGATTTTGTTGACTTCAATTTTGAGGAATTTATTTTATTCAGTAAAAGATATTTTTAACAATGTTAGAGGACGATGACAACCAAGCATGCATTTCCGTTATGAGAACTCATAACAATAAAAAAATGAAGTGCGCTGCGCTTTTTATGTCGCTAGGCAACCACAAAATCAGCTCTGTATTGTGCTCAAGTGTTTCTGCTGTAATAATTGTATTATTGTATAATATTGTGATAGTCATGATTTGTGAAGTCATACTGCTCTAGATGAATGGAAACATCCACCACTAGTCTCTTCTCCATCTTTAAAAGTCTACATAGTCATTTTGACAACACAAACACTGCTGTCACCTCAAAAGAAACCCCGCCTCTCCTTTCATTTGATTGGAGAACGAAAATGACGTGACTGACGTAGCTTGCTTTTTCCGCTTGTTGACTTTTTTTTAACTGCAGGCACACAGAGCGCAATAGCTAAAAAAAACAAGGCACAGAAGGTGGTTAAATTGTGAGGCTCACATGATCCATAAGCAGAATGTGAAATGCTCGTAACCATCCGTAAACCATTTAAAAAAGGTGTTTCTCAACGTAAAAAGCACGCTTATTTTGTTCAATGCCCTAATTCTAGAGTTTACCTAATCAAAAATGAACTGTAAAACTTTAAAATAATCTATTTCTGGACTTTTTCTCATGATGTAAATAGCATAGAAGCTGGTTTGGCATTGAAGCACAATTGAAATCAAAACTCACCATATGATTTTGTTAGCTCGCATTGCTATTTTGGGCGTGGCTAATATACTCAACCACACCCCTCTGACTGCCAGTTTTCAGTTTTGACAACAAACAGAAATGGTGAGCAGGAGGTGTTTGTTTTCCAATCTTTCTGAATGAAATGCCTACTTTACTACATCCAATCAGCTCACAGCAGAAAAAACAAGCCATGCCCACTTTCTCATTTAATATTTCGTTTCTCTAGGAATTGCGTCACATTACGAAAAAAAAAAGGTTGATGTTTCCTGTTCATGCGTACTTTACATGCAAACAAACCGAATACACATTTGCGTTTTCGTAAAACTGAACAAAAATTCTATTACGGATGCCAAAGGCAGTATTTGACGCTGTTACCTTGCTAGTAAACAGAGGAAATGTATTAAAAAATGATGGAACAAAATGAACAACCACATACTTCACTGTGTTTGTTTTTTTTTTTTTTTTTTGCACTTGCCTTTAATCTACACCTCCCTAAACATGTACTATGCACATTTGACATCATCATTTAGAAAGAGTCTTCTTTTTTGGGTGTTTACAAGGACAGCGGGTGGTTGTCATTCTAAATCGTGCTTTTTAAAATCAGTTTTCAGATCTTAAATTTTTTTCATTTTCAGTGACAAAAACAAACAGTAGATGGGTAGAACATTGTCACATAAACAGCCCCTGAGAGAAAGGTCCTGATGTTGACCTGTTTATTAAGAGGAGATGAAACTTCTTTAAACCTCTGTGATATATGTGACCTCATAATAGGGAACACCTGAAGCAAATCAGGCCCTTTAAAATAGTATAATAGGGGCACTTTAAGATGTCTTGTTGTCATTTTGTTTAGTGTGGTTTCTTATGAGTCTATTAAATTAAGAATGTAGGTCTGTTAGGGTTCTTGGGAGAGAGGAGAAGTGCAGCTATATTTAGAAATCCCTGGTTGAAAGACGCAGGGTCCGGTAAACTGCCTCATCATCAGTTTGGTGGAGGTTCTGGTGTTTAGTGAGTGTTTAGAGGGCACAGAAACACTAATAGGGCCACATCAAGACCTATTCAGAAAAGCAGACATTTTCACTACAAAAGACTTTAAGTTAAAATTGTACATTTCTAGATTTGAAGATGTTTTGAATTTAAGCCTTATTGGATTTTTTTCTTTCATGAACTCACTGCACCACTTTTATATACATTAGCATTTTTCTACTTGTTTGCTCAATTTACCTGGTTTTTGATTGATTGCAGGCAGCAATGTAAAATTTATGAAATATTTAAGCCAAGATCCAAAAGTTAGTTTTTTAATCAAATGTTAATCGGTAGAATGACCAAATAAGTCTTGTCAGTGATTTTCTGTTTTAGTTTAATTAGTTAATAAAAATAAGGTGATTACTTTTACGTTTTCCACATGTTGATGAGGTTGCTCTGTCAATATCCAATCGTTTTTTTTAAATTTAAAATGAAATGCATTTTGTGCGTTTAGCTCAGTTGTACTATAGACTGATTTCACGCGGCCGCCATATTCAAAAGCGAAATCGAGGCTGCGGTGGGAAGAAACCCGGAAGTATCATTGGGAGTTACATAGGAATGTTGTGTAACTGGCTATATATCTTATCAGCGAAGATAAAGTGACACAAATTTATCATTTCTCCGCCTACCGGGTGACCCGAAGGTCCGTTCTGAATGAATGGTGAATGTAAAAAGGGATATCAGAGCTCATTTTCAGCTAAGTTAAGGGAAATGGCACTAGTTAGCTAACGTTTTCTTTCCCAAACACACGTTTTAGATGCTATTTATCAAACTCGAGTTAATAAACTGATTCTTTCACTATATTAAACTTGTCACGATACTGAATTAAAAGAAAGACCGTCAATTTCGCGCTAACATTTTAGGCAATGTTGATGGCTTTCTTGAAACAGTGCTGATTTGCCATTGTGTTCAAGTGTTAAACAGAAATGCTTGTGATTGGTCGAGAAGGTCATCAGTTCACACTCCGCTGTATACTAAGCACAAACACAGACGAGCTGAGCGATCTGCTTGATGACTCGACTGATCTTGACGGCTGCTTCGCGCTCCAGTCCGTGTATCTGTGCTTGCACTGGGTGAAGAGCAGTAAACTGAGCGCAAACCAAACACAGATACACGGAGACTGAAGCGCGAAGCCGTGAAGATCAGTCGAGTCATCCGCGCTCAGCGGCGCTTCTATGTTAGCGGGAAATAGCCGGGTTTAAAACTTCAGTACCAGGACAACACTATTACAGACAACACGAGGGTGTGTTGCAGAGGACTGCAGTGTTTTATCACTCACCGGGTATCACTCACATAGGCTGAAGCAGGAAAGCGTCCTCACGGTGTTTAACTAGTGCCATGAGCTGAAGCCTAGGAGGACACTTAAGCGTATCACTGAGATTGTAATCTTGTTTGATGCTAAATTGCTTTTAATTGTTTAAAATAAACTTACTGAATGATATTAAAGTGATGGTTACACCATTTCTGCATTTTGAAATCTCTGCAACAGCTGGGAGGTTTATAGTACACAGCATGTTACTGCAATGTTTACAGTGCTGAACCTATACTTCCGGGTTTCTTCTCACCGCAGCCTCGCTTTGATACTTTAAAATGGCGGCCGCGTGAAATAAGCGTATACGTTTTGTGTCCTTGTGTTTCTTGATTTTTGATAACCTCATCTCGTCTAGTTAAACAGAAGACTTATCAGACTAAATTAGTTTGTAATGTGTCGCTGTAGGTAGTTTTCTTAATACTTGAATTTATGCTGTTGGTGTTCAGTATTGGATGTCTGATTTACCACAAGTAGTTTCCACCTGGCGTTCCACAAGCTGGGCGAAATTTTTCTCTTCCGTTTGCTGTTTTAATGTTTGTCTCTGTTTGTTTTGGGGTGTTTGCTTCTTGGTTTGATTGGACGATTGGTCCACAGTCACGAATGCCATTTCCTGGCTTTGACTGGCTCTTTTTTTTTTTTGTTTCTTCTTGGTTTCCATTCCTGCATTGTTGCTGCATGCCACCTGGCCTCACTGCGCCTGCCCGCCCGCTCTTGCTCACTCACCACACCTTTCCCTGTCCTGCGCCTCCTCCCGCACCTCCTCCATCCGAGCAGACGGCCATCTCCGACCGCAGAGGAGCATGGGAGGTGCAGCCCAACCGCCAGACAAACTCCTCGTACCTGACCTCGCACCTGGCAGCGGACAGGCACGGGGGCTCAGTGCAGGTACTGCTTCACCCCTTGCTCCTCCTCATGTCTACGGCCATCTGCAACAGCACACTCACTCCACCTGCTCTCAAACCACTACGGGTTCTCTATTCTTCTATACTTGTTCTCGTAGTAATGCTGTGTTTCATTCAAATGTTACCGCATTTCCACCAAGGCAGTTTGAGTTCTGGTTCTAAGAGTAGTTCCAAATGGTTGTCGAAAAGCACCGGCTCTAAACCAGGAAAACTAGCACTAAAAACTGCTGGGCTTGAAGTAAAGTCTGATTTATGCTTCTGTGTTGACAGGCATTTATACTTCTGCCTTCTTTTTTTTCGCTCTTAGGGTTGGGAATTGAAAATTTATTCGGATTGTGGAATACTTAGATTAAGAATCGGATACTTGCTATGAAATAAAAAATTTTATTGATTCCTGCATGTGCGTACGTTTTTATTTTTTCGCTTGACATTCTGCCAAGAACTTTCACACTGGTAAGCCCCTTGAATTAGCTATAATCTAGAGATTAGATGGACCACAAAAAGGTTACATGTGGGGAAACGATGACCAAGCTAAATGTAATCATGGCATTAAACTAATATGTTGCAAACAGCGCGTCATGCCCAATATGACAAAGCATATGCTTCACAAACTTCGAATTAAAAGAATGCACCGTGTTAGATTCATTGTGCATTCTGGGTGCAACCAATAAGTGTTGTGCTTTTTATTTTAACGTTTTGAGCATGTAGCTAAACAGTTTGGCACTAGTTTTTGTTCATACCTTGAAGTGAAGCTAAACAGCGCTTTCGCTCTTCCTCATTCATAAACAGCGAGACGCTCTGCTGAAGCACGCAGGAAAGACAGATTTACACTCAGTCATTCATAATCTTAGCTTTTGTATTATAGTTGAAAAAACTTATGAAGTAGAATGTTCTTTTTTTTACGGTCCGATATGTTTTCTTTTATCTTTTTTTCTCAAAATTCGCCTGCCATTTTCCAGATCTTATAAATTTGCTTCAAACTGAAAACTATGCAGCAGTGTAACGTTTCAAGCCACACGGCTCTTCATCAGACAGTCTGATGAAGAGCCATGTGGCTTGAAATGTTACACGCTTTGTGTCAGCTTTTTTAATTTAATAAATGTGTATTTTTGGAGCTTTGGTGTTGCCGCCTTTGATGAATATCACCTTTTGCGTTTTTTGGCTGAGCACCCAGTTGGGAGGGATGTGCGTGCTTTTGTACAGTTTTCCATTTTTTTAAGATTTATTTAGGCTAATGCAGAAAAAAATATATTGTCATTGTAACCGAATGTGTTTATTCAACTATTAATATTATACTAATTTAGAGAGACCTTATGTGATTGACTGCTAGCATAACGATGTGGATGATTTAGCTAGTCAGTCGAAAACTTTTCATTTTTCTTTCACTTTTGAAAGATGCTTAGCCAGATTGCTTGCATTTCTGCTCGTACAAGAAAACAACTTGTTGCATTTGTTGCAACGGGTATTGTCGCTGTCCACTTGGGAAATGCAACTCATTTGGTTCTCTCCGCCACTCCGCAAACTTACAAGCTTTGTGTGCGTGCAAGTCTGTGTCGTGAGGTATGTGTCAAAGTTCCTTTAAGGCAAGTCATTTCTCGGGCAGTATGCTCAGGCATTCTGTCTGAATAAGATGACATTAATTTCTCCAAAACTGATTGCCAAGCTTACAATTGAATTTTACATAAGAATTCCCCAATGAAATTAAACAACAACTGTATCTTTAGTTTTCCCCCATGTCTGGTCCAAGCCCATCCCCCAGAGAATAATCATTCTATGCGATTGGTGATTGGCTCCTGTACTAGAAGTCGGGCTTTGTTCATCATATAGCAATTGATGATTGACTCCTATACTAGTAGGCGGGGCTTCAATCGCCATATTGACCATTACACTTTTTCTCATTCAAAAACATTCGACCAACATGTCTTGTGTATTCTATAGTCTTTGTGTGTGCGCACAGCCAAGAACTGTGAAAGCTTTTATACTTGACATGCTCGCCGTTGTACTATCGAGTGAAAACACGAGCATTACTCATGTGAGATTGCCAACTGTGCAGACGAATATCAAATATCGCAAATTAGAAAAGGTTTGTCAATTAAATTATGCAACTGTAAGTAATGTTTATTCAGCAATAATTTTCCAGTATCGATAGCAGAACCGTTAACATCAGAGATTATCGATATCGATTATCAATAGGTCTTTTATAAACTAGCACCGATACTGATAAAGTACCGAGTTTCAGTACCCATCCCTAAAGGTATATGTAATTTCTGTATGGTCAAAGTGATAAATTATATTTATGCATTGGTTATTTATCTAAATTTGATCAATCAAATGGGGCCTTAGTAGCCCCTTTCACACAGTGATACCGGTAAATATCCGGAAAATCTACAGAACGACTTTACCGGTAAATTAAAAAAAGCGCTATTCACACAGGCGAGGACGTTACGGAATTTTTCTGGAAATTAACATTCACACATCCATTCCAAAATACTGTTAAATTCTGACATCATTAACCAGAGATGTCCTCTAAACGGCTGGGCTTGTATTTGTAAACATTTGATTACATTACAAACTCTGTGGATGGATAAATATTGTGAACAACTTCGATGAAAATATAGAGGAACACTTTTGCATGTCGAGATGTACATGATATGTGTGTGTGCTGGTGCTTACGGGCTGCTTCACGGGCACACGCGACGCGTCACGTAAGTGCAGGAAGCTGAGCTTGAAGGTAAACAAACAACGACTTACCATAAGCATATTATCGATAATTATTTACACATTTGGAATTAAGAAGGAACATATAAACGTTATCTGACTAATATCTAGCTGCTAAATGTGTCTGGAAAAATATTCAAATGCTTTCATTCTCATAAACCGCGTGGACGTGAATGCGTCTGACTGTTCTGATATGCTAAAGTAGACGTCTCACGTCAGCATGTTCTAGACGTGCACACGCTCTTTTCGGCAATCTTCCTTCTGCGTTCACACAGTGCAGTATTCCGACAAATTACCAGTAATGTTAATTAAAAAACAACTTCTCTATCCGGAAAATAGCCGGTAATTGTCTGGAAAGGTCTGTATGTGTGAAAGGGGCTACTATCTTTGTCTTTACCTCCTCAGTAGTTGCTGTACTGCTATTGGCTGGAGCAGCCCAAATGCGAACCCAGAGCTGAAAATATTTTGTAATGGCAGTTGAGATGAGAGGAAAATGGCAACAGCCAATCACAGTCATTATCTGAAGTGGCAACAAAATTACAAAACAACTACTATCAAAGTCCAATTCAGATTATTTATCTTTGGCATTTTTTCCTTCATTGTTATAGGACAGTAGCTAGTGAGCTAGTGAGTGGCTTCATAAACTCGACTTCACTGTATGTCATCCTATTGTCCAAGCTGAAGAGTGTCATCAAGTGACATTCTGCTGGAATTTGTCAAGTAGGAGGTTCGAAATGGGGTATTTTCATATTCTATCACTTTTCCATGTGGGTGGAAATACATTCCAACTTTCCGAATTGAATGAAACACAGCATAAGATGTGACTCAGAGGCTATTAGGGAAATGTTATAACCCCTGTTGTTAACTCGGTACAGCTAACATTTGGACCTATTGTCAGTTATACAGTGCATACTGTGTGTGTGTGTGTGTGTGTGTGATGGTGAAATAAATTACAATGCAACTATATGATTGAAATGATATGATTCATCGTTTTGCACTGGCTGCATGCTTTACTTTAATTCAGAAGGTGCCTCAGGAGCGACTCAAATGCTGATGAAAGTCTTTGAGTATGAAATTCATATATAAATATCAAATATTATATTAGATGACAGAATATTCTGTGATTTTTTTTTTTTTTTTTTTTTTTTTTTTTTTTTTTTAAGGATGTGAATATTTTGAGACCACTTGTCTAAAAGTGGACAGTGGTTCTTAAACTTTGACCCATGTTGTTCAACATAATATAATGTATACAACACCCCCCAAATGTATTCTCAGCAACCCATAAAATATTGCATAGGAATTGATACAAATAAAAACAATTATTATTATTATTATTATTAATCATATATTAATAATATAATAAACCTGCACTAAATGCTTATGAAATATTTTTTGTACTCAAGTAAAAATACTATTACACTGCTAAAATAACACACATTTTAGTAAATACAACTAATATTAGGTAAAAGTACAAAGTACTCTTTTAATAAGTACTAGTTGGTTACTTTTGAAAAAAACAAAATCAGATTTTCATTATGAAATCACTTTTAAGTGTAAACCTGATTGAATGGTTTAATTGCTTAAATCCCAAAGCTATATGTAAAGGAATTTGCACAAACAAAGAAAGTATAGTCAATTTTTCCTTTCATGACAATTAATATTTTTCAATAGCACTGGTAAAACTACCAAATAATCTTTAAGGCCATAGAGACACTTTTTGCCCATTTTTAAAACAATATTTTCAACCTTTGAAAGGTTTATTTAGTATATGATGAAAAGATTTAAATTTAGCCTTTTATTTACATATTTTACACTATTTTTCTTTACAATATAGCAAATTTGTTTCTTAAATAGCTGTACATCACATGTAGATTTTATTTTACACTTGATCTTAAACTTAAATACAAACTTTACAAAAAACACAAGTACACTTTCAGTAAAAAATAAAACAAATGACTTTATTTTACTTGAGGTATTTGAAATATGACAACAATACATTTATCAAAGCAGTGCTTTAAGAGCCTTATTGTTATTTTTAAATAAACAATTAGCAACAAGGGATTGCTTTGACCTGTAATGCTTTAAGACAGATCAGAATACAGCTAAATGTATAAATCACACAAATACCTCATCCAGAAACATTTCCAGCATAATTATTTTGTCGTAAAGAAATAAAAAAAGTTCCACCATTGCTAAAAGTAAGTTTCACTTTACAATACAGCCAAATAAGACCATTAGCATTGTCATCGATCATGCATCAATCTAATTCTAAATACTTGATAACTTTGAATACTTTTGACTAAATTTAGTCAAGTAACAAAGACAAATAATGTCTACTTTAATAGTGAACAGATCGCGATTGTGTTCAATCTGAGCACACAGGCGATCATGACAGGACTTGCAGTTTATTTGAAAAAAGCTTATTTAAGAGCTCGCATTTCTGTTTTAGTGATTTGCGTACATGAATGCGCTCTCTCGTGTTAAAATAAAGCACTTGCCACATTTCCAGAAATGAGTAATTGCGCAATACCTCTATTCCCGCGCCGCCATTCAGACAGTATAGAGGAGTGACAGGTCAGAGGCGAGTCGACTCGCTGTTGGAGAGCGAAACGTGTATGTAGATCATCAAATAGGCAGGAAATATGTCCGCGGTTTAATCACTCTGCAAGACATCTCGATAGTGAAAACATCCGAGAAGCATTATTCCAACAAAACATTTGTTTTTAAGTTGTTTTTTCTGTCTCTGCGACTCAGAAAGCCTTTGTCCCGCCCTTACGTTTCACGCAAAAACACACACACAAAAAAAGGTCGACTGTGATTGGCCAGTTTTCATGTCAGTCAAATCACGCTTCAGAATCAATTCGGAAACTGATTTTCAGCAGCTTATGACAAATTGCACTAAAATAAACATTCTAAGCACAGCGCTGTGATCGTACGCTTCACAAAAATGCCAAAGCTGATCACATCGATAATATAGTTCACATCAAAGGATTAAAAATGTTAATTGTTTATTTAATTATTTGGCGATTCCTCCGCGTACCACTAGTGGTACGCGTACCACAGTTTGAGAACCACTGATCTATTCAATTCTCCAGGTCAGGCAGGAGAACTTTTTGCTTAGCTTAAAATAAGTGATTGAATCAGATTAGACCATTAGCATCTTGCTCAAATGTCCAAAGAGTTTTGATGAGTTTGCCATTTAAAGCTTGACTCTTCTGTAGTTACTTTGTGTACTAATGCAATAAACAAGGCCTGATATTATGTAGTGCTGTTACCTAGCTGGGGACTAATTTCTGGGTCTGCATAATATGATTTTGTCTAAAGGTACGGCAGCAGCATTTCTTGATTATTACACCAAAATGAAAACAATTTATTGAGTTAAACATTCGAGTTTTACAATTGTTTAATCCATTCAGTTCTCCAGGTCTCACAGAAGAACTTTAAGCTTAGCTTAGCATAAGTCATTGAATCAAATTAGACCATTAGCATCTCGCTCAAAATGACCAAAAAGTTTTGATGAGTTTGCTATTTAAAGCTTGACTCTTCTGTAGTTACTTTGTGTACTAATGCAATGAAAAGGCCTGATGTTATGTAGTGCTGTTACCTAGCTGGGGACTATTTTCTGGGTCTGCATAATATGATTCTGTCTGATGGTACGGCAGCAGCATTTCTTGATTATTACATCAAAATGAGAACACTTCAATGAGTTAAACATTCAAGTTTTACAATTGTTTGATCCATTTGATTCTCCAGGTCTGGCAGGAGAACTTTTAGCTTAGCTTAGCATAAGTCATTGAATCGGATTAAACCATTAGTATCTCGCTAAAAAAAATGACCAAAGATTTTTGATGAGTTTGCTATTTAAAGCTTGACCTATCTGTAGTTACTTTGTGGAGTTTCTGGAGGGCCACAGCTCTGCAGAGAGTATTTCCAGCCCTGCTTCAACACGCCTTTATGTAGGTATCAACCAAGCCTAAAGCACTCAATTAGTTTGATCAGGTGTGTTTACTTAGGGGTTGGAACTAAAATGTGCAGATCTACAGCCCTGCAGGAACTAGGTTTGACACCTGTGCTTTAAATTCTACATTTTTTTTTGAGCCGGATGCTAATGGTCTAGCCCTTATCCCTAAAAAATGGGGTGTTCTGTTAAAAAAAAGTATAAGGTTGCTTGCTATGGGAACTTGCAGCATAACAAAAAATGGATAAAAAAAGTAAAAAGCAACAGAGTTGTTAAATTCCAGTAGTTCCTTACATAAACACACAGTCTGAACTGTGTAATTTAAGTGACATTGCTCTGAAGCCACACAATAATTGTTTTATTTTCATTCTTTTCTTGCACAGGTGGTGAGCTCAACTAATGGTGAACTGAATGCAGATGACCCGCTGGCGGCCCACTCGAACGCACCAATCACAGCGCAGGCAGAGGTGGAGGTGGTGGATGAGGCCAAGTATGTGCACATCAATTGTCACAGGTTTCTGTTGTCTTTGCCTTGTGTCTGATTGACACAAGATGTCCAGTACCACTCTGGGTCTTTACATGATTTCCCTCCTATCCTTACTGGTCCATTCCTATCTGCTCACCTGTAGTGCTCTGTGTGGTGAAGGTGTAGGATGGCACATTATATTAGGTGAAAGAATAATATTTATTTATTTATTTATGTTATTCATATTCACATTCTCTCATTTGGCACTCTGTCATTTTTATCTTTATATTTAAAGGGTATTTTTTGCTCATTTTTTTATTAATATGCTTTTTTTTAATCCTTTATTGATATAATTCAAGGCTGAATTTTGGATCTTTGGTTCTTAATCTTTTTGACTTTTGTTATTCAACACAATATAAACTATACAACACCCCTCCTCTTATCCATTTAAGGGAACACTTCAATTTATTTTTTATTTTTATTTTTTATATAAAATCCTGAGAGTTAAACATTCAAGTTTTAAGGCCAGTGAGTTTGCCTGTTAAAATTCAGACACCCTTGTTAGTTTCCTTGTCTCTTCAAGTACCTGATGTGCATTTGAGTTTCAGTCACACAAAACACATCCTGTCGGATATCGTTCTAAACACTTACTCTTGTAGTTCTTTGATACTTTAAAAAGCCCTCTGTCTTTGATTTATTGATGCACAAGCTTGAAAGTGCTGCAGACAGCAGCGTTTTTATCAATTAATAGACTGACACAAACACACAAGGTCGCCATGGATATTATTACGCATTATTAATGCCCACCAGAGGTTTTTCTTCTGATCTCTCTGATCTTTTCTTTTAGATATTTCCTCCTTTTCTTGAATGCAGCAACCTGTAGACTGCTTTTTCCATTACATATCAATGTTTAAAGGTGCACTTACAGTAAATTTAGTTTCCAAAGCAACTTACAGTTGAGAAGGTATTCAGTGATTTAACAAGAAGTCAATACACACAAGAAGTGCTAATTATACAGAGGAACTGTTAGTGCTCAGATAAATAAGTGCTAGTGTTAGAATGTTTTTTTTTAAGAGAGTAATGCTTCTACAGGTGGTTTGTCAAGCCCACTCACCTTTGTGAAGCACACTTCACAAATGCAGTGTATTGACCGTTTTATTTAGAGATATGGGGTGATTGTAAACTTAAACTACTTAAACTACTTAAATATAATTGTCTGAATAGTAGAAATGCTGAATTAAGATCTTGTGGGTGAATCGAGATTGCAATCTTTTTTTTTCGATTGATCGTGCAGCTCTAATTTGTATGCAAAAAAAAAGCATAAAAATAACATAAACATTTTGCTTATCTATACCACAATTTTATTTATTTATTTTTTTTTTTTTACAAAAATTGCAATAGTAACATAATTACTATGGAATTTTATTTACATTTTGAAGCATTTAATTTTTAAAATATTTTATTTGTTTTATTATTATAAAATATATTTTAAATATATTTTAAGTGGGATTTCACCTTTTTATTGTGAAAGGATTGTGGAGATTATAGACAGGACAGTGTAAGGAGGGGAAGAATCTGCAAATGATCTCGAACTCTGGTCGCAGTGAACACTGTAGAGCTGTGTCAACACACTAAGCACTAGGCAATTGACGCCATCAACATTTCGTTTTCTATGTGAATATAGTTTAAAATGAATATTTACACTCACTGGCCACTTTATTAGGTACACCTTACTAGTACTGGGTTGGACCCCCTTTTGCCTTCAGAACTACCCTAATCCTTTGTGGCACAGATTCAACAAGGTACTGGACATATTCCTCAAAGATTTTGGTCCATATTGACATGATAGCATCACGCAGTTGCTGCAGATTTGTCGGCTGCACATCCATGATGCGAATCTCCTGTTCCACCACATCCCAAAGGTGCACTATTGGTCTATTGGATTGAGATCTGGTGACTGTGGAGGCCATTTGAGTACAGTGAACGCATTGTCATGTTCAAGACACCAGTATGAGATGATTCATACTATATGACATGACTTGTTATCCTGCTGGAAGTAGTCATCAGAAGATCTGTTCTTAGCTGACAGGAGTGGCACCGCGTGTGATCTTCTGTTGCTGTAGCCCATCCGCCTCAAGGTTGGACATGTTGTACATTCAGAGATGCTCTTCCTCAGACCTCGGTTGTAACAAGTTATTTGAGTATTTGGCTATTTGAGTTACCGTTGTAATTCTATTAGCTGTCTGGCCATTTTCCTCTGCCCTCTGGCATCAAGAAGGCATTTCCACCCACAGAACTGCCGCTCACTGGATATTTCCTCTTTTTTTGGACCATTCTCTGTAATTCCTAGATATGGTTGTGTGTAAAAATCCCAGTAGATTAGCATTTTCTGAAATACTCAGACCAGTCTGTCTGGCACCAACAACCATGCCACTTTCAAAGTCTCTTAAATCCCCTTTATTCACCATTCTGATGCTCAGTTTGAACTGCAGCAGATTGTCTCGACCATGTCTACATGCCTAAATGCGTTGAGTTGCTGCCATGTGATTGGCTGATCAGAAATATGCCTTAACAAGCAATTGGAGAAGTGTACCTAATAAAGTGGCCAATGAGTGTAGTTTCACTACCAACAGTTTTTAATTGGTTTATTGGGTTAGAAAACATATTCATATATAAAGAAATTTGATTGTCAGAATGCCAAAAGCAGGGCGGCCAGAGAAAATGACACTCGCCGACGGCAGTGTAAACGAATGTTTATAATATAGTCATACCAAATGATTGACAAACTCATTGATCAAACTGAAGCTTGTGTGCTAATAGACAGTGGGCTGGGGAGCTGAGGACTACACTACACTTATCCAATCCACTTTTACTTTCCCCTTTATTCTACCATTCATTTTATTTTTATTTATTTGAAAGAAAAATGGCCATCTGTTTAGCAATTTTATCAAACACAAAGACCTAAAATGCTTATTTTATTAGTTGAAAGGCGAGCAGATGTTCTCCACTTTCCTCCTCCTCCTCCTCTCTCCCTGTCTCTTTCTCTTCGTTTGTGTGTCTTCCCGTTGGTCTTTTGTCGCCGTCATTAGGTTTGTCTCATCGTCTCACCTCTGTGTAATAATCTCTGTCTTTTCTCTTTTCACACTCTTCTGTAGCTGCGTGAAAATGCTCAACCTGTGGTGAGTCCCTCTCTCCAGTCCACATCAAACCCAAGGGGAGTGGACCAGCCTAGACTGTGGCCATATAGATCGCGCTTTACACTAAAATCCGCTAACACAGTTTTAGGCTAATGCTGTTCATTGTCTGTGAGATTCAACAGGAAGAGGGAGATCTGTTCGCTCAAATTCTGAAATTCACTCAGGGTGTGCTTACACGACAATAGTGTACTCAAAACTGAAACGTTTTGCTTTGTTACGTATAGTCGACAGCATTATCAAAACAACAAGTTTTTTTTTTTTTTAAAGGAACCTTTCGCGCACATTCTCATATGTGACCCTGGATCACAAAACCATTCTGAAGTTGCACAGGTATATATTTATCAATTGACAAAACTACATTGTTGTACATTAAGGTGCACACTATGTACAGTTGCCTCGAACCGGGCCAAAACACGCTTGTCCCCACTCCCGTCTCCCCCGACGGCCCGCACTCACACCACGATCGGGCCTGGGCACGCTTAAGTCATTGATGGTGCGCTGTTCACTGAGAAGCGCTGTCACTCAGAAGCACAGTGGAGATTTCTCTGGTCATATCATTTTAGTCGGTTTAATATGCAGTGACATGCAGTCAAATATTACGCCAAACAGTCCATAGGGATGCGGTGACATGCAGATATTTCGCCGAACAGATCCGCCACTTTTGGCGCTCATAAACGATCATAAAGCTCTCATGCTGCAAGAATAAGGAGGTCTGCTGAAAGTGCGCAGCTGTGGTGCAGTGAGGGGTTTGCGTATTTAATAATCTACGACAGTTTGCGTTCACTGAACAGTAAGAATGATTAATAAATCCATATGAAACAGTCCCTTAAAAGTCACGTCTCACTTTCAGTTTCGGGCCCAAGTGAACCACGCTCAGGCCCACCTCATCCAACCGGGCCAGGGCCGGCCAAGTGAACCGTGCTTGAGCCCGATTCAGCGCACTCACACTTCTTAAACGATCCGGGAAACGGGCCTGGGCACGGTCAAAATTAGAATTTTTCCTTTAGGCCAATAATCATTCAAATATTAAAGGGGACCTATTATGCAAAAATCACTTTTATAAGGAGTTTAAACACAGTTGTGTGGCAGCGGTGTGTGAATATCTCCAGCTTCTAATGGTAGCAAATTATTAATTTTATTTTTTATAATCACATTTCATAAAAACTGTCTGCCGAAACACTTTGGTTGGCATTCTACCTTTGTACGTGTCATCAGTGGGGGAAGCCCCGCCCATTAGTGACTCTCTCTCTCTCATTAGCATCAGTGTTTTTAATTCTGCCACTATGCTGACACACAGGCAATTGTAGCTCCGCCTTCTTTTGAAAAGAGCACAATCTAATTTGAATTTAAAGCGACAGTCACCAAAATGGAATATTTTGGATCAGCGCCTTAAAAGGGGAGGTTCAAACTGTTATAAAACATTATTTGTGGGGTATTTTGAGCTGAAATTTTACATACACACTCTAAGTCCATCAGAGACTTGTTGTAGGTCTTGTGGAAAGGGGCATAACAGGTCCCTTTTAAGTAAAAGCTGGCTCACACACTGGGATTTTTTATAATCCTGAATGATTGTAGCATGTTAGACTAAAAGAACATGGCTCTCATGTCACAGTGTAAGATCTCAGCTGTCATGAAGTCAAACTGAACAACAATGAAGACGCGACAAACACAAACACTGCCCCTGGAGATTAATGTCATCCACGTGTGACACTTCCTCTATCCTGCGTTCTGAAATGATTCCTCACAGCAAACGTAAAGCGGTCAAACCCACAATCAAAGACCACAGATTTTAGTCTAGGATTTCAGGAATCTTTTAGGATTTCCCAAATTTGTCTCGTGGCTGAAATCTCACTGTGAGCAGGGCTTAAGAATCATCTTTCATTCAGTTTTCAACTGTGCATATATAAAAACACAATTTGCTAGTAAAGTGCTTTGCTAAGAACTTAATTTCAACAACTTTACACTCATAAAAAACATGTTTGTTTAAACTACCCGTATAAAATAAGCTGAAACGAAAAATTCTTCTTTTTTTTTGTGGGGACAACATGGTGTTTTGTGAAATTAATATGTTACTTAACCACCTATTAATCATGTTGGCCCAACACAAATCACTTGTGCAGAATCCAGGATTTTTTACAGTGTAAAGGTATTTGGATTTTTATGAACCCTCAGAATACAGATTTTTAAATATTTAAATCTTCTAAATGTTGTCTTATCCTGACAAATGATACTTTAACGGAAAGCTTATTTATTCAGATTTTATGTGTTGTATAAATCTCAAATGCAAGGAATTAGCACTTATGACTGGTTTTATGGTCCGTGGTCACATATGGTTCTGTAGTCCACCATTGATGTTTTGAATGTCAAGTTTTCACACATAACTATTACTCGTTCAGACTATAAGAATGAACATGATGTCGACGGTTTTACAAAATTGATTTCAAAATCAAGTTCACACATATTACTCGTTCAGTCTTTATTTATGCGCGAAGACTAGACTTGTTGTTTTTAAAACGTCACAATCGTTTTTGAAAAATGGTATTCAAAGTGTTTTTAATGCATTGAAACTACTTTTTCCCCAAAAAAGATTGTGAAGTTAAAAAAAAATCGAACAAAACACAATGTCTGTAGTTGAAAATAGACCCTCTAAAATTGATTGGCTTAGCTTATTTATAGCAAGCCAATGATAAAACAAGTTTCTAAATGCGCTATGCAGTGCTTTACAGAAGTTTGCAGACCCTTATCAAAATTTCATATTTTAGTTTACAGCATTATTATATACTTGATAAGATTCATTTAGCAATCAGATTTGACTCGAGTTTTTGCAAAGGACCAGCCATGTTTCAGTTTTAATTGACAGCATGTTTCTTAATAATTGGTTTATGTGTACTTAACTTTATAAGATTAGGTTTTCTGATGCACCCCCCGCCCCCCCCAATTTATTTTTATTACTACCATCTATATATATTTTTTTAGTTAATGTAGTCATATTTAGCGTATTACAATAGCATATGTAAGAAGTGTTTCATTATATGTTGTATTTATGTTTTTATCTGATTGAGTTGCAATCAAACCTGATTGAGTTCTTAACTCTGATTCGTTTAGTAAAAATGCACATACCTGAAATGTTAACATATCTACAGAATATTACTTTGAATTTTGATAATTTAATAATTGATGAATAGTTGTTTTTCCAACCTACGTTTAATATATATGAAAAGATCATACTGAAAAATAAGATTTGAATGACTCTGGATTGCGTATTTGTTATTACATTATTAATATGGTAATACTATGTCAGGGTTTTTGTAAGACGTTTTTATAAAGTCTTAATTTGCCCTCCCACAATTTAAGGCTATAAAGAGTTAAGGGTCTGCATGTTTTTGCAGCGCACTGTACGTTCAGTTCCACCCTCGATTAATACACAACCAATACATTCAGCAGCCGTTTGTGACCGATTTCGTCAGATTTACAGGCAGCATCCTTCAGAGACATGTTTAGTGAAGTCCATCACTTTTCAATGTGTCAGTCTGGAGCTGTTCTCTTCCACTGCATGTGCCTTGTTTTTTCCTGGCCCATTCTGTCGTGTTGTTGCTGTTTTAACATTCTGTCGTCGATGCCTTTAAAGAAACTTAAATGTTTTAAGTTTCCTTTGTATTAACTTTGAGCTGTTGTCATTCATATATGCAACATTTTGGTTTGTACCAATATGCTAATGCATTCCCCCAATAAAACAGCGCTGGCAATATTTGACATAACCCACAAATACAGTACTGCGCAAAAGTCTTAGGCCACTAATATTTTCACTCCCAAAAAAAAGGTTTGTCTGTAACATGCCAGTTTAAAATATCAATTTACATTTCCAAACATTATTTTTTGTCATTAATTGTAATTAAACAGTGAGATTACTGTCTGCACAAGGAGTCTAGTGATGGAAGGTTTGGACCATTTTACTGGCTTAAACCTTTGAGTCTCGTTCAGTGAGATAAATTAATCTTGTTTTCAAATCATTTTGTTCAATTTAGACACCTTTCGAGTCTTCTGGTTTTTGAGTCGTTCGTTCATCACATGACAGCATGTAAAGAGAGATGACTCAAACCCGAGGACTCGAGAGATGAACGGATCAAATCTTTTTCCATCTTTGACTACATATGATTGGCTCCTGTCTTTAACGTGATGGACGAAAAACTCAAACCCAATCAAAGACTCTAAAAAGGAACTAATCTTCTACTCCACCCACACAAATGTGGGCATGCGCAAATGAATGAATGGCTGTTTCTCAATTCCAATTCCGCAGAGAACGGACTTGCGTTCTTGTGGAGACTGGTCTTGCCAGGTGTCCTCGGAAGAACGAACTCAGGAGACCGCGAGGGCAGAGAACGCGTCCTTTGAGAAATGGGATGCTGCTTTCTTCCTGATGATCATGTGACCTTCACGCATTTTAAATAGTAAATTATTTAAACATTACAGCATTCATACAACAATTTATTGTTTCCCCCCTCTTCAAAATATATACTTTGCATAAAAAACATTATAAATATACTCTGCACAATATAAATAAAACAGATTTAATACGAATTTCAGCAAACAAACACCCTTAATGTGTTTATTCCTTTATTAAGATATTCATGTTAATGTTTATATTCACCGTTTCATTTAGGGAAACTCCCTAGGTAAATAAGTGATATCTCTGAACTTTAATAATAAATCTAAATAAAATGCTGCGCTTCCCACCTCCAGTCGCAATGACTTCTGGGACTTCCAGAGCGAGTTCGGTGCTCAAGTCTGCATCAGTGCGTCCTCGATATCAAGATCACATCCGGGAAGTTTCATGCGTCCTCCGTACTTGCGGTCTTGAGTATTGGAACTGAACTTAGGCAGCTGATGATGACGTTACACGAGAACACGAGGACGCAAGACCGCTGAAGAACGCATATTGAGAAACAGCCAATCACTCCCTGAGAAGAGTCGTTCACTAATGATACAAAAGATTTGTTCAAAATGAATCAATCGTTCAAGAATGATCCATCACTAAACCAACAGAGATCTGATCTGATTATCCTCCAGTTTGTCTGGAATGACATGAACAAACGGAGACAAACTAAATCCAGAAGAAGGCCAAATCTCTAAGATGCTTCAAAAAACCTACAGTGCTGTTCAAAGTTTTAGGTACTTGCTGTAAAAGTGCTGTAAAATAAGGATTCTTTCAGAAATAGTGCATAATAAATTGTATTTAATAACTTATATCAACATATCAACATTATCAACATTTCGTATGACCACACTTTGCATTTAAAACACTCGCCATACTTTTTCCGGTAGCTTTGCAGGTAGGTTTTTTGAAGCATCTTCTAGATGTTGCCAAAGATCTCATTTTGTTGATGAACAGATTAGATCTCTGTGTGGTGCGCTGGCTGTTGGCAGACTAAGGTGGAGTGTCTAAATAGAATAAAATGACTGGAAAAAAGATTCATTTACCTCGCTGAATGAGACTCGAAGGTTCGAGTCAGTAAAATGATCCAAACCTCCCATCAGTAGACTCCTTGTGCAGACAATAATCTCACTGTTTAATTGCATTTAATGACAAAAGACAATGTTTGGAAATGTAAATTAATATTTCAAACTGACATGCTACAGAAAAACAACCCACTTTAAACCTTTTTTTTTTTTTTTTTTTTTTAACACCAGGGGTGTCCAAACTCAGTCCTGGAGAACCAGTTTCCTTGAGATTTTAACTCCAACTTGCTTCAACACACCTTCAAGGATGTTTCTAGAAAACCTAAGGGCTAACTCAGTCCTGCAAAGTTTCGTTCCAACCCCAATTAATCAAACACATCTGGGCTAGCTAATCGAGCTCTTATTTGGCTCTCTAGAAACATCCGTGCAGGTGTATTGAGTCTATAGATATATATACACTAAATATTGCATATGGACCCTGAGCATGCGTCAATAGCACCGCCACATTTGTACAGTGCTCTCAGCACAAATGTCATTCAACCGCACTGGTCAAGACAGTGTGCCAATGTGGAGATGCTGGACGTTAGCGCTGTGTACGGGTGTAGTAACGAGCGAAGAAAGAAAACAAAGCACAAAGGAAGAACATTTCATAGAAAAAGATTTTGTCTTTTTATATGTTCAGAGCTTTTGTGCTCAACAAATAACGTTATTGATGATAATACAGACACTTACATTCACCATAGGGGTATAGTAGCACCAATGAAATAAAATAAGCAAACAACGCAAAAGAAATATGACAGCGAGATTCTGCGGTGCCAGAAACATGTATTATTGTCAGCTAAGTGAACGATTTGTTCATAACGGAGATTCATTCACAAACGAATCGCTCCCTCCATCAGTATGAGAAGTGAAAGCAGCAGAGGGTTTCAGATTAGTTCAAAGTTAAACAAGAGAGGGGATAATACATTTACATGCACACAAACACACACTCTTTGTCAGCAATGCCCTGATCCATCAGTTTAGAAATGTGATGTAAAATTATAACTTTCATAATTTAAGTATATATATATATATATATATATATTTGCGTACTGACCACCAGGAAAACTCCCGACCATAAATATACGTTTATATGTGTATATCTCTGGATCTGGATGGCCACAGTCCTCCATTGCAGCTTGGTCCTGCATTCATTTCAAGGGAGCTCTACCCTGCACTAAAATGGCAGCTTTATTGACGCATTCCTTCCAATAGACAACAACAGGGCAGGTGACATCTAATGTAAATATGTGTTGAGTCAAGTTGGAGCTAAAATCTGCAGGACATTGGCCCTCCAAGACCGAGTTAGCGCACCCCTGGGCTAGTAATTTTGATTAGCTAGCCGAGGTGTGTTTGATTGGGGTTGGAGCTAAACATTGGAGGACACCAGCCTTCCAGGACCGACTTTGAGCACCTCTGCTTTACACAGTACTGTATATGCTTGATGTTTAGGATTAATTAAAGCAGCTACATACTGACGGCGCATGTGTAGGTGCTAGAGAAGAATCAGCCAATCAGCAGCCTGCCCAAACATGACTGACGTTTACCCATGTGCTTGTCCTCAGGTGCTGCTGTTTCTTCAAGAGGAAGAGGAAGAAGAACACGCCACGCCACAAATGAACCTCCGGCCACTCAGCGCAGTCCGTTTCCTTTGGTTGTTTTTAGAGCGTTCAAATAAAGAAATTTTACAAGACTACGACGGCAGGCGTCCCCCAAACCAGTAGGGGGAGCGCAGTGTATGAAAACGAAAGAGAGGCATGCGCACTGTTGTCTCGGTGGGGATTGTCTTTTGTTTGTTTCTTTATTTTTGTTTCTTCTTCCACGTCTTGATTTAGGCAGCGACGGGTCTCGTCCTAGAACTGTCTCTCGGATCTTCACTCCCAAACCTTAGGATCTCCAAGCACTGGAACAGCACCGCACTTGACTTGCTGTTTTGCTTTTTTTTTCTTGCGTTCACCTCGCCTTCGGCAGTGGAGGAAGTCTATGAATGTGTCCTCTTCCTCCACGACAGACCCAGTTGTGTGACATGGTGGGAGGAAGAGAGTCAAATTCAGCCACGCCGGAGCTCGAACTGCAGACCTGTTCTCCTCTAGCACCTCGTGGGCCCCTTTTTTCCGCAAGAAACGAGACGCTGACTTTCTTTTATTTCACTTTACCCCTATTTTTAAAATGTTTGTTTGTGTATTTGTTGGTTCTCACGCTGCCAGGATGTGGTGGAAGCCTTAGAATATGACTAGCCGATTTCTTCGTCGTATCTATCGGAGTGATTTAACGTACACGGGCAAAGCGCAAACACAAATAACTGTCGTACCGATCGCTAGCTGGCCTTTAAACGTGAACTTGTGTGACAGTGTGACATAAGCAGCTGTTTCCAGTGGACGGCACTCGCCACGCACCGCCGACGCTCCACTGACTAGTATTTAAAGCTGCTTGTTCTAAAGCACTCCTCCCACTTAACAACCCACCAGCCAGTCATGCTGCTTTCTTCTCCTCTTACGATATATTGTATCGCTTTTGACGTACAGCTGGCTGCTTTTCTATTGGCTGAGGTGGCCAGTACGACTTTCCTTCTGCGCTTTTTGTATCTTTCTGTCCGTATAGTCACTTATTATTCCCACGACCAGTTCCTGATAGGTGTTGCTTTTCTTTTCATGCCTGCTAAATATTCAGGACGAAAGTACGTATGTGCTAAATAAACACGAAAGGTGTCGCAGATGATGTAACAATCGGCCGGCTGTTGTTTTCTCGATGAAATCAGTGTGATAACGTGGATTTTGGGAGGATGCAGACTTGTGGTAGTGACTGCCACCGCGAAACATCTCGATCTAATGCCTTAATACACTACTCGGCGAAGTCGACCCGCGTGGGCTTCCACAATAGGACATTACGAAGTTCCTCCCATGCCTTCATATTCATGCTGAATAGATACCCATCTCGTTCCCAAAATGAATCGTGTGTAAACGATGGCAGACCTATTGAAACGGGCCATTTGTAAATGCTCATGGGAATATTATAACTATTATTATTGTGGCCATAAGCGATTCTGAGACAGGGCAGCCTTTGATCTCTTGCATGGATGAGGCGGTCCTTTCCCGAGCGCAATCTATAATGACAGGAATTACGTATAATGGGGTTATATGCGAAACGGTTATGTAGTTCTGTTGTCGTCGTCGTTTTTTTTTTTTTTACTTTAATCGCTAATCTAAGTCGTGACGTTGCCTTGCTCATCTTTTTGCGTTTCACCGTTCACCTGTTCACAGCATTAAATCCATGTGTTTTATTTTTGTGTGCTCTTTCTAATGTATAGTAAATGTGAATTAATGTAAGATAAATTATATAACTATTTTAATTTTATTTTGATCACCGTACAAAACGTTGAGAGAGAAGCCATAGGAGTGTGACTGCACTAAAGTTTCGTTTAGGCCCTTGTTTACTTCAGCCTGCACGTTACTGTATTCCGCTGACCTCGTCTTACATAAGGAACAGAGGCTGTTTGAAGAATCGACCATGCCTTGGTTTCATTTGGTAATCATTCTTGAGGGCTTTCGGATGACGTGCTTTGAATGTTCCTTTAATGACAGTGGACCGCGTTGGACCAAATGGGCACAAATTCTTCGTTAGCATGATTCCACCTCTTAACTCATCCACTAGTTTATACGTGTAAATAGTAACTTGTTAAGCTCTGACTGACCCATTCCGTTTTGGATCCACCTTGTGGAGCTGTATTGGGATGAGTGTTGCGTTTAAATACGGCATCTCCAGTTAGCGGTTATTGGAGAATCAACCAACGCATATGAAACTTTCCAATGTGATGATGGTTGGCTATTTAATGGATTTTCCTTCTGCTTTTTCCACTGTGATGCAGGTCACTTTGGGTCTAAATTATTCTGTGAAAAGTACTTGAATGATACTCGTGGAACTCCGCCTCTCGCAAGCGCGTCGAGGTGGCTTTTTTTATTTAACGTTCTTCTCTTAACAATATGTATTATGTGCCTCGCTAGAGTTGGAAGACAATTTAGTATTTCTGGATGTGCACTGCTTGCTATCGCCAGGTGCGTCTGGCTTTATGGAGAATTGCAGGATAACTCCTTTAACCCCTTAATTCATATTGACTCCAAAGTGGGAGCCCTTGGCTCGTTACGGAGCCACTTGGAATTGCTTTTTTTTTTTTTTCTTCCGTTTGTTCGGATATAAGCGGAATGTGAAATTGTTTAGCTTTGGATCTATGGACTGTGCGGATGTACTTTGGGATTACAAGCAGACGTAAATTAAGGCGCCATCTGCTGGTAGACTCGTCCATTTAAGACACTACATTAGACACTGAAATCATTCTCGATATGCTATTGGAAGTGGTTTGATTCGGGATGGCTAGAACAGACGTTATTTCTGGAATCTTGGTTAATGCGATCAATCGTAATGACTACTGGCTCTCTTGTCAACTGCAAGGTGATGACGTCAAACCATCTTTCATCTTTAAGTTCCCCATTTTTGTTTGCTTTTTTAAGGATTGTACCATTTGCGATTTTTGTTTTAATAAAGATGGTATATCCGTACAAGTATGAGGTTTAAATATACCACGGTTCCATTTCTAGTTGGTTTCCTCAAAGTCGAAGTCATTCGGGATGCATTCTGGGTCATTCGGAAGGGTGTTTGCATACCATTACGATTCCTTTTGAATTGCCTTTGCTTTTTATTTTTATTTAATATGAATATATATATCATGGTTCTGGTCACTTTACTGTGCTGCAGATTTAAATACAAAGAGGTAAATAAGAGTTATTCTCCTACTAAAATTGAAGTTAGTGACATTAATGCAGATTTTATGTGCATGGCTTTTGATTCCGAAAGCAATGGGAACTACTTGTGAATGGGGCACTGAAGAACATTGTGGGCATGAAGTTGATACACTGTTATTCTGTGGCTGCATAATGCCTTAAACATGCTACTGCAAGTCTGACCCCTCTGTACGCTTGAGTTCAGCAGGTAAATGTCCACTATTTTGCCGCTGTATACTGTATTACCCTTCCATTGTGTCTGCTACATAGCTCCCCCCCCTCCCCTCTCGATCTTTCAAAACAATTGTAATCATTCCTGTCTCAACTTTTGAGTTAATTTGGGAACTTGTTGAACTTTTTTTTTGTTGTTGTTGGTGTTGCTTTTTTAATGAACAGATCAATCTGGTTAAACTGCTCTTTTTTTTTTTAATGACCTCGGAATGATTATATTACAAGAGTCTGGTAGGAAAGCACTGCAATATTTCTCTTTTTCACGTTTTTTTGTAGTGTTCATTTCTGTAAGGATGTTTCAGTACTTCAGGCTTATTAAAAACTAAATTGTACAGTTCTGCAGGAGTCATTCTCTTGTTCTGGTCATACTTACAAGAAAAAAAGATACTTTAAATTTCATTGTATTATGAATTTATTGTGTTGAAAAATGAATGTTGCTTCAATGTACTTCGATGATTTTACTTTGTCAAGGGCTTCAACTGTGATGGACCCATTTTGTTTCTCTCTCTCTTTCTCTTCTCTCTCTCTCTCTCTCTCTCTCTCTCTCTCTCAACCTCTAAATATATTTTGTTTTTAATTTGGAGAAAGATTAAGGCCTTAATCTTAATCTTATTTAAAATGCCTATTTTCCTGAGGAGTCATATAAAATTCCATACATAACCTTTCGAATTAAATTTTTATTCCCTCCACTCTTAAAGGGAAACTCAAGTTTGCACCCTTTTTTATGTAAAATAAAAGAAAATGTCTCTTAAACTCTGGGCGAGTGCGTGTTTGTCTTTTTTAGAGGATCATGCAGTGTGTATTTATACACTACAGATTACATATTTATTTTATTTATGGTGTATGAAATTCAGTTGTTTGTGCCATGGAATAATTTGGGATAATTGAATTTGTTTTACTATAAGCAGCTCTTTTTGAAGTTTGGCTGCGTTTCGCTACTGATATGAGTTATAAATTATCAACATGCACATGCTATGAAATTAGTTTGGGGTTTTGTGCTGTTGAAATTACATGAAAATGTTGTAATGTGTAAAAGGGAAGGCAAATCAGTGTTATAAATGGACAGGAGATCAACAGTTATGGAGAAAAAAAACTGTAAAAATCTAGAGCATAATGCCCTATAAAAGTGTAAACGTGTGTGTGTGTGTGTGTGTGTGCAGAATGTGTTTTTAAATGAGCTGACTGTTAAATATTCGGCTCATTTTATATAATATAGCGCGAGTTTGGCTACATGGTGAACTTTTGTTTACAGGGTAAATATCAGTAATAAAAATCATTGAAATTGCTTGAATTTGAATATAGTGTTTTCAAAAGTTCTTTGATTTTGGATAAAATGCATGAAAATGTAGTTGTTGCTTTCATAATGATACATTTATATCATCATTTATTATTAAATAATTATAATATTCATTATTTAAATAAATTGTTAATAAAGAGGGTAAATGAGTATTTCGACGTTGGTGTGTTGACAAAGCAAACAACATCTAATATTAGGGATGTAACGGTATCAGAATTTCACGGTACGGTAATACCCATCAAACAGGACGTTAATTTCACCAACCATTCCCATTTTATTAAGTTGTATCCATACAAATGGCCTACCCTGTACATCAGAGGGCTTCTTAAAAGGGCATTTACCACATCATGAGAGGGTGGACAGCAATCACAAAGACACATGCAAAATGGTTAATAATAATATGAAAACAAAATAAAAACGATCAAAATGACTTATTTTACTAAATAACTTGGTAAAGACAATAAGAATATTTAAAAATCTTTTTAATTTGATCTAATTTACCAACTTTTTAGACTCACCGAAGTGCAGTGAGCAGTGTGGGACATGGCAAAATCACATCCATTCAATGAAAGAATATGGCAAAAATTGACAAAAACATATTTCAAAACACTTATTCTACCTGCAAGTGTGTAAAGGTTTATATAATATAATAAATATTCTTAAACGTTGTTAAAGAATTATATATATATATATATATAACTCTTTAACATTGGGCACTTTTATGTCCTTTGACATTTATCCAAATTTATATATATATATATATATATATATATATATATATATATATATATATATATATATATATATATATATATATAAAATTTGTCAAACTAACAATAAAACCTACTTTAAAAAATGCACTACCTTTCTATTATATATTTTTCTATATTATTCAACCTCCTTTTAGGTCTCAAAATCACTGTTTTTGCCTTGTCGCACACCCAGAGTTTTAAACTTCAACAATGAAAATAACATTTTAAAATATTATTTATCTGGAATCCACTAATGTATCTTAATGAAGCACTAGTGAAATAATTTAAATATTTTATAGTTATTAATGTGAGACTATTATCAATATTATTTTTTATACAAAACATAGCTGTCTCACAGTACCAGTGTCATTTCCACCACAACACTGTAATGTCGCTTTAAAAAGTTTGTGTGCGATTATTTAGGTGGTTTTTATAAAAATCAATAGTCATCTGAGCACATGTTCAAGATGGAGGGAATTTAAATTTTCATCTACAACACTTGAAGAAAAATCAAGGTAAATATTGCTTGATAAGAAAATACATTTATTCTACGTCATTTCAAACATGTTGTACCTTCAAAGTTGTTTTTAAAAACCAAACAAAATGAAGGTAAATAAGATTGTTTTGTATACATGAAAGGCTATATCAAGTCAAAGCTAATCGGTGAAGCTAGTTTAAATTTTTTTCACAATAAACTGTTGAAATGTCATTTCCACCACTGTCATTTCCATCACCACACACATTTATAAAAACTATTTATAAAAGTTCTCATCACACATTAAAAGTGTATTCACAATGTATGAGTTCATGCTCTATTTAATATACAAATTCAGTTTATTTATTTTCTAATAAACTCTTAACCAAATTAGTATTCAATTTTAGAGTGTGACAGGAGTCCAGTTTAGCATACAACTAATTTATTTAATTGACAAATGTATAATTATTATAAACATTGTGGAAAGACTGGTTAAACTAGATACAAAAATGATCTTAGACAGTGTTTGACTGCTATAAATGATCTAATCTTGAAATATTGCGATGTGGTGGAATTGACATATCTTCAGTTCACGATGGAAAAAATGTTAAATATGAACAATTTCTCTTCTTATCTAAGTTTGTCCTCTAACAGATCTTAAAACTAGACAAACTGTTTAAACTTATGAGGATATGATACATTAATTTTGAACAAGTTTTTTTTTTTTACTTAACACAAAGCTAAAAGTGCCCGTAGTTGAAGAATTGTCCATATACAGTTCTCCAAAGTTGTGAAGTGCTGGAAGCTTAAAATGTGCTTCAAATTGAATTGATAAGTGGTGTAAGAAGCATGTATTTAGCGAAGTCTGTTAACAAAACTACGCTTTTTCTTTCTTTTTTCCCGTTGATTTGAAGCAGGTGATGGAGCTCGTCTACGGACTTTTATGTCACTTCCGAAAGAGCTCTATAAACTTCCGCCCCGTACTGTTTTAAACCCTTTTTCCTCTAAACCAAGTCAAAATGGTGTGTACCGTGAATCCCTGTCAATCCTTTCAAATCTTGTACTTCATCAACTCTTCACGTTTTTATAAATGACCAGAATGTTTTGTCAAGACTCTCAAGATCCACGTATACAAAGTATTTTAACGTTTGGCAGGAGATGTTATGTAGGATGTTAAAAACAGCTTCGGGTTGTCTTCCGGTCTACAACAGAAGCAGCTTCAGATGTTAAAGTCTGAGAAATGTAACGTTAGACAATATTAAGTTGAATTATTCGCGTATTCAAGTGCTACGAGTGACTCTTTTAACATGTGAAACGTTTAAACCCCAAAAAACTTGTCTTAAAACAACAGCTTGAGTCATCAGTAGCGCACACTTCCTCTCAGGGCTACCTTACTAAGGCGTTCGTGTCTGATTAATAACATGTTACCGTTAGTAAATTAAAAAAAAAAAGTACAGAAATGTCCTGATATCCAGAGTGACTGTAGTGTGTTTGCGGCTGACAGGGACGCGTGAGGACCAAGACGGTGAAGAAAGCGGCTCGTGTGGTCATTGAGAAATACTATACCCGGCTGGGCAATGACTTCCACATTAACAAGCGGGTGTGTGAGGAGATCGCCATCATCCCCAGCAAACCGCTGAGAAACAAAATCGCAGGGTGAGTGAAAGCCATTCCAGGGTTCCACGCTTAGAATCTTTTTCTACTAGGCCAGTGGTTCAGATTGTAACTTGCCCTGCCAAAATGTTATCAGGCCCCACCAAAAAAAGTTAATAAAAGTTAATAGCAATTTTTTTATGCGCATACAGTATTTTAAATAATGTGTCAAAAGCCAAATATAATTGTAGTACCTACCCTTTTTATTCAACTTAACATTTTTTTTTGTAAATACAACTGACAATTAATAATAAATATATATATTTAAGAGTTTAAAAGTATAAATGTGTGTGTGTGTATATATATATATATATATATATATATATATATATATATATATATATATATATATATATATATATATATATATTTATTTATTTATTTATTTATTTACCGGTCAAAAGTTTGGGGTCAGTTCTATTCATTTATTTGATATTCAAGGAAAATTATTCCGTTTATCAAGGTGACATTTGTTAAATGTAAAAAAAAGTTAAAACAGTTAAATATTTATTAAAATTTTTAAATAACTGCTTTAGTTTAAAATAAAATGATTACTCCAGTCATTATTGCTTTTATTACTATTACCAATAATATTAATAACAACAATAATTAATATTAGAGTGATTTTCAAAGGATCATGTGACTAAAGACTGGGTCAATGAAACTGAAAATTCATCTTTAAAATAACTGGAATGAATTAAATGATAAACTACATTTAAACAGTTATTTTATAGTGCAATAACATTTTACAATTTAACAATATGTACTGTATTTATGATATAATAAATGCAGCTTTGGTGTGGTGGAGAAGCTTATTTTAAAATATTTAACAATCATACTGACCCCAAACTTTCGACCAGTTGTGTATAGAATATTTTATAAGTGAAAATGTGCACTTTAATTTTGACACCGGCTGACATAGTCACCAAATATAAATCAGAGAGGTCGGACTCTTATACAGAGCCTCATTTCAGTTTTTTTTTTTTTCAGTTTCAAAAGAATTTATCTATTTAATCAATCAATCTATTAAAGAAATGTTGGCTAGATTTATGCAATATAGGCTTAAATTATAGAGAGAAATAACAAATGAACAGAGTCTGCACCAGATCATGAAGCAGATCAATGTTGATATTTTTTTCTGAGCTGTCAGTGCAGAAATGAACATTACAACAGGTCCAACACGATATATTATAAGATTAAAAGGTCCCACTGTATATTGTGTCCTTAAGTACTATGTACTTACATCAAAAAATAAATACAATGTACTTACTGTGTTTATAATGTATTTGAGAACACTTGTGGTGCGTTTGAGTTGGGATAGAGGTTGGGTTATGGACAGGTTTGGTGGCATGGGTAGGTTTAAGGGTAGGTTAATAAGTAAGGGATGGTCAACAGTGTATTTACAAATGTAATAACAAAAGTTAATTACAGATGTAATTACATGTATTTAATCAAGCATAAGTACACAGCAAATACATGTATTTACACAATGTACATTGTACGAACTATTAATTTCTGTGTAAGTACATATTAGTTAAGACCACTTAATATAAAGTGGGACCGATTAAAATATGGAAAATTATCAGATGGTAACTTTGGTCAATTTTCCTAACGGATGAACAGCACTCAGTAATATTTCAGCATGCTTTCACTTTCGTATTAGACATGAAGCGCACATTTGTTGGTAGGAATGACATCCTGCTCTACTTCATAGTCGTATATGTGGCTATTGCACAATCATAATACACTGTGATATAGCCTGGCTCGCATACTGTTTTTACCGTACTATATAATTTGGAAGTATGTGGTTTCGGATACAGGTTTTCAGATTTCTTCAAAATAACATTGCTGGTGTTTAACAGCAGGAAGAAACTGAAATGTTTGGAACAGATTGAGGGTGCAATAATAGTAAAATGTGGGGAAAAAATCTCTTCAAGAACCTTTTCAAACTTGAGCACTGCTAACATTGCCCATGTTTTTATTTATCTTTAAATAACATTCATTTTCATTCTTTACATGATGCTAGTATCACCTTATGACAAGTTCAGATTGCATGATTTTAGCACCGGTTTTGAGAAATCGTTGACAAATGCCTGAAATCACAGGCAAATCGGTGCTCGTCACACTTGATCACAAAGTGTGAACTAACAAAAACATGATCTAAGAAAATTGCCGATACCCGTCAGATATTTAATAGCTGCTAAATATCTGGAGCAAAATCATGCCGTGTGAAATGTGTTCTGACTGAAAATGACATGGGTGATCGCCTACAGCCAATCAGAGAGCAGCATACATTAGTGTGGCTGTCTGCAGGTCAGCGGGAGGTTGGGGAAGGAATTAAAAGTGCTTTTTGGTCTATCTGGACCCAAGAAATGGAGGAAAAACACTCCATTTCCCTTTCATATGTTAGCTGAACAATGCCACAACCGGGTCAAAAAAAGTTTAAGAGAAATTGCTTATTCCCTTTAATCCCCAGGTGAGCAAAATAAGTACATTTTCAACCCCTTTAAAGGCTTCTTTCTCATTATGTGGTTAATAACAAAAGATGAAGCCGATACTATGTGACCTTGCATTGTTTCCATGTCTTCGGGCGTATGTTTGGTTGTGAAACATAGTTTGTGGATTGAGACGACCTTGCTGGAGATTTTCCAATTAAGTCATGCAGTGAAACTCATTGTTGCCTATACATCCTACAGCATACCCAAAACGCTACCCCAGATAGTCATGTAGTCGTGCCATGGATGTTTTCACACTGCTTTTAAAATCATGCAGTCTGAACTCTGCCACTAAGCTTGCAATTTTCAATAGAAACCTAGCTGAAATCACTTTTCATCTGTTGAGGCCAGTAAGAGAATTGTCAGGGCAAATGCATTGCAGAGACTTGAGGCATGTGTCAATGTTTGGTGTATCTGCAGGTATGTTACCCATCTGATGAAGCGCATTCAGAGGGGTCCAGTTAGAGGCATCTCCATCAAACTGCAGGAGGAGGAGAGAGAGAGACGGGACAACTACGTCCCGGAGGTCAGTGATGTTTACTGTGTACTGCACCAACATCAACACGTATGTAGATTTAAGGGTTATTTAGAGTTTAACACATTGTTATCATCTTTTTCTTTGCATTTAGCCTTCAGTTAATTAGACGTTAGTAGCCCATATGATGTTATGTACGGAGCCCCAAAAGTGACATTTGCAAATTAAAAAGCATAAGTACAAGAAAAGTATTTGCAATGGCAAAATTGCATTAAACATCAAAGTTTAAATGAGCAGAATGAAAATGAAACCTAGCCCATATTGCTTTGTAACCAATCAAATAAGGTCTCATAATGATGGTATTGTTGTTCATTGTTGTTAACAATTGTTAGATCACGCCAGATAAATAGATCCAGATAAATAGATGCCAGATCATGTCAGGAAATGTCAGTTTCTCCAGGTATCTGGACAACATGTCAGCAGAGTTTCCAATACCCAAACCTGTTAAGCAGTATTGGTACTATCAGTATAGGAGTTGACTGTGGCAGGAACTCAGAGACGAGCAGAAGCAGTAGATGAAGTGATGATAATAAAACAGCAGGGTTTATTGAATAATGTTAGTTGCTTATGTTTGAATGCTACATCACTATGATAAATCCTTCAAGTGTTGTTACATCACAAGCAACAGCAATGGAAAATTTCTGCTTCACAACATTGTCCTGTGACAATACAGACATTGAAAAGACATTCTCTTATCTCGTACTCATGAAAATAAATGTTGCTTGAATCTACACATAAGAATAAAACAATATGGTAAAAGGAAATAATAATAAAGCAATAATCATAGGAAACTAGTAATAATAAAATATAAAACATAATAAAGTCACAAATAATCAAATCATTAACTAATGATCTATAAAATAATTATTCTTTTTTTCATTTTCTTGTCGGCTTAGTCCCTTTATTAATCCGGGGTCGCCACAGCGGAATAAACCGCCAACTTATCCAGGACATTTTTACGCAGTGGATGCCCTTCCAGCTGCAACCAATCTCCGGGAAACATCCACACACACACACTCATACACTACGGACAATTTAGCCTACCCAATTCACCTGTACTGCATGTCTTTGGACTGTGGGGAAACCGGAGCACCCAGAGGAAACCCACGCCAACGCAGGGAGAACATGCAAACTCCACACAGAAGTGCCAACTTAGCCGAGGATCGAACCAGCGACCTTCTTGCTGTGAGGTGACAGCACTACCTACTGCGCCACTGCGTCGCCCCAATGATGATTATATAAATGACTAATCTTATGATTAAATAAAATAATTCAATGAAGAATAAATGAATATAAAGCAATGAAAATAAAACGCAGCACAAATGAATGGGTGCTTCTTTGACACAACACACACAAGTTTGCTACAAGCATTCTCAGGCCCTTTGTTAGATTCTTCCCAATGCTCCGCGCTGCTTATTGATTGGAACAGATGTGCGCCACCTTACTTCATAGTAGTTTCATGTATAAAGCAGAACTAAATAGATTTATTTTTTATGTTTTTATTTAGAGAATGCCACAACTGGGAACTGTAGCTTCTCATATGCATGAAAAAAACATGACAGCCTTTTTATTTTTGCCAATGTCACTTTAGGAGCTCCATAGTTTGCTTTAAAAATATATTAACAAAAATATTAGGTTTAAATTTTTAAAAACGGTTCTGTGAACGTTACATTTACAGTCATGCTAATATTCATGGAAATCATAAACCATATCCTTTTAAAACAATACATGATGCAAAATTGCCCTGTTTGCCTTCTGGTGTTTTTGTGTGTGCAAGACCTAACACAGTGACAGTATGAAGCGATTTAAAGCAATTACAGTATTAACCTCTATCACAGCAGGTGACAATCTTTTCCTGTGTAGTGCAAACAATACATCTGTTAGTACCAGTGTCAAAACCAGTGTGCTTTATACTTGTATTTCAGATATCACTAGTATGGAGTTGTTTATTAGATGTACTTCATGTTGTTGTCAGGTCTCTGCTTTGGATCAGGAGATCATCGAGGTTGATCCAGACACCAAGGAGATGCTCAAGAGTTTTGTAAGTTGATCTTAAGCTGCAAATATGAAATTGCCATACTACATGTCCTACATTTAACAACAGTGAACAGCCATAGTTACCAGTGTTTTGTATGAATGGTGATGACCACTGTCAAATGTTCTGAATAGAAGATGAACGTGTCAGAAAAGCTTGATGTTCCAGTGTTCTTATACAGACTTTGTGGATTTACCTTTTTGTTTGTTTTGCTGCAGGACTTTGGCAACATCTCCAGCCTGCAGGTCACGCAGCCAACTGTTGGAATGAACTTTAAAACACCCAGAGGAGTCTAGATGTGTGGTATTTATCAGATGTCAATAAAGACTGCAAAAATATCTTTGTGTGAGGTCATTTTTGACAGTCTGTATTGTCGTCTGTATGCGGATCACTGGACACTTTTCCATTACCGTTAAAATTGCATTCATTGAAATTGCAAATGAAAAGTACCCCAAAGGGAAACGTGTTATTTTCACTTAAGCTTTTGATATATGGTTTTTACACTTACATGAGAGATTTTTTTCCAACAATTTGTAAAAAGAAAATGTAATAAACCTGCAATGGAAACAAATTTTTATATCCTGCATTGTGCTGAGGGCAAATGCGATGATCAATCAGGTTTATCTGTTTATTATAGTAGTCTCCTGGACAAAAATTGCATTGCCTGATATTAATAGCCGTCACCATGAGTTTCAAAATGAGTGTGTTTCACTTAACTGGTACTAGGCAAGTCATTTCACAGTAGTTTCATCCAGGGTTCTTACACTTTTTCTAAAATCTAAATTTTCTTTACAACTTTGGACGAATTACATTAACGTATTAGGTTTGTTGTAGTATTTTAGAGCAGTGTTTCTCAACCACATTCTTGGAGGACCACCAGCTCTGCATTTTTCATGTCTCATTAACCAAACACACCTGATCCAGATTATTAGCAGAGACTGAAAGACCTGTAATGGGTGTGACAAAGGAGACATCCAAAACATGCAGTGCTGGTGTTCCAATAGTTGAGAAACGCTGTTCTATGGTTTTGTATACTATTTGAAGGAATAATTTTTGATTGCTCATTAGCAAGACCAACAATCATTTACTGTCTTTAAGATATTATTTAAATATTTAATCATTGTTACTTATTTAATAAAAAATATGAAGGCAGCAAAGCACCTTTCAAACCTTAAACGCTACTTAAATGAAAACATTTTGAAGGATTTAATACACCCATACAAAATTTAAACATTTACATAAACTTATCAAAATGCACTCACACTATGCTATCCAAACTGTGCCCAGGCCTGTTTCCTGGATTGTTTGAGAAGTGCGAGTGCTTTAAATCGGGCTCAGTTCAGTTGGCTGGCCTGGCCTGGTTGGAAAAGGTGTGCCAGAGCGCGGTTCACTTGAGCTTGAAACTGAAGATGAGACGTGACATTTGAGGGACTGTTTTATATGGATTTATTAATCATTCCTACTGTTCAATGAATTCAAACTGTCGTAGATTATTAAAGACTCAAACCCCACACTGCACGACAGCTGCACCTTCAGCAAACCTCTTAATTCCTTAGTCCCGAGGACTTTGAATGTTTATGAATGTCAAAATTGGCTGATCTGTTCGATAAAATATTTGACTGCGTGTCACTGCATCCCAAACAACTTAGTGCGGTTTATTCATAAACTAATTTTGAGAGGATCACGTGCTTATAATCAACACGGCTGGCTCCTTATTAGCTCCGTAATCAGCCCTATTAGATGATTATGGAAGCATTATAAATAACCTGAGTTTTTCACTCCAGTTATCTTTGTCTTGAAGCTCCCCCCCTTCATCCTCCTCCTTTTTCTGATCGGGCGACACGGTGGCCAAGTGGCTAGCACTGTTGCCTCACAGCAAGAACACCGCCGGTCCAACCTTTCGGGCCGGTCGGTGTTTCTGTGCGGAGTTTGCATGTTCTCCCCGTGTTCGCGTGGGTTTTCCCCGGGTTCCCCGGTTTCCTCCCACCGTCCAAAAACATAAACCATAGCCAATCAACTAAAAATACAACCTTAGTTTACACTTCTCACGGTGACGAGCAGGGGAGTTCTCGAGACCTACCTGACCTCGAACTCCCCTCTCGCCCTTCTAACAGGAGGGAGCCCCGGGCTCGAGGATATTACGAGCTCAGGGTTCTCTCCCGGGACAGCATGCCAAATATGCTTTATTGATCATCAGCTAAGTGTGAACTCTTGAAAACGATATAACTAAAATCTCCACTGTGCTGAGCGAAAGTGCTTCTTATTAAACAGCACATCGATGGCTGGCAAGCATGCTTGGGTGCAAATGCAATGTAAGTGTGGGGAGACGGGACGAGCGTGCTTCGGCTCGGTTCAAGGCAACTGTACATAGTGTGAGTACGCCCTTATGTGTGTAATTCTGTAGATGTGGCCTGTTCAGCTGTTAGCGCAGTCCTGCCCCAAGAATGCACGTTTTAAACACTTTATGAAAAAAAAATTAGTAGCACAGACTAGATAGTGATGGTGAAATGATATGTCATCAATTGTGTCGGAAAAAGGTTCATTACTCGAAGCTTTCCAAGTCAGAGCTCAATGAGGACCTCTGCTGGTTAAAGTGTGGGAAAGCACTGTGTTGCAAAAATGTCAAATGTTTACAATTGACCAGTTCATACATGAAATACAACATTAGTAATATAAACGATTCTCAATTACTGTAGTTTATTACACGTAGGTTATGGTACATTTTACCACCGACGACTGTAGTAAAATCAAAAGCTTTATTTCAACTGGTCCTTTACTCACCGCCTCGTTCCAAGCGGGAATCAAACGGGTGATTCTTGCATGCGAGATAAATGCTCTAATGAAGAGGCTATGGGAGTGTGGCTTTCAGGGCCTCGCACCAGTTGTCCTCCATTACACACTACACTTCAATATGCAGAGGCCTTCTTTAAGATTAGTTGTAAATAATACACTAATGTACTTTAGTATGTTTCGAAAACATTTTACTATTATTTTTGCATTTTTGTTTAATTACTGGTGTGCGAGACCGGTGCAGTGCTTTAAAACAGTAGACATGCATGTAATCGCCGCCTAATCTCTCGCTATACACTTTACTAATCCATAAGGGTGTTTAAATCTTTGAATCAAAATTTAAAGCAGTCATATGCGAAAATGAAGTTTTGCATGTTACGGATCACGTGATGTTGGCAAAAACGAATCGAGCTCCAGTACACCAATTGACTGCGAGATGTTTCGTTTTTTAAAACATGCTTCAAAGCCTTGATGCACAGCGTCACTAGAAAGAGCTATACATCTGAGGGATTTAGAGATCTACACAAGTTGCATTTACCTGTAAGTCTTCATTTACCTGAAAACCAGCCATCCTGCTGTAATTGTAATATATGTAACACATTATGGCCAATTTTTTTAGCTGTTTCTATAATAAGAAAAAAAAAACTAATTGACCTAAAATGTCAGGGATCTTTAAAAAAATAAAATAAAAAAATGAAATGAAAAGTGAGATGTTTGTGTATTATCAATAAGAGTCAGACACAATGTTTTCAGAATATTTTTTTTAAAAAGCCACGGAGTAATTCTAGAGACAGCAAGAAGATCTTTGTACAGAAATAAGCAACAACAGAATTCTGCATATGCAACACAGTAAAACCTGCCGCTCGAATATCATTTCAGTGGCAAAAGAAATAAGACCAGCTGCCTACACTAAACTATGACACTACATTAAACAAATAGAGCTTTATATTCAAAACACAAGATATGTAAAAATGTTTGTTTCTTTTTCCTCTTTTCTTGAAATTGTTGAAAAAGTGCAATAAAGGTTTGACTGTCTACACTTGATAGGTTATCCCAAATAAGTCATCGTTTGTACCAAGTATTCAGAATTTCTTACAGCCAGAATGACATTCAAGAAAACGTTTGAGAGAATGATTGCTGTTACAGATTTTTCTTTGGGTAAAAGTACAGATCAAAACCATATCCAGCAGGGGAGCAACCTTTTTTTTTGTTCTTTTCTTTTTTTTTTGCATCACACATTGAGATTCTATACAAGTACTTCATATGAAACATACAAGAAATATAATGGGAAATGAACGATGAGTTCTGGGAGTTGCGTATAAAAGTTGAACGCCAAGAATAAGGTCTTCACAGTGAATGTCGTTCGTTGAGTTTGTGAAGCCCCGATACAAGAATTCAAAGAAGCAGACCATATAAAGCACTTTCCAATATACCAAATTTGTACGTGTAGAACCTGAAGTTTTGAGTTTCAGCACCGAGTCTTGACAGCATACATAATTGAGGTCGACGTTTTCGTACAGTTCAGCTTTTATGGAATAAATATCACAGTGTCATGTGATAAACATTTCCCAGTTGTACTGATTTTAATAAGGCATATCTGAAGGGAACTCCCATTTAAAACATGTTGTAGAAAGGGAACGTCAATCCAATCCCCAAAATAAAAAGCAGCTCGTCTCGGACTTAACGGAAACGGTCACAAAACATGGCTGTGGAGACGACGAGTCTGTTTTAAACATATATACAAACCGATAAGTGTATATGCATATAAAACAATACGAAACATGTTTAAGGGGAAAAAAAATAAGACATGGCACATTATATAACATACAAAAAAAGAGAGAGACGTCAATCGAAAAATGCTTAATACAAAATGAGTCTCAGAAATAAAAAGGACGAAGTCCGACGTTCACCTCACTGGAACGGGGGGCGATATATAGATACAAAAACATACAAAGGAAAGACACAAATGAAACACTGTAAATTGTGCCTTACGAGCACCAACACGTACACCAGCATATTGTAGATTCTCCTTTTTTCGTTCGTAGGATAACAAAACGGTGTCTTTTCCGTTGAAATGAAAGGAAACGTTTATTTTTAGGATGCTGAGAGAAAAACCGCAACCATCACATGTCCTTTTCTCAGAATGTCCACTGTTTATTGAGTTTCTCCTTCCTGAGAGTAAGCCGAACTTTAATGTTTTTTTTTTTTCTGATCTCACTCTCTATTCATTAAGCGAATGATTGAGAACTCCTCAGCTGCTGAACGTCCTCCCTGTGGCAGGAGAGGTCTCGTGTTTTTGTGAGGATTTGTGCTCAGGCTGTTGTGATGGCGTTTAGGTCCTTCATTAAGCCCTCGAGATGGGCCATTTCCTCCGATAACTCGTCCGTCTCGTAATTCTGAGGGAGATGAAGAAGGTTACTGCGGGGGTGGGGTGAGGTGGGTGAGCTGGGGTTTTGGGAGGGGGGGGGGGGGGGTCAATGGTACTGCAGGAATAATAAAATAGCAGAAAACCAAATAGCACAGCCGCATGCGTGGTAATGGAGGAAGGGAGTAGGGTAGTATGGGGGTTTAATTTATTTCAAACATTTGCAAAGTAATTAATTGTATTAAGCAATAAGTACAGCCGCCGTTAAAAGGGGAAGCAGGTAAAGGTTTAAGAGAGAAGGAAAAAACATGTTACTTTGTATAATCTTTTAATATTCATGTGCAGTGTAATGCTATACTGTAAAGCCGCCGTCACACTACACTTTTCACCCTACAGACTTCATTCAGAAGGCTGATTTATACTTCTGCGTCAAACACACGCGTATGTGTATGCTGCGGCGTAGCCTTCACATAGCCCTCGCCAGTGTTGGGCAAGCTACTTTTAAAAAGCAATCAGCTAAGTAATTAGCTATTCAACTTAAAATGCAGCGTTCAGAAAAAGAAAACACCTGTGATGAAACTTGACAATGCCAGCTAAAACCTAATGCCATCTAGCGTTTTGGAAGTGTTATTGCTGAGCAACACAAACAGCACGCAGAAGTATAAATGCAGGACTACGCTCAGGCGCTGTGGGTCACGCCAATCACTCGATGCAGAAGTATAAATCTGGACTGGAAACGCAAGCTAGTGTGGCAAATTTCGCAGTTTGCTGCATTGCAAACTTCAAGCTTAGTGAACTCGGACCTGCAAAATCGCATCACATGAGACCAATCGAAGATCAAAACTCTGTACAGAAACGTAAAATATGGAGCAATCGCTCGCTTTTTAATAAGTCTAATCATCTTGTTTAACTAAAAAAAATAGGTTAATCAGGTTTCACTATAAAGACATTTGTTGTCTTAATTTTTTTTGACAAGATTTTTCACAGAGTGCCTTGTTGATGCCAGAAACTGGTTCAAGTTGATAGAATGGCATCAATAACTTAATAGTTACTTCAACCTAAAGTTCAGAAGAACTATTTTAATGAGCATTTGGACAAATCTCCAGCATCTGCATGATGCTACCACATCAATGTAAACCGAAATATGTTAAATCTTTTACAAAGTTCTCTAGACAAAAAGGAGCACCTAATGAAGTGGTCAGTCAGTGTACTATATAATATAATAATTAACATTCCTATAGCTTTTAGAACACGAAACTTACAGCAGCAAGGTCATGGGTTTGATTTATCTTGATGTATATATATATATATCTCAATCTCAATGTGAATTGTACAAAAACAGTGAATAATTGATGCTTTTTATCGTCACTGTGGTACAGAGCATTATAGGAACAGAACAGAAGTACTCACACTTCCTGCATCTTCATGAAGTCTGCAGCCTTCTGAGACATCCGGCGCATTTGGAACTATGACAGGCATAGGAGTTCTCGTCCTTCCCAGTGTACCAATAGAGGCTGTTTTAACTGAGTGAGGCCCTGAAACAAATCACTTTAGTCAGATTGTTTGTCAGATTTGTTTGTATATATATATACACACACACACAGACACTACAGATCTAAAGTTTAAAAGATGCTTGCTCAACTGTCAGCTTATGAATCCAAGGCGGAAGAAAGTAGTTCCACATACAAAAGGGTTTTTGAGACTCCATTTTTTATTTTGTTTTTATATACACAATTATGCCGTCAAAATGTTGTATAAACGCAATATCAAACGAGTAGCAGTGCGATAGGGCTGTATATCGGCACTGGTGGGGGCACTAAGGCACTCGGCCTGCGGCCTCATGCCAACACACGCCTCCCACCAGGGCTGATATACAGCCATATTGCACTGCTACTTGTGTGATATTGCTCATTTATACAACAGTTCTGTCTGGTTCCCTAATCTGATTGGCTGATAGCCGTGATATATTTAAGTAATATCAGCACCTGTACAGCCACTTACCCTTAGTGTATTACTCCGCCCACATACAGCTAGCAAAAAGCAGACACAACAGATCTGAAGTTTAAAAGATGCACGCTCAGCTGTTTAACCGTCAGCTTATGATTTGAATCCAATGCGGAAGAAACTAGTTCCTCATACAAAAGGGTTTTTGAGACTTTCCTTGTTTGATTTTGTTTTTATATACACAATTATGCCGTCGAACTGTTGTATAAACGCAATATCACACTCGTAGCAGTGCAATATGGCTGTAAATCGGCACTGGTGGGGGCACTAAGGCACTCGGCCTGCGGCCTCGTGCCAATGCACGCCTCCCACCAGTGCTGATATACAGCCATATTGCACTGCTACTAGTGTGATATTGCTCATATATATATATATATATATATATCAACCATATTTTTTGTAACCAATTAAGCCACTTAATAGTCAATAATTCTTATTTGTACTTTAAAAAGTCAACAATGTACATAAACCATCTAGATGTGTATATGTATAACTCCAAACTTTTATTGTTTACTGTGGTCATAAAGGGATGGACATGGTCAGCAACAATACTCAGGTTGGCTGTGGCGTTGACACGATGCTCAACTGGTACTAATGGACCCAAAGTGTGCCAAGAATATATCCCCAATTACACCTCCACCACCACCAGCAGCAGCAGCAGGCAGGATACAAGGCAGGATGGATCTATGCTTTCATGTTGTTGACACCAAATTCTGACTCTACCATCCAAATGTCGCAGCAGAAATCGAGACTCAGATCAGACCAGGCAACATTTTTTTAATCTATGGTCAAATGGTCAAATTTTGCTGAGCCTGTGTGAATTGTAGCCCTGTTTCCTGTTCTTGGCTGACAGGAGTGGCACTTGTCTGCTGCTGTAGCCCATCTGCCTCAAGGTTGGACGTGTTGTGCGTTCAGAGATGCTCTTCTGCAGAAGTGGTTATTTGAAATACTGTTGCCTTTCTATCAGCTTGAACCAGTCTGGCCATTCTCCTCTAACATCAACAAGGCCTTTGTGCCCACAGAACTGCCGCTCACTGGATATTTTCTCTTTTTCAAACCATTCTCTGTAAACCCTAGAGATGGTTGTGCGTGAAAGCCCAGTAGATCAGGATTTTCTGAAATACTCAGACCAACCTGTCTGGCACCAACAGCCATGGCACGCTCAAAGTCACTTAAATCAGCTTTCTTCCCCATTCTGATGCTCAGTTTGAAGTGCAGCAGATTGTCTTGACCATTTCTACATGCCTAAATGCATTGAGTTGCTGCCATGTGATTAGATGATGAGAAACTTGCAATAATGAGCAGTTGGACAGGCGTACCTAATAAAGTGGCTGGTGAGTTAATAAGCCATGTAGGCTCTGTTTTCTACAAATAGTAATATAACACATGCTCTTTTAGACTCCACAAAGTGGATCACAAAATATGAATGTAATTATGTGGTGTAAAGGGGGAACATACCTGTCTGAGACAGCAGTGGAGTGCTGGGCAAAGCTGCCGAGTCATACATTGCATGGGCCGGGATGGCAGGCACTGCAAAACTCTTAAGTGGGTGTGTAGGTCGAACGTGTGCTGTGGGTGTAGCGAACGCTGGCTCCTCCTCAGCGGCTGAGCTGTGAAAGCTAATGTCCGTCTCTGAAAGGTCAGTGGTGCAAGATGGCTGCCCAGATGGAGGGAGCAGCTCCGCATTAGGGGTGTTCCTTACTGACTCTGTAAGTACAACAGCAAACGGGTCAGCACATGCTGCGTACTACGATTCTGACACAGAAGTGACACAGAAAACCAAAATCATAAGAAGCCCACTAGGAAACCTTTAAAGTCAACATGAATCAGTGTTTACAACCAGAGTAGATCTTATAATGTGTTTATCAGGGTAAATGGCATTGTCAAAATCAGCTGTCAACAGTGATTGAAGGAGTCTGGTGTAAACCAAAAGAAAAAAGGCTCATTCACACCAAGCCAATAACTATAAAGACGAGTTCTTAAAATCATTCTGAATGTAAAACCGAGTTCAGAAACAGCTATAAAGATGTGGAGAAACAATATTGTTACTTTCTATTTTGTTTCCTGTTACCAAACTCTGACAGCCAGTCAACAAACATCCACTGAAATATAAAGAGCCTGAGCAATTTAAAGCTACAGATGACAACGTGAAGAAATACTGCTTGATATTAAGCCCCCTTGTCAAAGACTACATAAAGATAATGACTAATATAGAAAACAATTGGTTATACCATGAGAAAGAATTATTAAAATTCATTGAATTAATGCAGAGGAGGCTAGTAAACAAGTATATAATAGTATTGATAATTTATTACTCTGTTAAACTGTTAAAGTCAGAATTATTAGCCCCCCTGAATTATTAGCCCCTCAGTTTATTTTTTTTACCTCAATTTTTGTTTAACGGAGATAATATTTTTCAGCACATTTCTAAACATAGTAGTTTTAATAACTCATCTATAATAACTGATTTCTTTTATCTTTGCCATGATGACAGTAAATAATATTTAACTAGATATTTTTCAAGACACTTCTATACAGCTTAAAGTGATAGTTAAGGGCTTAACTAGGTTAATTAGGTTAACTAGGCAGGTTAGGGTAATTAGGCAAGTTATTGTATAACGATGGATTGTTCTGTAGACTATCGAAAAAAAATAGCTTAAAGGGGCTAATAATTTTGACCTTAAAATGGTGTTTAAAAAATGTATAACTGCTTTTATTCTAGCCGAAATAAAACAAATAAGACTTTCTCCAGAAGAAAAAATATTATCAGACACACTGTGAAAATGTCCTGAATCTGTTAAACATAATTTGGAAAATATTTAAAAAAAAATTCAAAAGGGGGCGAATAATTCTGACTTCAACTGTATATGGTGTTTTTCTGGGCACTCAAAGTGCTTTACAGGTTTGGCGGGAATCTCCTCAACCATCACCAGTATTATAAGTATTCTGTATGAATAAACGTATCTCAGGTTTCCAGTGCTAGTTGCACCCTTTAAAACGTCTTGGGGAAATAGTTTGTTGTTTTGGTTCTACAACAGTGACTATGATCGCTAAATTTGCTTGATTAAATTAGCACATTTTAAAATAAAGACTGGCTGGTTATATGTGCAAGAAGCACACTGAAGACATTTACCGGTTACAAGTGAATCATGGCGAATAAAAGAAAACTAACAAACACATTTTTACCATTCGTCAGTGTGGACACAAATATATGTTATTGATATTTATAGTTATCGTGCATGTTGTGAATGACTCTTAACGTTCACCAGATTATCAAGTCATGAGAATATTATTTGTCATAAATGTGAATAAACTATGCATAATACTGTCAATACAATGACTTAAGACAATCAAATTTAACTAACTGACTTGAAGAAAGTAAATATGATGCATTTTGCTTTCATGTTGCCTTTAAAGTGGTAATGATGGTTTTGGAACATGACCGTTGGGTTGTATTCAACCAAAATAGGTCTACCAGCTCTAACCATCTTGACCGAGATGGTCTATTAAATTGAAGCCAGGTCGGTGACCAAAAGTAGGGCAGCAAGTTATATTAGATATATATTTAGTTTTTCTGCACTGTATTTAGCGACATGATTACAATTTACCACATGGCTTACACAGCTCTATTTGGAAAAAATAATTCATCTGGATTGACTGAGATAATTCCAGGGCTTTATGGTTTTCTGAAGGGTCAAACAAGTAGAGAAATTGAATAACCAAATGTAACACAACAGCATATAGTCTCTATTGTACAACTAATTCAATAAAATAATCTTTATTCAATTTGCAAAGGGTAAACTCTCTTAAATTCTCTCAGACACAGGCTTTAAAAACACATGCTAAATGATTTAGAACTATGGCTCTTGGTTAACTATAATCTCGACTCAACATTGTACATCCTGACTACACAACAGAGTCTTGTCGTTGATCTCAGTTGCAACAAATAATAACTTGACTTGTAGTTCATCAATCATTCACTCATTCAATCATTTGGAAAAGTGGCTGAAGGTCGATTTTTCGGATGAATCATCTGTTGAACTGCATCACGATCATCACCTATACTGCAGAAGACCAACTGAAACCCGCATGGATCCAAGATTCTCAAAGAAATTAGTCAAGTTTGGTGAAGGTAAAATCATGGTTTGGGGTTACATTTAGTATGGGGAGAGTGAGAGATCTGCAGAGAGGATGTCAACATCAACAGCCTGAGGTTTCAAGACATTTGTGCTGCCAATTACATTACAAACCACAGCAAAGGGCAAATTCTTCAGCAGAATAGCGCTCCTTCTCGTACTTCAGCCTCCACATCAAAGCGAAAGAAGGTCAAGGTGCTTCAGGGCTGACCAGCCCAGTCACCAGACATGAACATTATTGAGCATGTCTGGGGTAAGATGGAGGAGGCATTGAAGATGATTCCAAAGAATATTGATGAACTCTGAGAGTTCTGCAAGAACGCTTTCTTTGCCATTCCAGATGACTTTATTAATCAGTGATTTGAGTCATTGCAGAGATGTATGGATGCAGTCCTCCAAGCTCATGGGAGTCATCCACAATATTCATTCTTTTTCCACGGCAGCTTTGCCTTTCATATAAGCCACTTTTGATACCAAATGATCAACTAGAAGTCAAGTTATTATTTGTTGTTATTAAAACTTGGATAGACGACAAGAGTTTTGTCAGGTAGTGTATGTGACTATTCCAGATGCGCACATTGCGATACCGATTCTGATTTGATATATCGTGCAGCCCTAACAAAAAGTAATCCACAAAGACCTCAAGTTGTTTTTTGGTTCAATATTCTCATAGAGAGAGTTTCACTTAAATCCCACCGTCACCAACCAATTTCACCTTCACGTTGACAGGAAAACAAGAGCGTTTCCCAGGACTCTGAACGAACCCATTTGTGTCCAGGTTTGATGGAGGTCTTGCGCTCTCACCTGTGGACTCTGCCCTGTCTAGATGAGAGATGGGGGTGGCGATGGAGCGCGTGCTGCTCTGGTGGTGGAGATAGCTGCGTGTCGGCGAGGCCAGGCTGCCCAAGTGATAATGATGGTGATGGTTATCGAGGGAATGGATGGGGTGAGCACTAATCACAGCTGTGAATGGACACAAACAAGAGCGCCATGGTTTAGACCTCACACACAAAAGCTATGGGATTATGGCGAGCAGCATGGTGCGGCTAGAACATCTGCTCATGCAAAACAAAGAACAACACAGATTGACAGATATGATATATGTTGATAGGTTAAAGAATTTTTATAAAACTAAAAACATACTCTAGACAAGTGCCTGTGCTCTGGTGCCAAGAAACCTCAGTACTTAACCCTTGTGTGCTTGTAGAGATGTTTTCTTCCACTCTGGGGTGATTTTGAGTCTTAATTTAGCCACACATTTCTCTGTTTCAGCAAATGGAAGGATTTTTTTTGGTGACAAACCTTATTTTGACACATATTTTGGGAAAACACTTTGAAAATGTTCAAAAACTCAACTATAAACTCGGGGAACATTTACTACCCTTTCGTTATGTTCATGACTGTTTTCGTTATAATGGACGTCAATTGGGCAAAAACAGCCACTAACATAACAAAACGGTAGTCCATTTAAACAATACACAAGGCTTAACATGGTGGACTGTAATTGTTTTTTTTTTTTTTGCTTCACAACTGTACTAGTTAGTAAGTATACATTTTAGGCATCTGTATTTTATCAAAGTATATGTATATTAAAAACCCTCTACTATCCAAAACAAAATATTGTACTTTACTCTACTACAGTGAGTACATTACGAGTAAAAAAGTTATTTTAAAGTAGATAAAGTGGATAGTAGATAGCTGCGTTTAATTTGTGAACAAGCTGAATTTTATTAGTTAACCTGTTAAATTGGTTGACATTTGTACATAAATCAACAACTTCAATTGATTCAAATGATTCATTTAGAGTGAGTCTCCAGTTAACAACACACTGAGTCAAACAATCCATTCAATCTATGGTAAAAGACTCACTAAAAGTTGGTTTATACTTTTGCGTTGAGTGATCGCCGTGACCGACGGTGCCTACCTTGCGCATACTCTGCAAAAATACTTCCGAAATGCTAGCTGGTAGTAGGTTATGTTCACTGTGTCGACTTTCTTTGTGGGTGTTTTGTTTTTTCTGAAAGCTACCTTAATGTGCAAGTAGCTAAAACTCGCTCATTCCGGCGGACATGGAACAACTTTAGGGGAAACACAAAACAGAAGTATAGAGTTCTAGAGCTGCTTCACGGGACTCAACACTTGTAAACACTCGTTCCATCAGGTTTGTGGCTCTCAGCACCGCCCACACTCATCACCGAGTCCAAGCCGACCAATCACAGAGCTTGCTATATGCGTTGCTGTGACGTGCAGTTACATTTTTTGAGAGGTGCGCATCAGTGTTAGCCGCGGCGAGGACTATGCAATGAGCATACGCGTGCGCTTGATGCAGAAGTATAAATCTGGCTTTATTCAAATGACTTATTGAAAGTGAGTCTCTGGTAAACGATTCAAAAATTAAATGAACAGTTCAGTGTGTCTCTGGTAATCGATTCACTGGTTTTACAAACTGGGGTTCAGCATGTAAACGTAGTTTCACGTTTTCACTTGTATTTAAAAATCAAATACTTTTGTACTTTGACACAAGTAATATTGAAATTGAGGACTTAATACTTCAACTAGAGTAATATTTTATTAGGGTTTTATTATCTGTCCTTTCACTCCAGTGCCTGATTTGTGTACCACAACGAGTACTCAAGGGGATGTTATTATTTACATGTATAACTATAAATGTGTGACATTTACCGTTTGCATTTCTGTACTTGGGTAGAGTATGTTTTTCCACTACAACTACAATAATGGACTCAGGGAACCCATTTTGAGGTTACTCTAAAGAACATTAAATGATTAACATCCCAACATAAGGGTGGACAAACACAGTTCTGCAGAGGTTTGATCCAAACACAATCAAATTACACTTATCTGCAGCTTTGACTCAAGTAATATTGAAAATGAGGACTTTATACTTCAACTAGAGTAATATATTATTAGGGTGTCTGTACTTTTTCCATTACTAGTACTCGTACATGTTATCATTTAGATGTACAACTATAAATGTACGACTTTAAGAATTAGCTGAGATATTCACTCTTGCAAAGCGATTAATTGTTAGGTTAGAGCCATTTGCATTTCTGTACTTGGGTAGAGTATTGTTTTGGACTACTACTACAATAATGAACTCAGGGAACCCATTTCGAGGTTACTCTAAAGAACATACAATGATTAACATCACAACATAAGGGTGGACAACCACAGTTCTCCAGAGTTTTGATCCAACCTTAATCAAATATCACCTATCTGTAGCTTTCTAGTAATCCTTGAAGGCCCTTTGAAGTGATTTGAAATTTGTATTTTGCTTTGATGTGTAATTTCATCCGAAACACGAAGTAGCTCCTCCCTTTTGTTAAAAACAGCCAATAAAATCTCGTTTTTATCACAGCTCTGCCAATGAGTGATTGAGCATAAGTGCATCAAAAAAAAAAGCAAAAGAGAAGCGTTTTGAAGAGGCAGAACATGTCAGAAACTAAAGAGCATTTGATTGGTAACGAGATTTGATGAGAAACTGAAGTATAAGGAGATGTCAACAAAATCAAATTGAATAATTTAGGCCGTTAGGATGTTTATATCTTCTAAAAGTGAATTTTGTCACTGTTTTGGAGCACTCAAAACTATATATATTCTTAAGACTAACATACTGATACTAACTATCTCCTAAAAAAAAAAAAAAAAAATATATATATATATATATATATATATACATACACACATATATATATATATATATTTCACTGTGACTTTACAATCTAACTCGCTTGTTCAGGTGTGTTAGATGAGGGTTGGAGTGAAACTCTACAGTACTGTGGTTCTTCAGGAAAGTCCTACAGAAAAGAAAAAAAGGCCAAATTGAGGGTGTCTGGTCCCCGGATCACACACTTACGCTGAGGGGGTTGTGCATCAAAGGGCATCATCATTTTAGGTCTCATCCCCCGACGGCCTGCCAGTGTAGACATGCTGTCCTCTGATTCATGGCCTGCAAATCAGACAGCGACCACCAATCAGACTCAGACAGACTTACCCACCCAACAGGCTCCCAATATAAGCTTTCCCAATGTCAGTTGCCAAGAACTGCAGTAGGATTCTACTGTTTGTCAACTAGAGGGCAGTGTAAACGCACACATCAGAGCTGTAGCACAGGGGAGCAGCAGATGGATATTCACCATTCATGCCACGAAAACAAAGGAAACAAGGCTGCACATCTTTCCATTTAAGCAAGAAACATGCCAATCACAGACAATAGTAAACATGACTTGGAAGCGTCCTTCAGAAGCAGCAGCTGGAATGATGTTATGGATGATGTAGTAGGTGAAATGGTTTAAAGATCCCATGAATTAGCTTCACATTTCTTGTGATCTTATTGAAACCCAATGATGGGGTTGGGCATATCAAAATCCTAAATCTAAAATAGCCTTATGTTAGCATCATAGTACAGCAAAACCAATTTATTGCGTTTTACTATAGAAAGTGAGGGGTCTGGTCTGTTAAACTACTTTATTTATTTCATGGGGTCTTCAAATCAGTGTTCTTACCACGGTAAGAGTTGCGTCTCTGGAGCATAGGATCCATGGAGCCGTCCACCGGCGTGATGTCTTGGGAGGTCCTGGGGATTGGTGTGTCGGTCATGACTGGATTGGGTTCGGGTGATTTGTCTATGGGCTTTAGCTCCAAACGTTCATGGTGGATCCAGAGGTCTGGTGGTTTGAGATCTTTGGAGTTGCCCTTATACTTGTGGGATCCATTGGCGGACTTGCAGGCGGCCCTTTTCCTGGAGATCATATCAAATGGTTTGAGGAAAGCTCGTGGCTAACACATTTATGCCAGGACTGAGGACTAAGACTGATCGTAAATGTGAGATTTGAACTGGAACACTGTGAGGAACTTACTTTTTCTGTTGTGTTGTGGTACGACGTGTACAAAGGAAGGCGCCCACCACCACCACGATGATGGTAAAAGCACCCACGGACACAATGATGACAATAACCAGGATGTGGTTATCACCAGTGCCAGACATGTCTGGTTTCCCTGAAACATGGAAAATCTATGGTCAGAATGTTTATATGGGGGAAAAGTCAAACTTTGAATGTTGGCCTTTCAAGTTTTTGCATGAAAGTTTTGAATGTCAAAACATTCGGACAAAAACAGAAGGTGTTGGTGAAGTGCTGCTATGTGGCTAGGTCATAATATGTAGCTGAAGCATGGCAACAGTTTTGCTAAATGCCAGTTGTGCTAAATGATTGCAAGACACTGCTAAGTGTTTACTATGTTCGTATAAAGGTGTTGTTAGTTTAATGCAATGGTTGCTGGGGGCAAGTTGGTGGTTGTTGCTATTCATCTTAATTCATGAGGTGTAGGGTTGGGTTCATTCACAGGTAGAGTGCTGCTAGGATAAGGAAGGTGTTGCTTGATATTGGACTTATTTTCAGGGACTACAGAAAATAGTTTTACAGCGTTTGCTTGGTGAACAGTGGGGCTAGGATGGACTCTACTTGTTTTGTTTAGAGCATTGCAAGGTGGTTACAAAACACTGCTAGGGTCTTGATTCGTTGTTGGTAAGGTGTTGTTCAAGGGTTGATAGTTGTGGGTAGTTGAAATATATATATATATATATATATATATATATATATATATATATATATATATATATATATATATATATATATATATATATATAGGGGTGGATCATATGTTACTGCTGAGATGTTGCAAGGTGTTTATTGGAGTATTAATAAGTTGCTGATATATTGCTCAAGTGTTGGAAGGAACTGGTTAGGTGTGTTATGAAGAGATTTCTAGATTGTTATTACAGCCCAATGGTTGGACCCGGGGTCACCAAACTTGTTCCTGGAGGTCCTGCAGATTTTAGCTCCAAACCTAATCAAACACCCCTTAACAAGATAATCAAGGTCTGACTAGGTTTACATGAAACTTCCAGAAGGGTGTCTTAGGAAGTTTGAGCTAAACTCTGCAGGGACACCGGCCCTCCAAGACTGAGATTGGTGACCCCTGGGTTTGATAGTCAGACTGTAACCTGAAGGTTACAAAAATAGGATGCCATTAATTGACATACCAGGTCTCGCACCTACAAAAGCCACCTCTTGTTCATTGTGTTACGTCCTATGAGGAGCAAGTAATTGATAACTTAAGGAAAAAAGGCCTAAATTGGCAGATCCTACTGCAGCAAAACCATTTTAAAAAATATTTTGCACCATTTTTTTTCTCTTCAACTGATTTGAGAGTAACTCATGTGATATTCCAGTTCTGTGCATAAATTTAACTCACATCTTTGGGTTGAAACATAGCTACTTTTGGTAGGGACTACTGGGCAGTTTTTATAGCACTGGCAGGTTGGTGCTAGGTCTTTGAGACACTACAAGGGCACTGGTTGTAATAGAATCACTATGTAATTTAAAGAACAGTACTATGGTGTGTTTTTGGTTGTTTTTCTGATACACAGCAAGATATTTGCAGGGTGTATAAAAAAAAATAAGAAGAAGAAAAAACAGCAATTACCAGGTGATCCAAAGCCGTTATCTGGTGCAGAAGGTCTTCCTTGTTTCACAGATATGCCTGGAGCTACGAGAGGTCAGATAAAAATAATTGGAAAGTGGCACATTGGAATCTCCAATTCTCAAGTAAAGTTTACACCAAGAAAAATGTTCCAGTTATTACAAAAATAACAAGCAATTTACACATATAAACCAGCAGCTGTCCTTTAGAGAAAAGCGTGGCACTCATCTTTTAAACCAAAAACGTGCTTGGAAAAGACTGTTAGTAGTATGAGGTGTAGCCACATGTGCATGTTGCTGATAAACTCTAAGTAAATGGCAGTCAGGCAAACAAATAAGATGTTTTCCTGCCTATACACCAGCTGGATTGTATCGTGCCTGCTGATGAATTTCAGCGTGCAGGGAAAACAAGCTGCTCACTTCAATTTGAAGACATTAGTGGAATAAGAGAAGAGAGAGCAATTACCTTGGTCATTAGCCATTTTGTCAGAGGATTCAGCTAGCAGGACAAAGCAGAAGGAGAGGAGACAGGTTAGAGGGAGAGAGGCGTGCAGTCGGAGCTAAGCAGGAGCCGGTGTGAAAGATCAGCGAGGTCAGGGTAAACGCAAAAGGGTTAAGCTTCAGATCAACTTTCAAAGTAGCGTATGTGTACATGTTCACCACAAATCAATTCTAACCCTGATTAAAAATACAGCACAAATTCCAACACGGCAATTCCATGGCATGGCAATTTGTGGCTATTTTACATCAGTGGCTAATCCATATGAATTCACAACATCTCATTGACTTGGGTAAGATCTGCTTACATCCCAGAGATATTTATATTTAGGGCCTTACCTTCTGCAAACTGCAAATTTTCATAGGAATTCATATGAGTTAGCCACTACTTTGGGTATTCATGTCAGATTAGGTGAATTCCCTTGCTGAAATTGTGGTCTTGGTTAGGGATGGGCAACTTCGGTCCTGAAGGACCACTGTCCTGCAGGGTTTTGTTCCAACACTTCTCAAACAGACCTGAACAAGCTAGTCAGTGTTTTCAGATCACTAATAAGCTACAGGCAGGTGTGTTTGATTAGGGTTTTTTGCTAAACTGTGCAGGACCGAAGTTGCCCATCCCTGGTTTCGGTCAGGGGTGTCAAACTCAAATTCCGTTGAGATGTCCGGTTCAGAGATGGGACCCATCCCCTTGGAGTTACAGGCCTGGATCTTGAAGTAGTAGGTGGCCTTGAGGGTCAGCTCCTGAATTTGATTGGTTTTCCCAAGGGTCACCAACCCTGTTCCTGGAGAGCTACCTTCCTGCAGAATTCAGCTCCAACCCCGTTCAAACACACCTGAACCAATTAATTAGTACCTGAAGCAGCACTTGATAATAGAGACAAGTGTGTTTGGTCAGGGTCGCAACTGAAATTTGCAGCAAGGTAGCTCTCCGGTAACAGGGTAGGAGACCCCTGGGTTAGTCTATTTCTCACGACTAGGTCAATGACCGAGGGTTTAGTTCTAACCATATACTAACACATTTTCCTCCAGGTTTCAGACAAGTCTGAAGGACTCAATTACTTTGTTAAGGCTGTTTAATTAGGGTTTGAACTAAACTGTGCAGAGCTGCGGCCATCCAGGAACTGAGTTTGACACTCAGGTCCGAAGTTACCCATCCCTGGTTTCGGTCAGGGGTGTCAAGCTCAAATTCTCTTGATATGTTCTCTTCAGACAATGGGACCCATCCCCTTGGAGTTACAGGCCTGGATCTTGAAGTAGTAGGTGGTATTAAAGGTCAGCTCCTGAATTTGATGGTTTAGCCCAGGAGTGACCAACCCTGTTCCTGGAGAGCTACCTTCCTGCAGAATTCAGCTCCAACCCTGTTCAAACACACCTGAACCAATTAATTAGTACCTGAAGCAGCACTTGATAATGTGTGTTTGGTCAGGGCTGCAAATGAAATTTGCAGCAAGGTAGCTCTCCAGGAACAGGGTTGGTGACCTCTGGGTTAGCCTATTTCTCACGACTAGGTCAATGACCCAGGACTTAGTTCCAACCCTACACTAAAACAGTTGCCTCCAGGTTTTAAACAAGTCTGAAGGACTCAATTACTTTGTTAAGGCTGTTTAATTAGGGTTAGAACTAAATTGTGCAGAGCTGCGGCCATCCAGGAACTGAGTGTGACACTCAGGTCCAAAGTTACCCATCCCTGGTCTCGGTCAGGGGTGTCAAGCTCAATTTCTCTTGATATGTTCTCTTCAGATATGGGACCCATCCCCTTGGAGTTACAGGCCTGGATCTTGAAGTAGTAGGTGGAATTAAGGGTCAGCTCCTAAATGTGATGGTTTAGCCCAGGAGTGACCAACCCTATTCCTGGAGAGCTACCTTCCTGCAGAATTCAGCTTTAACCCTGTTCAAACACACCTGAACCAATTAATTAGTACCTGAAGCAGCACTTGATAATGTGTGTTTGGTAGCTCTCCAGGAACAGGGTTGGCGACCTCTGGGTTAGCCTACTTCCCACGACTAGGTCAATGACCCAGGGTTTAGCTCCAACCCTACTCCAACACCCTTACCTGTAGGTTTCAAACAAGTCTGAAGGACTTGATTACTTTATTCAAGTGTGTTTAATTAGGGTTGGAACTAAACTGTGCAAAGCTGTGGCCCTGCAGGAACTGAGATTGACACCTCTGCCCTAGATGATCCTAGATGATCAAGGTTGAAGGCCCGGAATACTTCAAAAGTAGTCAAAGAACAAATTGAAATGACTTCATTTTGAAGTTTGCTTTGAGTTAGTTTTGGCAGTTCAAAACAGCTCACCACAGCAAACTTTTGGGCGAGCTGAGCTCCAGCAAGGGGGAGCTTGAGCTTGAGCTCCACCTTTTTTGCACTTCTTCTACGAGTGATGTCACTGGGGGTAGGGTTAGGGGTGGGGTTGGTGTACGCATTAAAACAGCTTACAGGAGGCAGAGCGAGAGCTCATGCTCCCCCTCGCTGGAGCTCAGCTCTGCTCAAATGCTCTGCTCAAAGCTCTGCAGCGAGCACCACTTAAACTTTTGAGGATGTTTGTTTAGGCTCCTAAAAACTTTTGTTCTATTGGATCCATAACAATTATTCAATTGTTTGGAGTGTACTGGAACATGTCCGATCAAGATTTTTAAGACTTGGAGGGGGTCATACACCAGATAAGAAGAACCAACGTGTTATAAAGGTCTAAACAATTTTCCAGTCGATGTCTGCATATAGGTATGGGACAATAACCCCTTTACCTCAGTTTGGAAAGTCACAGTTTTAAAACAGTAAAAATGTATGGCATAACGTTCCTGTGGTATGATATGATATATATATATATATATAAATATTATAAGTTGTCAAAGATTAATTTAATAATTTATTTAGGGCCATCCACATCTAAAGCTACTGGTCAGCCCATGATTCAGCAAACTTCTGAAAAAACATATGGTTTAGGCACCTACATCCAAGCATGATATGGACTTGAACAGTGCAGTGGTTAACTTATATCCAACAAAAAGTTGTCCATCCAGACATTTAAAAAGATCTTTTTTTGTGGTACTTATCACAATACTGTGAAACCGTGATAGTTTTATCCAAGGTTATCATACCATCAAAATCTTATACAACAAAAAGCAATATGAAGATGTGGTGTGCTGCGGTGGTGCTTCTTGACTAGAGAAGGCATGACAGATGTTAATATAACTGTACTTCTTTCTGTCCTCAAACAAAGAATGGAAAAGACCTTCAATTGGAGCCAAATAAGATAAGCCTGTTGGTTATAACAGCACCTCATCATATAATTTGGATTCATAACCCTACATATGCTTGTTAGCAGGCAGCAGTTCTAATTCATGAATCAGCCGGTTTACCTTTAGGAGTGCGGAACTGGACCGCTTCCGACATGGGACCCATGCCCTTGGAGTTCCGAGCCTGGATCTTAAAGTAGTAGGTGGTATCAAGGGTCAGCTCCTGAATTTGATGGGTTAGCCTGTTTCCCACGACTGGCTCAATGACCCAGTCATGAACCTCTGCCTTCACATCAGTGCTGTAATAAATGATGTAACCTGGAAAGGCAGAGCAGGGTGTTGGGTAAAATAGGGCACAAGAACATTCATTTCCATAATTGGTTCCTTATTTTTAACATAACTTTGTCACCTGTAATTTTGCCATTGGCTTCTGATGGCGGCTGCCAGTTGACGATGATGGTTTTTGGTCGTCCCTCTTTGCTCACTACAGTCACATCTTTTGGTGGAGAACTTGGGACTAGAGTGAAAGATAACCGTTACGCTGATTCTTTTTGGTTCTTGAATCTGATTGGCTGAAAGCTAGATATGCTGGTGATTTGTTTTATTTTGACTAGAATAAAATAAGTTTAATTTATTGAAATTTTCAATATTCAGTATTATCAATATTGAAGATTATTGATTATTACTCAAAGTTCTACAGGACTAAAAAACAAGTAAGCGTCTAAGAAAACTGACATATTTTGGCATTTTCCCTTTTCATGATGACATTCAGAAACATTCATTCATTTTCTTGTCAGCTTAGTTCCTTTATTAATCCGGGGGTCACCACAGCGGAATGAACCGCCAACTTATCCAGCAAGTTTTTACACAGCGGATGCCCTTCCAGCCGCAACCCATCTCTGGGAAACATCCACACTCATTTATACACACACTCATACGCTACGGACAATTTAGCCTACCCAATTCACCTGTACCGAATGTCTTTGGACTGTGGAAGAAACCGGAGCACCCGGTGGAAACCCACATTTAGAAAAGTTCACTGGAGAATTGTTCGTACAACTTAACATCAGGGTCTATGGCTTGATTCTGCTCCACCTTGAACACTTACTTGACTCAAAAGTTGTTCCGTGTGCAGTCATGCTCCAGGTACTGGTCCTCCGTCCCTTGGTCACCATAACCGAAAACTCATACAAGGTATTGGGTTTAAGACCCGTCACCGTGTGAAATAGCGTCGTGGTATTAGCCACCTAAAATAAATAAGTCGTGTTAGTGGAATAATAACCCACGTCTTTATCCTTGTCCAGATTCTGTTAGCCATACCTTAAACTTTGTGTTTGCGGGTATGTTGGTCTTCCAGCGCACTGTATAGTAGCGCGCATCTGTGATCTTCTGGTTCTTAGGCAGCGAGTTGTCCGCCCAGGTGACTTTGATGGTGTCTTGGTTCAGGACAGATGCCTGAACGCCCACAGGAGGCAGCATGGGTATAGGGTCTGGTACTGGAGTGTATGGAGCATGGAAAAGTTCGTACAAATCAACGTCAGGGTCTATGGGGTCTGCAAGCAATTTACACAATGTTCCATGGCGAAAAGAAAAAGGTGAACGAAAAAAAAGGTGAGCGCGATTACACATAAAGGGAAGGGAGACACGTAATGAAGGTAAAGAATGGGTTAATGGGTTAAAATGGGAGGGAGGAGGGGTGGAGTATGGAGGCGGGATTGGGAAAGGAGAAAGAGAGAAAATATTGGATTAGAACAGAGTCAAAACACCATCCAGAGCTATAGAGAACTACATCTACAATGAGTCAAGGAGCTACATCAACACAGGTTTCACAACCAGCTACATTACAGATATAGGAGGAAACAATATTACAGGAAATTGGATTTCAAACCCCTAGGAGTTAAGGTGGAACTGCATGGGAATTGTTAAAAATTGGAAAATATATACTGTTGGAAAAATCAAGCAGCATCAACTTGTTATTTAGTAATTAGTTCACATATTTAATTCCACTCTTTACACATATGACTTGTATTGTTCTTCTTTTAGTTGCTCTAAACTTAAAGTAACAAACTTTTCGGAAATAATCTCGTTTTACCATTTTTAAAAACCATTCAGATGATCTGCGAGCGTGGAGGGAGCACTTTTACATTAGCTTAGCATAGATCATTGAATCTGATTAGACCATTAGCATAGAAAATAGCAGTTCTTAATTTCTTACTACACAATGTAACTACAGAAAATAAACATGAAAATTATTAAATGATTTTTTTGAGTTAGCTGCTAATTGTCTAATCCAATTCAATGAGCCGATTCAAGCTAAAAGTGTTCCCGATAGACCCAAAGATCAGCAGAAAAGATATAAAATAGTAAATGTATGAATAACAAAATGGTAAAACTCAACTTTATAACTATAAGAGAGTTGTAAAACCGTATTTCTAAAGTAAAAATCTAGTGTTCCTTAAACCCCAACTATAAAATCGACTAAATTGGGTTTATCAGTCCAGACTCCAGTCAGCATGAAAACAACCATGTAATCCTTGTAATGTTCACCCAAAAGAATCTTTCTTGAGTTAGATGCTAATGGTCTAATCCGATTCAATGATTTATGCTAAGCTAAGCTAAAAGTGAGAATTGGCAGAATGGATAAATTGGTAAATTTTCAAATAACAAAATGGTAAAACTCAACTTTATAACTTTAGGAGAGTTGTAAAATGGCCGTGTTTCAGAAATAAAGTGGAGTGTTCCTTAAACCCCAACTATAATATCAGCTAGATTGGGTTTATTAGTCCAGTCAACATAAAAACAATTATGTAATCCTTGTAATGTTCACCCAAAGAATCTTTCTCGAGTTAGATGCTAATTGTCTAATCTGATTCAATGATTTATGCTAAGCTAAGCTAAGCTAAAAGTGCTCCCGCTAAACTTGGAGATTGCCATAATGAAAAAAAAAAGGTAAATGTACTTTTTTTTTTTTGGGCGAGATGCTAATGGTCTAATCCGATTTAATGAAATATGCTAAGCTAGGGTAAAAAAGCTCCCGCTAGATCCAGAGAACAGCTGAATAGATAAAATGGTAAATGTACGAATAACAAAATGGTATCATTTAACTTTTTAACTACAGAAGAGTTGTAAAATGAGCCTATTTTGAAAATAAAAGTCTAGTGTTCCTTTAACCTCAACTATGATATCGGTTAGATTGAGTTTATTAGTCCAGTCAACATAAAAACAATCTTGTAATGTTTGTAATGCTTACTCAAAAGACTTTTTTTAGCGAGATGCTAATGGTCTGATCCGATTCAATGATTTATGCTAAGCTAAACTAAAAGTCCTCGTGCTAGACCCAGTAATCAGCAGAATGGATTAAATGCTAAATGTATGAATAACAAAATGTCAAAACTGAACTTTTTAACTACATCAGAGTTGTAAAATGAGCCTATTTTCCAAATAAAAGTATAATGTTCCTTTAACCTCAACCATAATATTAGCCAGATTGGGTTTATTAGTCCAAACAAAATCGAAACAATCACATACTGCTTTAAAAAGTATATTTTACAGACTTATTTCTTACCTACTGTAAGCCAAGCACTGATATTAGCTCAGTCTAGATATCTGACCACTTTTTTTGCCGTTTTTACAGTGTAATTAAATGTAATACTCCTCACATTTTTTTAGGTCAACTGAATTATCAGTATTACTTCAAGGACACAAGCATTCAGCTACAGAAAAAAGGGTTCAAATGCTGCACAAATGTGTTTACAGCAACAACAAAAAAAGCTTTTAATTTTTCTTTTCCGTCTATTCATGGTTTACATTCAATAACCTTGTCTGAGTCGAGGCTTAAGAGATAGATTTTTTCTTTTTATTATTTTTGATAATTCTCCTCCTTTATATCAAGTCAAATCTTTTAAATAATTTCAGTGTAGGGAGCAGGATTGCTGATATGATAGTGTCAAATACCAACATCTTAGAAGCCTGATCCATTTATAGATTTAACGCTGTTAGCCTGCCTTAAATCAGCCGTTTTCCTAAACGCTCTCTCCAAAGAATAACAATTCTCAGAGGGGAAATGTGTGAAAATGAGAAAACATTCTTTTAGGCTTGAGCGTTTAAACTGTTTTCATATGGCAAAGGGGGAAAAACAGGTTATTTTCCACATAAATGAGGCAGCGCTCTTTCGTACAACCCCATAGTGAGCACTATGTGCGCTTGAGCTTGTTTTCAGGAAAATGTAAATGGATTTGGTGTCCAACTAGTCTGTAATGCCCCCCCCCAAAAACAACACATAAACTACAAAGTACTCGTTAGCATACAGCATGCTCATCATTTCCTCTGGTACAGGCAAAACTGGTACATTCACCTGCTATTGCACATTAAAATGACACAGTGTCTTATGGTAGAAGGGATGTTTATGTATGAAGGAACGGGGAGGTGAGGAGATAAACTCTGCTGGAGGTCTTCAAAACCCCCTGCAGCAGCTTTTCCTTCAGTTCAGGTAAAGGTGAACTAGGAGGAATAGTAAATGCCATGTTCAACAATGCATGCTGGGAGGTAATAAGAATGTACCCCTGATCAAGACGGGGGGTGAGAAATCATCCAGCTTCAGTTTTTGCAGTGTGAATCGTGTTCTTGGCATTAATGTACTGTTTTGCTCATGTTATAGACAGAGAGACAATATTTAATTTAATGAATAGAAAAACAACAATATGATTAAAACAAAAAGAGAATCAATCATGATTTTATTTGACATTGTACTTATGTAATCTACTGTATATACACTACCTGACAAAAGCCTTGTTGCCTTACAAGCTTAAGGAACAACAAATACTAACTTGACTTCTAGTTGATCATTTGGTGTCAGAAATGGCTTTTATGAAAGGCAAAGGCCTCTAGATTACGCTAATTTTACCAAAATAAAATATGATCATGCATGATTTCTAATTATTTAATTAGGACAGTAAGGTCTGACTTTGCTTAGACAAAAGTCTTGTCACCTAACAGAAATAATGTACAGTATAGAATATAAAGTCATGGTGAAGTAGAAACAGAATTAATATTGTGTATGACTCCATCATGAGCTTGAATGACTGCATCCATACATCCAGTGGCGCAAAAAGGGGGTATGCAGTATATGCGGCGCATAGGGGCGCCACACGTGGGGGGCGCCATTGTGCCAAAACTATTTTTGAAATTATCCATATTAAAAGTTTCAAATAATATATACACACACACACACACACACATATATATATATATATATATATATATACTATATATATATATATATATATATATATATATATATATATATATATATATATATATATATATATATATATATATATGTATTTGTAAAAAATGTTTATTTAGCATTTTATACGCGTATAATATTGTATTTTATTAAATTTAAAAATCATTCCACCCCCCCACCCCCATTTTTCATACCATATACATGTTTTTATGAATTTATTATGTATCATATTGATTCATCAGACCTTTTGGTAACTTCTTAGCTCAAAACTATTTTAATTTTAGCTACAAACAAAGTTATAACATTTCAGTTAAATAGAACATTTGTTTGTTTCTTTTTCTTTTTTTTTTACACTAAACATTTGACAGTCTTTTTTATTTAACTTTTAGCAGTTTCAGTCAATTGTTCTTGCAAATACTGACCTTACACTTCTCAAAGTATGCATGTGAGAAGTAATTGCAATGTTCTTTTGCCCTTTAGGACTCCCATGTCTATCATTTTGTTTTGAAAAATGTAGTACAAAAAGTCCAAAAGCAAGGCTAGTCAAGGTGATATAATCATTTAGTGAGGGAAAATTAAATTGAGAAGAAATTTGGGGTGGTATGAGATGCATTTCTTTGCGACTTAACATGCTTAATGTAATTATACCTTTTACTACTTCATACTATTTCAGCTGTGTTCAGAACTGCGAAACTGTATTTTTTGAAGCATATTGAAATCTTTATGAAAAAATATCTTTAATTTATTGATGGAAATATTTTCCACATTTTATCACTTGCCTGTTATAAAATATAGTTGGATTGAAGGGGGGGCGCACAAAAGTTGAAGCCGCATACCCATCAGTAAATGTGCAGTTGCCCCCCTGCATACATCTCTGCAGTGACTTAAATTTTTAATAAAGTCATCTGGAATGGCAAAGAAAGCGTTTTTGCAGATCACTTACACACCCCATACTAAATGCTATCCCAAATCACGATTTTTCCTCCATGATAGAATCTTGGGTCTATGCTGGTTCCAGTAGGTCTTCCAATAGGAAATTATTAATATTTTTAATTGGCTACAGAACAAATTACTCTTGTCCAATTACTTGCCTAATTAACCTAACTTGTCTAGTTAATTAACCTAGTTAAGACTTAAGCTTAATACCAGTATCTGGCAAAATAACAAGTCAAATATTACCTACTATTACCATGGCAAACACAAAATAAATGAGTTTATAGATATTAGTTATTAATATTATTACGTCAAATAAATACACCTTCCCTTTATTAAATATCACTTTTTTACATTTCAAATTTTACAAGAGAGGAATGCAGAAGTACAGGCATAATGTAAAATAAAATCAGATTACTTTTCTCTTTTTTTGGAGTTTCATAATATCGTTTTGTTTTTATTTAGTAATATAAAATAAAACAATTAGCATTTAAAAATAGTATAATCATAATAATTTTGAATGAAATGTTATAATAGCAATATTTCTTATTGTTTTTTGTTTGTTATTTATTCATTTATTCATTCATTTTATTATTATTATAGATTAGTTCTCATCTGTCATTTTATTTTATTATTCATTCCTTTATTGTCATTATATTATTATTCATTCATTTTTTTTCGGCTTAGTCCCTTTATTAAAAGGTCGCCACAGCGGAATGAACTGCCAACTTATCCAACATATGTTTTATGCAGCGGATACCCTTCCGGCTGCAACCCACCACTGCGAAACACCCATTTCCTCTCATTAACACACATACACAACAGACAATTTAGCACACCCAATTCACCAATAGAGCATGTCTTTGGACTGTCTTTTGGAAACCCATGCGAACATAGGGAGAACATGCAAACTCCACACAGAAATGCCAACTGACTGTATTTTTATTAAAATTATATCATTCATTCATTCATTCATTCATTTTCTTGTCGGCTTAGTCCCTTCATTAATCTGGGGTCGCCACAGCGGAATGAACCGCCAACTTATCCAGCAAGTTTTTACGCAGCGGATGCCCTTCTAGCCGCAACCTATCTCTGGGAAACATCCACACACACTCATACACTACAGACAATTTAGCCTACCCAATTCACCTGTACCGCATGTCTTTGGACTGTGGGGGAAACCGGAGCACCTGGAGGAAACCCACGCGAACGCAGGGAGAACATGCAAACTCCACACAGAATTGCCAAATGAGCCGAGCGACCCAGCGACCATCTTGCTGTGAGGCGAATGTGCTACCCACTGCGCCACTGCATCCCCATTAAAATTATAACTAAATAGAAATGTATAAATAATCCTCATCAAACACTGTCCTACTTTAATGGAAGATGTTTTCCGCCATTAAAAACAATTGCAATTCTGACATAAACACATAAACCAAGCCAGCACTTAAACCTAATGGTTGTAGCTGCTCGAGGAAGATTATTACTTGAAGACGAGGAAATATTCATCACCGCAGCGGACGGCTATTTCACCATCAACAACAAAGCAATCACCAGTGTTTTAAAGCGCTAATTCGAATCTTTGACCAGTGCTGCTCAGCCATGTCATGTCAACATTTCTCTTCAACTCTGCAGAGACACATTTCCTGTAATTCTCCGTACATGTTAAGATGTTCCTGTATGTGGGATAAGAGCATTGTTTAATCACGGCTCCGCATCTCCATCATGCGCAGCGCTATTAGGCAGTGCTTCAGTATGGATGTGCTTTATCTGCATCTCATAATCAGCACAAATCCTCTGGTTGCTAGGAAGCAGAAGCACTAGAGAACTCTTAAGATGGACTCTAATGACAAGAACAAACACTCAACCTACATGTATAGCTACATAGACATGAAGCATTGTGATTGGTAATCTGGCTAATAACACAGTTATTAAAGGCATAGTTCACTCAAAAATGAAAATGTACTCACTATTTAGTTAACTTCAAGTGGTTACCACATGGTAATGAGTCCTTTAGTTTTCTACAACATAGCCCTCTGGGCTTGGATGGACGCTTTATCCTTAACTTATTACATGGCTGTCTGTAAAACTCGATTCTGACTGGTCAATCGTGTCATACAATGGTATGTTATTCCAAAATAACACCTGCTAAATAACTCATTCGTAAAATTGAAATCACTTTGAGCATCACTGAAAACATTCTGATCCAAATACATACGACTACATTCATATGTACCTGCTTCGCTGTCATGACACTCTTTTTGACTGTTTGCCGCCATTTTGTGAATGAATCATACAAATGTTAATATCATTCAAGCAGTTTTGTGTGTGTCAACTTTGCGTTTTGGACGGTTTGGCGCCATCTTGTGACTGAACAACATGCAAGTTAGTGTATACTATACACAGGCTCAACCTGTGCAGTGCACATGCCCTTTTTAGTCTTGGATAGAAAGTGCCCTTCCAAAATGATCAAAAGTGCCCCCGCGACGCGACACACCCTCGGTCCCCCCCTCTAGTAGGCGCGCGACAACACCGCTCATTAGTATGCACGCGACAACAACCCCCCCGCCCCCCACACCCCCCGCTCTTCACAAAGTTTATCCTGCAGACCTGCACATGCCTTTGGAGGGTCTCTGCACGGGCCTGCTATGATATATATGTTAATCTTTGCTTTATTCAGCCAGTTTTGTTTTTTAGCTTTGTTTTTGACTGTTTGGCGCCATCTTGTGACTGAATAATGAACTTTGTTAAATGATTTATAATGAATTTCATTTTTGTCATCTTTGCGTTTAATTACAGAGATAATAAACATTTACATCTCAGCACAATGTTTTGGGTGTAATTTCTTTTAATGTCTTTGCTTTTTGCCAAATAGCAGTGTAAAAAGTGGGATAAAGTACATCCAGGGGTGCGTTTCCCAAACAACGATGTAACTCTCATACGGCTGAATTATCATAGTACGATGCATCGTTTGGGAAAAGAACTATGTAGTGACAAGTGTTTCCCAAAACCCGTAGTTTCTCTGTCGCAGATCCATCGCTTGAACCACGTAAATTATAACGTAAAACGCCCATAATGATGCTCTAAACTGGGTGGAGTAACAACTTCTTTAGAGAAAAACCCATAATTTAATTGTGCAAATTATGTTGTTTTACACGCACACGCATTTAAAATAAAATCCAATATTAGATTGGGTAAAAGCATGCATTCGTTTTCCATATTAACTGAAAAATATGTAAATGGAACATATAGGGCCTATGTTTGCTTTACTAGTATTATTGAGAAGTTGAACATTACATATTCTATTCTAAAACATCACTTACAAAAGCAATATTCTAATATCATATATAAATCATATAAATAAATACATAATGAGGCTATTTATTAAGAAATTAAATTTAATATTTGTTATTTATTAGAAATGAAAAACATACTTTAATAATATTATTAATAATAATAATAATAACGATGATGATGATGATGATAATAATAATAATTATTATTATTATTAAGTAGGATGTTGTTTATTTATTTATTTTATTTTTTGAAAAGTCTACTTTTACAATTTGAGACATGTAAACCACTGCAGAAATGTTCTAATCAACAGGCCCATGTCATATACAGTACAGATATTTAAAAAAATAACCCACTATAAATTAAAAGAATTAATGTATGCTTTTTGTTTTCACAAGCTTTGGAGACGCAACTTAAATTCCTCTTTTAAATAATATGTCACCTACAGCTTTCGCCATGAGGCTGTGTTCAAAATGACATCTATGTTTTCAAACTGCACTGCGAAGGGACCTTAATGCTTTTTTATTTTTAATAATTCCAACTTTGAATGTTAAAATGTTCTAAATGAATAGGGCATAGGGGGATAAGTGGAAATAGAACACAGCCAGGAACTATGTTTCTAACTACAGCTCCAGAGTTGTAGTTGCGAGTGCTCAAGTTTGCGACGCAGTTTGCAAATGTTCGTTGGAGCAATGGATTTGGCAATTGGCAAATCAACAAACTATGTTTGTAACGACAGAACTAGTGACCTTAAGTGGCTCATGATGATTTTGGGAAAAAAAGCTGTGTAATAAGTGGGATAAAGTACATCTAGGATGGATAAAGTACATCTAAGACAGGGTTTTTCAAAGTCTAAGACAGTGGGCCTCCCTTTTGACACAACTTATCCATTGGCGCCCCCCCTCCTCCCAAACACAAACACACACACACACACACACACACACACACACACACACACACACACACACACACACACACACACACACACACACACACACACACACACACACACACACAAACACACACACACACACATATATATATATATATATATATATACAGTATATATAAAGACACAGACAGATGTCAGACTGTTAACTCACTTTTATCATCATTTGCATGAAAGTGCAATTATTTACAGAGTAATAGGTATTTTAATATAACGTTTTTAAAACTAGGATGATGGTTCAATATGAATAGAACAGATCCAAGAACTGTCCATCCCAGTCAAAACAGTCAAAGTTTAGCGGGTCTCATGCTGTCATTAGCCAAAATATCTTGACAAACCACACATAAAGGTCGTGGTTCATCAGCTGGTCCTGTCCACGTAAATCCTAAACTCAAATACTGATCATCATATCGTCGTCTTTTGGGTTTAAGCCCTGAACTTGAAGGCTTTGAATCGGGGGGTCTCAGAAACCGATCCATTGTATTAGCAGGCATATACCCGTATTGGCAGGCTTGCCAAACAGAAGCGAATTCACAGCTATGGCCTTCTGGGTAAAAAAGGTTTTCTTATTATTGACATATTATTTTTTTTAACTTTGTTTAATCAAAACGTTTAAATATAATAAAAATACATATAATAATTAAACGTAATAATTATATTTTTATTATATAATATTTTTTTCCCGCGCCTCCCTTGACATGCTCTGGCACCCCCCAGGGGAGGCCCGCCTCACACTTTGAAAACCCCTGATCTAAGACGATTGTTTTTGCAGAATAAAGCCCGAAAGGCTTATCTGCAGACCAACGCAAAGCAAACTTCCTCTTAGTTATACTTTACATATTGCATAACATACCTTGGAATGTTGTGACTGAGCAATCAGCATCAAATATTCCAGAGAGCCATGTAATAAGCTTGTTTAACAGACAGACATGTTCAGTGTTTTCTTTTTTCTTCTTTTTTTTACAGTAGATCTGGCATCATTCTCTTCACTTGTCAATATAGCAATGCCAAATGCTTTTCCTGAGGAACTGAATGAGCCGATGAAGTGTGTTTGAGCTGTCGTTAAGGTGTGTTGGCTCACCTGACTGTGGTCGTGTGATGGCGCTCTCGTACACAGGGATTCCCTCACCCACGTTGTTGAAGGCCTTCAGCGTGATCACGTAGTGCGAGTTGGGATCTGGCAGAGAGAAAACCAATCATTTAGCTAATCAAGCCCGCAGCTCCACTGAGAGCGTCAGCCATATTCATCATCCTAGCGGGGGTGCACTTTTAAACACCATTATTGATTCTCGCTCTTGTGTAATTAGATGAATTACCAAAACTTAAATTATGCCGCTTCATCGGATGATTATTTTTCTCTTTCCTTCAAATGTGATTAAGATTGGGTGAAGAGAGGGGTAAATCTCCCACTCTTGAGCACCCACAATCCAGTTACCCAGTTCTGCTTCCTTACATTCTCGTTTAGAGGTAATTGAGCTTCTGTGGGTTCTTCTAAGGTGCTGCTAAGCCTTGGTGTTAGAGCTCATTCACACTGAATGCGTATTTGCTTCTAAAAACACTTGACGCAGCACAATAGAATGAGTTTTAAAAAAAGCGCATCGCAAAGAAAACCTGAACGCGATGTAATAAGCGACAACAACAGACCCATTAAAAATAGAAAAACTAAGGCTGCATTCGAAATTGCATACTTCCATACTATATAATATGCTAAAAACAGCATGTAAGGCGAGTAGTATGTCTAAATTTGTAGTATTTGAAAAACAGAAAGCGAGAAGTACCCGAATGACCTACTACTTCTGGCGAGATTCTGAAGTGTGCATACAATAGGCGCTATGATATCCAATGATGCCATGTGGATAATTCATAAATGAAAGTAAAGCGACACAACTGATGCAGGTAGGTCACAGGATAATCACAAACGGCGGATCTAGTACATCAGAGTTCTTTTTTTTAATAATTATTTTTCACCTTTATTAGATGGGACAGTGGAGGAAAAAGAGGGCAGCATTGGGAGCAGAAAGAGGGGAAGGATTGGCACAGGACCTCGAGCCCAGGGGCGCCCCAATATGATTTTGCTGTTGACATTATAAATTTAAATGTACTTATGTAAATTCCCATTATTTCAATAAATAAATAAATAAAATGCACTGAATTATTCTTGGTGTCACCGACGTAGCTGATTCACTGCCTCCCCTCAGCGCTGGTTCAACGCTGGTGAAAGCAAACTGATGCATACGCGCAGAAAACCATTCCTGTGAGCCTCATGCACTCCTGTTTGCATGTACGCCGATAAAATATGCGCCATGAAACCAGAGTAACAGCCTTTTGTGCAGAGGTGTCGGCATTCAGCGAGTTTTGCAAGTCGACTAAACTAAAGTTTATACAATATGATGATGATGTTACTTTCACTAGTCTTACTCAGGTTCTCAATGGTGTAGTATCTCTGCTTGTAGTCCACTTTGATGGTCTGTGCGTGAGGACTGCCAATCCCATAGCTGATACTGTAACCCCTCACCACGATGTCCTGGTTCTCTGGAGGCGTCCAGCTCACCACAATACTGTTGACCAGAGAACGAACATGCAGAGAGCTCGGGACGTCCGGCACTCTTGACTCTGAAACCAAAGAACAAGCAAAATTACACTTTACTCATCCTAATCAAGCACCTTTTTAAACAAGATGTAGGTCTGTTTATACCGTCCAGATCGCTTTCGAATGTCTCTGCAGTGGTCCAGTCTGTGGCAGGACCTGTGCCGTTGACCGTCATTGCAGATACTCGCAACATATATTCAGTGCCTCGCTGCAAACCTGGAAATATAAGAATACAGTGTACAGTGCTCAGCATATATATGAGTACACCCCTCACAAATCTATCATTAAAATTAATATTTTATATATGATGCCAGGGGCGAGGCAGTGGCGCAGTAGGTAGTGCTGTCGCCTCACAGCAAGAAGGTCGCTGGGTCGCTAGTTCAAACCTCGGCTCAGTTGGCGTTTCTGTGTGGAGTTTGCATGTTCTCCCTGCCTTCGCGTAAGTTTCCTCCGGGTGCTCCGGTTTCCCCCACAGTCCAAAGACATGCGGTACAGGTGAATTGGATAGGCTAAATTGTCCGTAGTGTATGAGTGGGTGTGTGTGAGTGTGTGTGGATGTTTCCCAGGGATGGGTTGCGGCTTAAAAAGGGCATCCGCTGCGTAAAAACTTGCTGGATAAGTTAGCGGTTCATTCCGCTGTGGCAACCCCGGATTAATAAAGGGACTAAGCTGACAAGAAAATGAATGAATGAATATATGATGCTTTACAATAGGTGCGATGCGGGCAAAAGAAACCAATCCCGATTTTCTTGAACAATATTGTAATTTCAATTTTAATCACGATTTTGACACACACAGACATTTTACAGTGTGAAACTGAAACATATTTCCAAAGGAAAACATCTTTATCAAACACCTGTTACATGTCTCTAAAACAGACATAAGGCAAAAAGAAAAATAAAGATCACCTAGTAAAGGTGTAACAAATTGTCTCTAGAACAAACCTATGGTGTATATGTGCTGTCAAACTAAAGTAAGGCTCACATGTTCTGCTTGACCACATATTAGAAGTAGTTGCGTACACTTTTCTGCGTGTCCACAGATTTTTTTTTGCCATGCATAGGTCATAGACCTCTTTGTGACGCTGCTGTGAAATAGCTTCCGTCTTTTACCCGCACAGTCTGTTATTTCCAATATAGACGCGCTGCTCTGCATATTGAAAGCTATCAGTGCGCGTATTCCAGGCGCACGCAGTTGAAAACATCTCTTTTCAGACAAACTTTGAATGCAACTTTTCAGAATGCTGCATGGCTAGTCATGTAAACAGAGCTGACCGATCAGCTTCATACTTTGTATGGAATACACACATTTGGTAGACTACTGTAATTACTTCAGACAAACACAGGACACCCGGACACCCAGTGCTTTTAATTTTCTTCATGAATAAATCTTGTATCGGAGCTGCCGCAGTGTTTTTTTAGTTTGTCATCCTTTGAGAAAACAGTTGATGGTCGCTGAGCAACGACAACGGAGCGCTAGTGCAATGCGTGTTGAAAATGCTGATAGAAGCTACACACCTCGTTCTTTCCACACGCTTTAAGACGTAATATATGACGTTACATCATCCTTCCTAGTTCCAAAGTAATTCCACACCACAGATGTTGACTTTTTTCGGCACCAAATCATCATCATGCAGGCTATTAGTCATTACGCTCAATCTTGTGTTCTCGCGATTTGTTTAGGCTTGCTGCGTTATGATTGGTTCAAATAGCATACTTCGGGAAAATCAATTAATTTAAGATTTGCGCATGTCCAAATCGCAATTACGATATGACTTCAATTAATCGCACAGCCCTACTTTACGATATTATATTTATGCATATCCATTAGGTTAGTCAGCACTGAAGCCAAATCTAAAGCTAATCAAACAAAAAACTAAAAAAAGAATGAATATTGCATAGGAGGGCGAAAAATTTGGCCCTCAACTGCAAATATACTATGAACTGATTTGATGAATTGACACAAACTAGAGGGGAAATTGATTCTGTATATTTTTTCCATGAGACATCAGGAACATGTTTAGTTTCTCACAGATGTGGGAATGCCTGCTGTCTTTAAATCAGCCAGAGGTTGTAATTGCTTTAAAATGTTAATAAGCATCTGCTCAGTAAAGAGTGTTGAATGCAAAAGGCTACAGCCTTCTGGGAGAATGAGACTCGCGCCTTCACTTCAAGCCTTTGAACTAACAAACATCTCTTCATCTCTACTCAAGCGAAACAGAAAACAGCCATTTATGCTCTTTGAAGCCGACCACAGCATGACACAGTTGAAATCTACTTTGAGTTTAATTTAATGTTCACTTTTGTCTCATTAATAGATAGAGTTTGTCACTCCAGGCTCTATTTTAATAATTCTTTTTGCAGGATCATCCATTTTAGAGCATCTCCGGTGGTTATTTTACAGCACACTTAGTCTGGTTGATATTCCAGATGGAAAGCATTGGTGTAAATGAATAAAAACTTGCTCAACCAAAATGGGATACATTTATTATGATACATTTCATATATATAAAATTATTAGCCATCCTGAATTATTAGCTCCCCTTTATATTTTTTCCCCAATTTCAGTTTTTTTTTTCCCTCAACACATTTATAAACATAATAGTTTTAATAACTCATTTCTAATAACTGATTTATTTTATCTTCGCCATGATGACAGTAAACAATATTTGACTAGATATTTTTCAAGATACTACTATTCAGCTTAAAGTGACATATAGAGGCTTAGCAAGGTTAATTAGGTAACTTAGGGTACCATTGAATAATGATGGTTTGTTCTGTAGACTAACAGAAAAAATATACCTTAAAGGGGCTAATAACGTTGTCCTTAAAATTGTGTTTAAAAAAAAATTAAAACTGCATTTATTCTAGCATAAATAAAATAAATAAGACTGTATCCAGAAGAAAAAATATTATCAGACATACTGTGAAAATTTCCTTGCTCTGTTAAACATCATTTGGGAAATATTTAAAAAAAGTAAAAAAATTAAAAAGGGGGCTAATAATTCTGGCTTCAACTGAATATAAGCCAATTGCCTTAAAAGAAACAAGTTGATTTTATAAAAAATAATATAAGTAAGCCCATTGTAACTTGGAACTGTTAAGCTCACTTAATTTTTAGAATTATGCAAATTGTACTCACTTAAAAAAAAATAAAAGTAAACTAATCACTTTTTCTAATACACATTTATTATATTTGTTTTTTTCACAGCTTTTCTGTATCTAGCAAAATGACAGTAACTAAAATAAAGCTGCTCTTCCAGACTCTAGTATGTCTTTTAAACTCAATACTGGCTATAAGTGTAGATTTTATAAACTTAATGAAGCACCAAATTTGTAATAAACGCATTAATTATTTGAAAACAGAAGTGCTAAAATAGTCTGACACTGTAAAAAGGAATTGGTTGACTTTAAAAAGTGAGTACAATTTGCATAATAATAAAATTTTAACTTAACAGTTTCAAATTACAATGGATTTACTTGCACCATTTATGTAAAGTCAACATGTTGCTTTTAAGGCAATTGGTTTACTTGCTTTAACTAATCACTTTTTACAGTATATATATATATATATATATATATATATATATATATATATATATATATATATATATATATATATATATATATATATATATTTTTTTTTTTTTTTAAACATATATATATTGCTTAAGGGGGCTAATTAAAAATAGTTTTTAAAAAAAAAAAAAACTTCTTTTATTCTAGCCGAAATAAAAGAAGACTTTCTCTAGAGGAAAAAAATATAATAGGAAATACTTTGAAAAATTCCTTTCTCTGTTAAACATCATTTGGGAAATATTTGAAAGAAAAAAAAAAATCACAGGAGGGCTGATCATTTTAACTTGAACTGTATATAAATGGCATTGTTATTATTTTTCAAATATTTACTAAGTGACATTTAACCATGGGCGCAAATCACAGGGGGGGGCAAGTCTTCCCACATCAGAGGGTTATCCCCTCCCCAAATTTAAAAAATAAATAAATAAATAATCGCACTCTCAATTATGAAAAATATATGTATACTTAAAATAATTGTGTACGTAGAACAAAAGCAATCACAAAAATGCATTTAGAAACAGTTGAGTTCCCCCTCCCCTTCCTCCTACTGCCTGCTTTCCCAGCTCATCTCACCTACTCTACACATAAAGTACGACTAGAGTCAGGAGTGCAGCTGCAGCTCAGTTAATGTTGAACTCCAGTAAGTAGGGAATTTTATTCAAAGTAAATAAAGCAATTCTCTTTAATGTAGTTGATGCAGACTAATTCATAAATTAGCTGCGGCAAAAATGCTAATTACCAATGTAATTTTTCATGAATCTGCTGTATTAGCGATTAAAATATGATCTATTTATTATTTATACATTATCTAGTTAAAATTAGTTTGTTTACAGGCGGTTTTTTTTTAATTTTCTTATTCCTCTTACATGTCACTGTAACCTTGTAATGCCTTTCACAATGGCAGTGCTTGTAATAAAGGTATACAGAACCTTTCTTTTATCACACACTGAACTGTTCACTTTTTATGTGTATCGTATATCTTGAGGACTTTATGTTTGCAGACTGTTAGCTATGTATATCTTCTGTTAAAGCCACAAAAGGGAAAGTAGTGTTGGGGATAGGGTTGTAACGGTATGAATTTTTCACGGTATGATAATCGTCTAAAACAATACCACGGTTTGACGGTTTCGCGGTATACGGTATGTTACAAAATAATAGAACAGTGAAGCAAATTTGACTTTTTCCAAATAATATATTTTCAGTTACTATAAACAACACTACTTACAATGAACAAATAAAAAAATAATAAAATAATAAATAATGTGTCAAAGTCCAAATAAAGTCCAAATAAACATGGTGCAAATCCTCAGTAAAAAATAGATATAAATATTTACTATACTATAAATAGTTACATAACGAAACTAGATTCAATATGGAACATCCTTAGGTTTTATGTGCCAGCATGGATATGGTTGTCTATCGATATGGATTTGGATATGGTTGTCTGCAATGCAGACAAACAGCCGCACCTTCATTTGCGTCTTTTGAAAACAGCAAGAGCAGCAGTTCATCTTTGCTGTGTCACTGTTTTGTCATGTTTCTGTGCTGCTGTGCATGCAAAAGTACTTAGTATGAGAATTATTTCATGCAAAACTTTTTTTTTTGCGTTTTATTTAGCCGCGCATAAATGTATGCCTTTCTCTCATTCCGTGTTGTTCAAAAAGCTTGGTCCACAATCAAAAGCGAAACCTATGCTTATTGGTTGTGATATAGCGAGTTTGAACCAATCTGGGCATGGAGGAGGGACAATGCATCAATGTATCATGTCTGATTTGTCCGGAGACACAGTGACGAGCGTTTCTTTGTCAAATCAGCGTTGTCAAATGTTGATGACGTAACCGCACTGATTCCGGAGCCTCTGAAAGTCCGCAAATGTTATGTGATACAGCACTGGAAAGCCGAGATTCTCTTCTTTATGCCAATCTTTGAATTGTATGAATCGGATCAGCGGATCAAAAGTTATTAAACATTTAAGAGCAATACTTATTTTTAGCCGCGGGCGGCTGTCTCGGTCTTTAAGGGTTAAAACCGTTGATATGCAATTGTTCATGGTATGATAATCGTGCACGTTCAAATCGTGGTAAACCGTCATACCGGTATATTGTTACAACCCTAGTTGGGGATATTTGTTTATATATTTTGTTTTGTTGTTGTTGATTGTTTGTCTTTTTTTTTTTGTGCAAATGTAAAAATAAAAATCCTTATAAATAAAGTATTAAAAAAAAAAAAAAAATTAGTTTGTTTACATTAGCTTGTTGCATAGTGCACTGCAACTAACACGCTAACATGTTTTATTTGTGACGACTTGGCATATTATTAACTTAACATTAACGGACACAATTAGCATATTGTTTAGCTGTGCATTTACCAAATGACCACTGTGCTATGACCGAAATGACCCCAGAGTGGTTTTTTTTGTAGATTACATCTTGATTCTGTTCTTAAGTGTCATAATTTTAAACATTTTTCTTAATTCCTTATTTTTATTATGAGAAGCATGTCAAATCAACTGAAATATCAAGTGAAAAAAGATTCATCTCTCACCAGCTCTCCTTGGCTATCTCTGACTGACCAACTGGCCCACCCACCCCCTTCCCTAAACAATACTAATGACAGAAGCTAAGTTTTTTTTCACTGTGTGGACATATCTATATACATAACATTTGACTGTATTGTTTGTGTCCCCATGAAAAATTGCTCATGATAAATGAAAATTTGTATCGTTTATTAAAGAAGTTGACAGGAGGGCTAATAGGATTGTCTTTAACTGCACAATCATTGGTGATATTGAAAGAACCTGTCAGCTCTTCTGAGACTGAGAGAGGGTGTCCATCTTACCATCTATGAGCTGATAAAGCTGTGATCCTGAAGTGATCTCCGCCACCTCGCTCTTCCTCGTACCCTTCCTGTAGCGGATCTTGTAGCCTGTGATCTCTCCGTTCTGGGCATCGGCTGGTGGAGGCTGCCATCTGATCATGAGGCTCTGCAAAGTGAAGACATTTCAGTATCCTACATATTGAAGTTCTTTTTAGAGCACAGGTCTCAAACTCCTGGAGGGCCGCAGCTCTGAACAGTTTTGCTTCAACCCTAATCAAACACAGCTGATGCGACTAATCAAGGTGTTCAAGACTGCCGCACACTAGCAGTCTTGAACATCTTGATCAGTTGGATCAGATGGGTTTACTTAGGGTTGGAGCAAAACTATGCAGAGCTGTGGCCCTCCAGGAATTGAGTCTGATACCTATGTTCTAGAAAAATAAATACACTTATGCCGAGTTCAGACTGCATGATTTTCAAAGTAGTCGTGTCACAGATGTTTTCACACTGCATGATTATCTGGGCTTGTGTTTCGTCGCTGCTTTGTTTACACTGCAAGGTGGATCGGCGACAGGGACTTTCACATTGCATGACTTTACTATAGGAAGAATCGCCGACAACTTCGTCCAAACTACGTCTCACAGCCAAAAACACGTAGTATATCTTTTGTTATTACCTACATAATGAGAAAGAAGCCTTTAATGGGGTAGAACATGTACATGTTTGCTCACCTGGGTTTAAAGGGAATTAGCAATTTCTCCTCAACGTTGATAATAAACTAATTTCTTTCTGTATGAACCGTCAAACAGACACAGTTGCTCCTGAGTCCTGTCAAACCTCCACTAGTTTTTCCTCCATTTCGTGGGTCCAACTAACCGAAAAAGAGCGCTTTTAACTTCTCCCCCAGCCTCCCGCTGGCCTGCAGCAGGTATACACACACGCACACACAAGTGAAAGCTGTTCTCTGGCTGTAGGCGATGGCTGATGTTATTTTCAGTCAAAACTCAATTCACACGGTATGATTTGAATCGCAGACAGCTCCAGATATTTAGCACGACAAATATCTCACAGGCATCAGCAACTCATCGGCGATTCTCTCAGATTGCGTCTTTGAAAGTTCATACTGTATGATTGTCACTCCTGTGCACGAGCAGCGATTTGCCTGTGATTTCAGGCATTTGTCGGCGATTTCTCAAAACCTGTCGACGAGCCAAAATCGGGGCTAAAATCATGCAGTCTAAACTAGGCATTAGTCTCATTCACTAATATCTGCATGCGTTTTTCATACTTGTATACACATTTGAAAACGTTCCACCTAATTGACACTTGCATACGCACATGGGTTTGTTCTGAAACTAGTTCTTCTGTCAGTGAATTAGGCGTGTTCTAAATGAGCGGCCACGTGCACAAGGTAAGTTATTTGCATAATACCCACCCAAACCACCTCCATATAAGGTCGTGTGGCATTTGTCCAGAGAAAGACAATTATGGAACCGAAACATAAAGATAAAGAATAAATAACAGTTAGAATATGAATAACTGTAAAGAAACTATGAATTGATTTCATTTACAGAAATGCTACTGAGCAATTCCAGCGTTATGGATGTGACGTTTGCAGTAAAAACTCAAAACATAAATTCGCGTAGAAAGTATATGCAGACATTATATTGAAACTTCTGTTTATATTTTGCAGAACAACTGACCACAGAGTTAAGGGACCAAAAAAGTGTTAATCTGAAACATATTTTATACTTTAAAGGGCACCTATGGTGAAAAATGTACTTTTCAAGCTGTTTGGGCAAACATATGTGTATATATAGTGTATAGACCACCATATTGGGGTGATATAAACACACCCAGTGCTTTTTTTTTTCAATTTAACAACATAAAAATGGTGGACCAATTAGAGCGGTTTTCAGACCGACCGCAACTTTACGTAGGAGTGCGGTCCCCCCGCCCACCGAATTGATTGACAGCTGCGCTCATTAACATGTTCCGGTAGTCACGTGTATATGTCAACAAGACCAGGCAGACATACGCAAAGCAACCGGGAATAAAAGGTCTGTTCTGTTCGCTAGGATCAGCAATCATCATCAAATGTGATTAAGAGTAAGTTTCACATGTTTAAAGTGTTTTAAAACAGAGTATGTGTGTAATTAATTACAGCGATTTACTTTAGCTTTACTTTATCAGCACAGGCGCGTGTCAGAACAATTATAAAAGAAGACGCTTCAATCCCGGTTTGTGGAAGTTAAACGATATTGTGTGTGACTCATCAATGCAACTTCACAATACTGATTAGTAAAGATTAGTTCTTACTGTAGTAATTCTCACAAACGCTACGTGAGACCTTCTTCCTTAAAGTCTGTCTGTTGTCTGACGCAGCCGATGGAGGAGATTAAAGCACGCGGGCAGTCATGTAGAAACAGTAGGCGGGCAGAACTCGCCTTAAAGGCTCAGTACAACAAAACCACTCCCTGCTGGAAATCAGTATAAAACAGCATCTTTTATAAGGTATAATGAAAAATCTGATGGGTGTTTTGAGCTGAAACTTTACATATACATTCTAGAGACGCAAAAGACTTATATTAAATCTGAAAAAAGGGGTAACCTAGGTGCCCTTTAAATGAGAAAAATAAACACGCGTAATGGATGTAACAAAAAAGTCTGCGAGTTTACAGTCTCCAACATACTTTGTAGAAATTCTGTGAATTAAACTGCACAACTCAAAAGAAATAATGATAATCGCAAATAGAAGAGTTGGCTCTTTATAGAACAAACATGATTGGTTTTATTTTATTTATTATTTTTACATTTATGAGGAAAAAGTGTCGTTATGGATGTAACATCTCTCCGTTACAAATGTGACAGATGTGAAATTGCCACTAGTGTGACTTTGGTAAATCAAATTTAATAGTTTGAAAACACTGACAGATGAATTTTTGAGTATTTCTAAAGCACTGTAAAATACTTGCACACACAAAAAACCCAGAAACGGTTTCTGTATTTTAGTGAAAAAATTATTTTTTTTTTTTTGTCAAGGTTGACATTTGCATGGAATTGCTCTACTATATTGCATAACACAAAAAATAATGAATAGCATTTGAATGTGAGATTTGACTGTCGGAGGTGGAGGCCTGGAAAATATATAAAAGATGAAACATTGTTACATTTATACAAATGTACCTCTAATTATACTGTATTATCCGCCTGATCTCACGAGAAAATTTAAGTATTTTACGTTTTGTCAGTTTAGTGGCTAATTCCTACGAATTCATATAAGTCATACCAATTTGTATGATTCTAAAAATGAGGCATGCCACCCCACCCCACCCCTAAATCCAACAGCCATTGGGTGATGAGCAAATTGTACAAATTAGATCGTACGAATTTATACGAATTAGCCACTAAATAAAAAAGTTACAAATTGCCGTGAGATTGTGTTATTTGTTTTAATCCACTTCCACCGGTTTGAAGTAATCTGCTACTATGCTGACACATAGGCTATTGTAGCCCCGCCCACTTTTGAAAAGCGCACATCTCTGTTGAAACTTCACATACACACTCTAGGGACATCAGAGACTTCTTTTACATCTTGTAAAAAGGGGGAGCAATTGGTCATCTTTCACTTTGTTTCATTATCAAACACACTGTATCAGAGGAGAATTAGTGCCGTCATTTATTCAGCACCTCCTCCTGGAGCCGACATACAAAGTCAGCAGAGTAACAAGCCTGAGTGCAGGAGTGAAACCCCAGTCACTGCCTCCCTCAGGCCTGCAATAAAGATCCTCCACATAAAGCATACAGGGGTCTATCAGTCCTGCAGAGGGCATTGGGCGAGCAGCGGCGTCTGGGCCACAGCGAGCCCATGAATAATAGATAAAGCTGAGCGGTGTAGGGGAGAAGGATGGATGGAGGCGGTTTGCTGCGGGGCCTGCCATGCACACTGGGATAATGAAGGCAGAGAGAGGGGCCGCCCAGCGTGGGTGGGGAATTAATTAACAGTATCCACAGTTGCGGTGTTGGTGGGTCGCGAGGGAATAAACCCCAAATTAAATCCGCGCAATTACTGTATTTCGTTTTCCGAGCGATTCCGGTTTACCTCGCTAACTACTGCATGTGTTGTTTAGGCAAACAAACTTGTTTTAATTGACTTATGGGTCACATGGGTGGTGCCTCGTATAAGTCACTGTGTTCATTATACGCACCCTGATTGAATTTGCCCGTCTGCTGCGTCGCACCCCAGGGCTGCGCGAGGGGGCCGACGCAGACCACGGGAGTCCACTAATTAAGCATCTTCTCATGCAACACAACCGAACCAGAGGAAGAAGAAAGCGTCTGTCTGGGACGTGAAGCCGTCATTATTATTCAGTGCTAATTACTGAGCCATAAAACCTATTACAGGCCTGAAAGTGTGTGTGTGTGTGTGTGTGTGTGTGGAGCCATAATGCAAATAGACTGCAAAACTGCTGTGAGCTGTTTGTCTTCTGGGATTGACATTTATTGTTTTTGCATGTCGGCCCACTGTGGCTAGTGGTTGCCCAGAGTTGAGCAAGTTTCCACAGCATTTTCACTGGCCACAATTCTGGTAAATTCATTCATTCAATTTCTTTCGGATTAGTCGTTTATTTATCAGTGGTCACCACAGTGGAACGAACCGTCAACTATTCTGGCATATGTTTTACACAGCCGATGTCCTTCCAGCCAGAACCAAGCACTTGGAAACACCCATACACACTGACTCACACATATGCACTATGGCCAATTAAGTTTATTCAATTCACCTATAGCGCATGTCTTTGGCATGTGCGGGGAAACCAGAGCACCTGGAGGGAACCCACTTTAACATGGTGAGAACATGCAAACTCCACACAGAAATGCCAACTTGCCCAGCCGGAACTCGGTCCAGCAACCTTCTTGGTGTGAAGCAACAGTGCTAACCACTGAGCCATCGTGCCACCATTCTGGTAAACGTATCAATCAATTATTTTGAATGGATCAGTTATGTCTATATAGATTAAAAACATGTGATTCATGGAAGGCTTTCCTTTAAGCATGAAATCACAAACAAAAAAAACAAGAAACCCCTGAGACTGTGTAACTCGCATGACTAGTCACAGCAATAAAGCGCAGTTCACAAAGATGGTGTGGATCCGCATGTCTGAATCCCCCCATTACTGGAAGCGATGTGTACAAAATGACTTTTGTTGTACATTTTACTATTTAATATATGATATATTCCCCATATGTGTATACAGTGCATCCGGAAAGTATTCATAGCGCTTCACTTTTTCCACATTTTTTATGTTACAGCTTTATTTCAAAATGGATTAAATTTATTTATTTCCTCAAAATTCTACACACAATACCCCATAATGACAATGTAAAAAAAATGTTTTTTTTTTAAATTGTTGTAAATTGATTAAAATTAAAAAACCATAAAAATTCACATGTAGATCAGTATTCAAAGCCTTTCTCAATACTTTGTCAGCAATTTTAGCCTCAAGTCTTTTTGAATATAATGCCACAAGCTTGGCACGCCTGCCTTTGGGAATTTTTGCCCATTCCTCTTTGCAGTACCTCTCAAGCTTAATCAGGTTGGATGGGAAGCAACGGTGTACAGCCATTTTCAGATCTCTCCAGAGATGTTCAATAGGATTTAGGTCTGGACTCTGGCTGGGCCACTCAAAGACATTCACCGAGTTGTTGTGAAGCCATTCCATTGATATTTTGGCAGTGTGCATAGGGTCATTATCCCGCTGGAAGATGAACCATCGCCCAAGTCTGAGGTCAAGAGCACTCTGAAGCAGGCTTTTATTCAGGATGTCTCTGTACATTGCTGCATTTATCTTACCCTCTATCCTGACTAGTCTTCCAGTTCCTGCTGCTGAAAAACATCCCCTCAGCATAATGCTGCCACCACCATGCTTCACTGTAGGGATGATATTAGCCTGGTTATGAGCAGTGCCTGGTTTTCCCTGTAACGCCAGGCATTCACTCTAAAGAGTTCAATTTTAGTCTCATCAGACCAGAGAATTTTGCCTCTTATGGTCTGAGAGTCCTTCAGATGCCTTTTGGCACATTCCAGGCAGGGAGTGGCTTCCGTCTGGCCACTCTACCATACAGGCCTGATTGGTGGATTGCTGCACAGATGGTTGTCCTTCTGTAAGCTTCTCCTCTCTCCACAGAAGAACTCTGGAGCTCAAACAGAGTGACCATCAGGTTAATGATCACTTTCCTAAGGCCCCTTTTCTCCGATCACTCAGCTTAGATGTCCGGCCAGCTCTAGAAAGAGTCCTGGTGGTTGCAAACATCTTCCACTTACGGATGATGGAGGCCACTGTGCTCATTGGAACTTTCAGAGCAGCAGAAAAGTTTCTGCATCCTTCCCCAGCCTTGTGCCTCGAGACAATCCTGTCTCGGAGGTCTACAGACAATTCCTTTGTCTTCATGCTTGGTTTGTGCTTTGACATGCACTGTCAACCCTGGGACCTTATATAGACAGGTGTATGCCTTTTCAAACCATGTCCAATCGACTGAATTTACCACAGGTAAACTCCAATTAAGCTGCTGAAACATCCCAAGAATGATCAGTGGAAGCAGAATGTACCTAAGCTTTATTTAGAGCTTCACACCAAAGGCTGTGGATCCTTATGTATTTTTCAGGTTTTTTGTTTTTAATAAATTTGCAACAATTAAAAAAAATTTTTTCACATTGTCATTATGGGGTATTGTGTGTAGATAGTAAGGAGGAAATATTTACATTTAATCCATTTTGGAATAAGGCTGTAATATAAATAAAAATGTGGAAAAAAAGTGAAGCACTATCAATACTTTCCAAATGCACTGTGTATGTGTGTATGATATATATACTGTGTGTGTGTGTGTGTGTGTGTGTGTATATATATATGTATATAACATGTATTTAATGTTAAAATAACACTTGATGCATTTACATGGAGCATTTGAATTAGTTTAAAAGACCAATATGAATAAAAATGTTCCATATAAACATTTCAATTGGAATAAAAATTCCTGTACTAAATGACTATTGCTATTAGTTTGAGAGTGGTGGAATAAACCATTGAACCCACTTTATCAAGATTTGTCATACCAATGTATTCTGCACAGCCCGAAAAAGCATCTCTGTCTGCATGTACAAATATCAAACATGTTTGTGGTGATACATACATACACACACATATATATATATATATATATATATATATATATATATATATATATATATATATATATATATATATATATGGGGAAAATATCATATATTAAATAAGAAAAATGTCAAAATGTCAAAGAAAAGTCATTTTGTACAAATCTCTGCCAGTTTTAGAGGGATTCAGTACTGCAGATCCACAGCATCTTTGTGAACTGTGCTCTGTGCTCTACTGCTGTGACTAGCCATACGAGTTAAACATTCTCAGCGGTTTCTTATTTGTGATTTCATGTCTAAAGGAAAGGCATGATTCACATGCTTTAAAATATATTAACAATAACTGATACATTCAAAAGAATTGATTGATACAATTAACGGAACGGCAGAACGATGGTTCAGTGGTTAGCACTGTTGCCTCACAACAAAAAGGCCCACAGTCCAAATACATGCGGTATAGGTGAATTAAATAAACTAAATTGGCCTTAGTGTATGTGTATGAATGTGAGAGTTTATGGGTGTTTCCCAGTGATGGGTTGCAGCTGGATGGGCATCCATTGTGTAAAACTTATGCTGTATAAGTTGGTGATTTATTCTGCTGTGTCGACCCCTAATGAATAAAGGGACTAAGCCGAAAGAAAATGAATGAATGAATGAATGAATGAAGTGCACAAATAAATCCCTCTTAAGGACAAAGCCTAATTTATTCCATAAATAAACAATAAAAAACAGCAAACAGCTTTAATTTCACTGTGACTTTATGGCTAAAACTCACTGCTTTGTTCCACGTCTAAGGATGTGCGACAGCAAAAGTCACGCGTGTTAAAGCAAACCCCATGAAATAAGAGCTAAATGCAATATCACAACCCGAGACACTTGTCTGTATATGACTAGAAGCACAAGCAGGCTCATGAATAAAAACAAGAGGAGGAAGACTCTTATTCCCCGGCAGCAAGACAAATAGAAATTGCATGTTGAGAGAGAGGGGGAGGTGAGCAGAGAGGAAGAAGGAACGAGGATGTAAAGCTTTGTGACAGCGCACAGATGTCCTGCTCCTTGCAGTTAAATCACAGCAACAGATGAGCATCTTCATCAGGACTACAGTACAGCTGCTGACACACTGAAGCCATGAACTGAAGTCTTACCTTGGAGTTCAGCACTTCCACCGTCATGTTCTGCGGAGGAGAGCTGGGGACTGAGCACACAGACAAGAGAATTAGTTTTGGTTTTGTTTTACCCCAAAAGTATATTATAAATTGACTTCAGCAGTGTGTAAAAATCTTGATGGTTCTTTGGGTTTCGGCTATAAAATCTGATTTTAATTTTGATTTTTCTATTGGCTTCAGATCAGGTGATTGGTTGGGCCATTCTAAAGCTTGCTTTCTTTGATCTGAAAGCATCTGAGAGTTTCCTTGGCTGTGTTTTGGATCATTGTCTTGCTGAAATGTCCACCCTGGTTTTATCTTCATCCTCCTGCTGATGTAAAGGTTGGACTGAAGCAGTAAATATTAATTTGCAATGAGGAAAGGCAGAGGGTTGCTGACAAACTACTTAGAGATTTCAGCTGCTGTCTGGGCTTTCACAGCCTTTCTACACCTTCATTTCTTCATGTATTCAAAACTTTTTCCCCTGCATCATTTAATTTTATTATGCATAACTTAATTTGTAAACTAATTAGACTTGTTTTCATTGCATATATGGATTTCTTTGGTTGTTACGCACAATGCGGGGAAAGGCAACTTTAGAAATATGTTTTCTGAGAAAAATGGTGACGTGTTTTTTCCCGCTGAATCTCTGTCCCAAACTTTAAGATGAATTTCTTTGGTGGCAGGGGCTATTTCCAATTGTAAATCTTAGATAAAAACTCTCTATTACTTTTATGATATGCTCGCTATGTACTGTAAGATGTCATTGAGAGCGTTGAAAGGCACCTATAAATAAAAGGTATTATTATTATGACTGACTTTTATTTAAATTATAGGGGGGGATACAAACTTATTTTGAAAAATTAGGAATCAAACAAATGTTTATGAAGGAGAAAAAAGAATTAGTTACCAATATATAACTACTAATAAATACTAAATAAATAGGGCGATGCAGTGGCGCAGTAGGTAGTGCTGTCGCCTCACAGCAAGAAGGTCCCAGGTTCGATCCTCGGCTCAGTTGGTGTTTCTGTGTGGAGTTTGCATGTGCTCCCTGCGTTCGCGTGGGTTTCCTCCAGGTGCTCCGGTTTCCCCCACAGTCCAAAGGCATGCGGTACAGGTGAATTGGCTAAGCTAAATTGTCCGTAGTGTATGAGTGTATTTGTGAATGTGTGTGTATGTTTCCCAGAGATGGGTTGCGGCTGTAAGGGCATCCGCTGCGTAAAAATGTGCTGGATAAGTTGGCGGTTCATTCCGCTGTGGCGACCCCGAATTAAAAAAGGGACTAAGCCGATAAGAAAATGAATGAATGTACTAAATAAATAAATCCTAATTTAAATTTTAGTCATTCGTGGTATTTTCAAGACTAAATATTTTTTATATTTAATTTATTTGCTCATAAATATATCTATTGCCTGTTTATTTAAGTGTTTTTTTAATTGCTTATAAAATAGGGTTAGTTATATTGTAAATAATATCACAACACTCAACAACAATATCATATATTGTATATTTTCACGCACTATCGTGCAGCCCTAGTAATGACCAATACATGTTATATATTTATGCTACCTTTTTCATATCCAGCCAATTTTGGGAAAAAATTGAAAGCTGTAAGAATCATGGCCTAGGAGGACTTCGGTATTAATTTTACAGTGGACATAAAACTTTAACAGATGGCTAGAAGCTCACTAGTCCCTGGCTGAAAGAACAGTAATAACTACAAAATACAGTTTCATGAGGGGCCACAAATCTTAATGCCAAATCATTTTTTAGTTTTCAATTTACTTCTGACAGGTGTAAAAATAAAGTGAATTTTGGACCCTGGTGTTATTGACTCTGTTGATGTAAGTACAACAGGGTTATAGATGATAGCTGCTTTATTGTTGGCATTGTTTATTGTTCTCTGTGAAGCTCTTATTAAGATCACTCTGGAAAAACAACAACTGCAGGGGGTTTTGGGCAGAATGGAGGAATCTGAGAAGAAGGATAAAAAGCAGAAACACGGGATGTGCTGTACCATCAGAGTATGTGCGCACTGATATGTCCTCAGTGGAGACTCCCGGTCCATGTTTGTTATAGGCCACCAGTCTGAAACTGTACTCCGTGAACTTCTTCAGGCCAGTCATGGTGTAGGACAATGTGTTTACATCCAGATCCTGATCGAAAGATGATGGATATTAGACATAGACATAGTGGTGCAATGAATCATAAGTCTTATGGTTTAGGTGACATTAGGCTTGGATCAAACCATATTTTAAATCAGCAAAAAGGGGAGGAGACTAACGATATTTGCTTTCCTCTTATTACAAAAATAATACCGCAAGAAACTTTTGAGGCTTTTTTAGTCAAGAATGTAGTTGTTTAGATCGCAACTATGCAGATTATTTGTAAGAATAGTGCCTATTTTAAAATATTTACAATTTCTGAGAGAGCTCGTTGGCGGCCATTAGCCTGCATAAAGTTGACCAAAGACGGTTGACGTTTTCTATCTACAAGACTGCAACAGAACCGCATAATAAGTCTTACGCTTAGAAGATATAACAGTCTGATTTCTAACTATAGCAGATCAAATCAATAATAAACTGGTAAGCATACCTGCCAACACTTCCGTTTTTCAGGGAAGTATCCCGTATTTCAGACCATTCTCCCACAACCATCCTGTTTTTGTTTCTTCCTTAAAAACTCCCATTTCATGTCACGTTCAGCCTTATAATCTAAGTTAGCAAAATTAGCAAGAGAATCATTCATACACTAGCTCTAAAGTGACGTTGGTGAATTAGTAACGACTTCTGCTGTTTCGACGTGAGATGCAGATGTGAATGAATGGCGGAAGAAAGTAGTTCCTAATAAAAAGGGGTTTTTAGACTCTTCGTGTTTGTTTTTCCAATTTACATACACGATTGTGCCGTTGAACTGTTGTATAAACGCAATATCACACTTGTAGCAGCGCGATATAGCTGTATATCTCCACCTACGGCCTCGTGTCAACGCACGCCTCCCACCAGTGCTGATATACAGCCTTATTGCACTGCTACTTGTTTGATATTGCTCACATGTTTCTTGCGGTTATATATATATATATATATATATATATATATATATATATATATATATATATATATATATATATATATATAACCGCAAGAAGCATGTGAGCAATATCAAACATATATACATATAATAAAAAAGGAAAATTATCAATATTGTGAAAAAATCTTCCCTAATGTTGCTGATAATGCCAAATGTATAACAACACAACAACAACACAATTTTTGTCTCATATTCAATTAAAAATTCGATAATTCACCCAAAAAAACGTTTAGTTACTAATACAGTAAACATTTTTCTATGGATGGTTGTCGCCACCTACTGTTTATACAATGTAACTGCTACAACTTTCATTTTGAGCATTAAGTTGCATCAAAATGTGAATTTAATCTTTGACATAAACATCAGTGTTTAACTCTGAACTGTAAACTATATATAGAAGAAGTCAAAATAATTAGTCCTCCTGAATTATTACCCTCCCAGTATATTTTTTCATTCAATTTCTGTTTAAAAGAAAAAGAACAGTTTTTTTCAATACATTTCTAAACCTAATAGTTTTAATAACAAATTTCTAATAACTGATTTCTTTATTTTCTGTGCCATGACAGTACATAATACTTTAATAAATATTTTTTTAGGAAACTTCTATACAGCTTAATTACTTAGCTAAACTAGGTAAATTAAGCAAATTAGGGTAATGAGGATATCACTGTATAACGATGGTTTATTCTTTAGCCAGCTGAAAAAATAACTTAAGAAGGCTAAAAATATTGACCTTAAAATGGCTTTAAAAAAATTACAATTTATTCGTTTTGCTAGCATAAAAATACAAAAAACATGACTTCCACTGCATCAACATTTGCCAGCAGTAATGCAACTGAAGCTCAGGATACAAAGCTGCTCTGTGAACATTTCACATGCATTATCAAACATCACAACACATTTGATATGATATTAGTTGTACCTGTTCACTGTCCATGCCCTTCTCCATGTAGTAGATCTTGTAGTTCTGGATCTCACCATTGCCTATAAGAGGCACATCCCAGCTGAGACTGACAGTGCTGGGGGACATGACCACTGCATGCAGGTTTGGAGCCGGACCAGGTACCTGGACTATTACACAGGAACAACAAAAATGAGTAAAACAAGATTATGAAAGTACTGTATTATATGATATGCTATAATAATAGCTATAATATTTTATTATAATATGAATAAAATTGTATTATATTTATTATTTTACTTTAATTCAAAATAAAATAAAATTTAATTAAATTTGGGTTATGTTTTATTACAAAAAATCTTTGTCTTCGCTGATTCGTTGACTTAGGGATTTTTTTGTATAAATAGTTGTTTATAAAACCCAATTATTAAAGCAACATTATTAAATTTATTTTTTTCATTTATTTATTAATTTATTTATATTTTGCCTGAGATTTTATTGCAACCACTATTACAATATTTTATTATTATGTTTATTATTTAAATGTATTTTTTTATTTCTTTGCAAAAAAAAAATGATTAAAAGCATATTTATTTAATTTTATTTTTTATTCTTTTAAATATTTTTTTATTATACAATATATATATACATACATACATACATACATACATACATACAAACATATATACATATATACATATACATACATACATACATACATACATACATATATACATATACATACATACATACATACAAACATACAAACATACATACATACAAACATACATACAAACATACATACATACATATATACATATATACATATACATACATACATACATACAAACATACATACATACATACATACATACATACATACATACATACATACATACAAACATACATACATACATACATACATACATACATACATACATACATACATACATACATATATATATACATACATACATACATACATACATAAATACAAACATACATACATACAAACATACATATATACATACATACATACATATATACATACATAAATATATATCTGCTCTGGGCGATTGCCCATATTGGCCATGCCAAAATCTGCTACTGATTTTATTTGACAAGTTTTGCCTCGGCTTGGTTAGCACTGTTGCCTTACAGCATGAAAGTTGCTGGTTCGAGTCCCGGCTGCACCAGTTGGCAATTCTGTGTGGATTCTGCATGTTCTCCCCGTGTTGGCGTGGGTTTTCTCCGGGTGCTCCGGTTTCCACCACAGTCCAAAGACATGCCCTATAGGTTAATTGAATAAACTAATTTGGCTGTAGTGAATTAATGTGTGTGAATGTGAATGAGTATGGGTGTTCCCCAGTACTGGGTTGCAGCTGAAAGGGCATTTGCAGCGTAAAACAAATGCTGGAATAGTTGTCGGATCATTCTGCTGTGGTGACCACTAAAGCACTAAGCTGAAGGAAAAAGAATGAATGTCTGGTACATGCACCGATGCTTTGGCAGTATTGTTTGCAACACAGTCACGGCAGTGAAGCACTTTGAAACTGATTGAGTAGCGAGTGTTTTCTCTTCTGTGCTCAGCATATGACAGTGTCATGTGTCTACAAACACCTCTAGCAGAGAGCAGACTTACACACGCCAGCTCGGCCTGCAGGATTGACGTGATTTCATTTGCTCAGCAGAGCGGAGAGAATGGAAATGAGATTCTATGTTGCTTAACTTTTGTTTACTTGCTAGGGTCATGAATCATTACATTCAATTACAGGCTTCGATGAGTGTCCGTTAAATCTGTTGCTTCCAACACGCTCGCAACTGACATGCCTTCAGGCTTTCATCATGCACAATCATCTCTACATTACATGACATATAATAGAATTTGAATAGCACTGACTTGGACAACTGGGCAATTTTAAGTAAGTTGGCAAGTAGTCATTTAGAAGACACTTTAATTCAGTAAGCTAATAATATGAACAATAACACTGGAGTTTCCTAGCATTAAATAGTATTTCCTTCAACAAAACAAAACAAAAACCATGTGAATACTACTAAAATATGTATATGCATATCGTGACATAGACATGCATATCATGTGCGCACAATGTATGTATTGCGGCATATACATATTGTGTGTGCACGACATATGTATCGCTTTCCCACAACATAGTATTGCGTTCGCATGACATACATAGTGACAGACATGCATATCATGTACCCATGACATATGTATTGAGGCATAGACATACATATCATGTGCGCGCAACATATGTTTTGTGACATAGATATACATATTGTGTGCACAACATATGAGTCTTTCGCAAAACATAGAGCAGCGTTCACATGACATACATATCATGTGCACATGACATACATATCATGACATAGACATACATATCATGTGCGCAAGACATGCATTGTGGGGTGGAAGGGGGGATTCTTCAAAAGGAAGATGGCTGTCATATAGAAGTGGTGTAGGAATCGTCTGATTAGTAAATCATAAAGCAATCGTAAGCACATTATCATCTCGAAATTACTTTATAAATAAACTTCACTAATGTTAAATAATTACTTTGACATTTAAATATGATGTTCAGCTTTAATAACTAAATTCTTAGGATGCTTAGCGATACTCGGTGTACAACAAGCAGAGATGTATAAAGTACTAGAGAGCCAGACTTAAGGAAAAGTACAGGTGCTCTATCAAAAAAGTGACTTGAGCAGAAGTTGAAGTGCTCTTCAAGTATTGTGTAATGTAGGTATTAAAGAAAGCAGTCAAAAGATATCATATTGTTTTGTTTATTTTAAATATCGTATTTTGGGGCAGGTGATTTAGCAGAACGAAAAGAATCATGGATTACGATTTTTCTATAAACTAGGATAACGTTTTTCCACAGATCTGACAGATTATAACAGCTTTAACACACACCTTTTAAAGTTGTGTATCACAAAAACACTCAGTAATCCACCCAAAACGCTGTTGAAACCTATTTTCGCATCGCTAATTACATATTGTAAACGCTGTATGGAAGTTCTAAACATTCTAATGGAAGACGATGGTCGCTATGGCGCCCTCCATGCAGCAGCCAAGAAAAAGGTCTATGATTGTAACGAGTAGGGGTGTGAATCTACACTGGTTTCACGGTTTGGTTCGGTTACGATTATCATGCCATCGATTCGGTTTATTACGATATCTCAGTGCATTGACGATGCTTTCCATACATAATTAGATTTTTTCAGATTTTAGATAATTTAGATTTTATTAAAATCTATAAATATATTTCTATATTATTTGCAATACGATTTTCTTCTTTAATACAGCAGTAAGACATATGAACTATACCTTTAATTTGACCTGCTCAAAGAAAACACTCTTTCTGAATGTATCAAACAAAACTCTAATACATGCACAGAAGACATCATGAGCATTTATTGCAAATAAACTAATGTAAATATTATCACGCTTGCTTGTTGAGCGCTGACAGGCGAGGTCTTACACCCCTATGACTGGTCAATGTCTTCACCTGCTCAACAGAAAGGGCTGCAATTGGCTTTAGAAATGAAAGCGCTGTTCACCGATGGTGCGAAGAACATGCGTGGTTACAGTCTATATGCGCTTTATATGCGGTTATCACAGGTAATCCATAACAGACACTGTCAAAAAAAACTGCACCCTAGGCACGCTTGTGTCTGGATCCACAAGTATCGCTTTAACAGCCAAGAGGAGAGGAAAAGTTACCTCACAAACAGGCCAGCGGTTCAAATGTCCAAAGTGACAGAGACCAAGGAAAAGACGGAGCTTTACAGCATTTCTACATAGTAGTGAAAACGCAGCTCGTGTGCTGTGAAAGACTGTCCAGCAACCTCACAAGCAGTTGAATTGTGCACAATTATCTATCCCTTTTAAGTAGTAAGAGCGTTATTTGCTCGCCTTTGCCTCCTTCACCATAGTATTCTACTCCGAGATCGCACATAGGAGATAAATGACGTCAGTACGTAATAACCTGTTATGATCTACTACTGAACCGATATCAATAAATTTGACAAGTAACAAATAATGATGCAGCACATAATAAAAAAAGTAAAAGTATTAAATTCATCGAAAATATGTACAATAGTAAAAGTGGAAGTAGGAGAAAAAAACAATACTCCAGTAGAGAACAGATACAGAACAGATACAGCCTTTTAGTACAAGTACAGTAGTGAAGTAGTTCTACTTCGTTACTATACATCTCTGACAACAAGAAACTCCAGTAAACAGTTTGTTTTGCTTAAATCCAAGTTGCCAGCCGCTAAGGGGAAAAGACAGAAAAATGTCCTTTCTGAAGCATGATAATCTCGGATGCCTACAGTACATACACGTCATGACAAGAGTAGCATGAATGGATTTTGAGTTTAAATAGAGTACATCCTCTGAGCCACTTCACCACACATCTGCAACAACGCTTTATCAACGCTCATCCAGTAACGCTCACACTGATCCATCCTCCGCGTTCAGGCTTAAGCATAAACTGCATTCAACATCTTCATGAGTCATTGGGCAAACTTTGATCACGCGTCTCTGGCATCTTAAACGGCTGACGGAGAAATCGCTTTATCTCAGTTCCACAGACATCCATTCAATCCAACATCAACACTGCTTTTGATACCCATGTTTTACAGCTTGGGACGGGGAGCGCCTACACCGGATTAAGCGTGTATGACTTGTGCTCAGATTCATTCATAATGTTCTCAGTTATATTTATATATATGTGTGTGAGGCTGATCTCCACACAGCAGGAGTCCCGAGAGTGCCAGGATCCCGCTAACACACATTATAAAGTGCTTATAGCCATCAGAGCCAAGGACACGCAGAGGAGCCGGTCTGACCCAGAAACAGTTTGCGTCTGGGATGATCATGTTTCACGTTGATGGAGTCGGGCCATACACCTTCAGAGACGCGTTTGCTTTAAAAGCCAGCAGGTGTTTACTTGTGCTCCCTCCCCTACAGTATATAATAAGATTTTAAACTGACATTGAGGCATCGGAGGAGTTTGAGAGACGAAAACCTCCAGAGGAAATGTTCACAGAGTAATCTCTTAGGCCCAAAACGCACTCTTGACAAGTGTGTGAGTGTATTTCATGCCTTGTTGCCTTCTGGAACGTTGTCGGAGTGTAATTTGAAATGCAACTGTGTCAGTAAACATCAGATTTTAAATACTTCATAAATCTCATCCGAACGCATCTCCAGTTGAGGCCTGTTTACTTTAAGAACGATAACTATAATGATAACTATATTAGGGTGAGGGGTGTAAATTTATGCCCAGACATAATTCTATTTTATACCCCTACCCCTTCATCTTGCCATTGGCCCTGTGTAGGGCTATGGACATAGGCGGAGGGTGAACAAACTCCAGGGTAAGGCTAATATACGCGCTGTCGTTTAATGCGCTTTAAAAAAAATTTGCGACCGACAAAGAGGTTTCAACAAAAGCACCGTCTATCAACAAACATGTATTATACATGTATTAAATATTCAACATGCACATTAAATTATTTTATTAAAACTAACTCACTGACCTACACTGCTGGTCAAAAGTTGGGGGTCAGTTTATTTTTTTTTTTATATTAATTTTATTTAAAAATTTTATTAAAATTATTCTGTCCATCAAGGCTGTATTTATTAAATATATATATATATATATATATATATATATATATATATATATATATATATATATATATATATATATATATATATATATATATATATATATATATATATATTTTAATTTTTTCATATTTATTAAATATTTATTTATTACTGTATGTAGTTACAAATGAAAATATTACTACTTGTTGCTTTTATTACTATTACCATTAATGATAATAATAACAACAACAACAACAACAACAACAATAATAATAATAATAATTAATATTAGAGTGATTTCTGAAGTATCATGTGACTGAAGACTGGAGTAATGAAGCTGATTCATCTTCAAAATCACTGGAATAAATGATTAAATTAAATTATAAACTACTTGAGCAGTTATTTTATAGTGCAATATTATATTATATTATATTATATTATATTATATTATATTATATTATATTATATTATATTATATTATGTTATGTTATGTTATATTATATTATATTATATTATATCATATTATATATATTATATTATATTATATTATATTATATTATATTATATTATATTATATTATATTATATTATATTATATTATATTATATTATATTATCCTAACCATTTGCTAACATTTAAGCTAACTTTTTTCATCAGCCAATCAAAAAACAGGTACAATATGTAGATGTTTTAGAAATAGAAGTCTTACCTTCGGGCTGAGTTTCGACCTTTAGAGGCACTGAACTCTCTCCAGGGCCGTTTTTGTTGTGCGCCACCACACGGAAGGCATACTTGGTGTCTGGCATGAGGTTCTGAATGGTGACTTGCATTTCTCCTGGACGACTGGTGTTTACGATCCTCTCCCTGTACAGGATGAGCGCAACAAACATGATATGAGAATGAAACAGGAGATCACTGCTGAATCCTTGATTTTTTCTCCAGTCAATAACAATTCATAGCGAATAGGGTTATTAATATCATACAGAATGGCATTATAAATATTAATAAGAGCAGCGTGTGCATAGAATCATCAAGCAGCAATGAAAAAAAGGCTTCTTGGAGGAAGAATTTCCCAAAAAGAATTCATCACATAGTTATGTAAAACTGCATTTATTATGTATTAATTATTCTATTTTATGGTTGTTTTTCGTTATTTTTTTATATATAATATTACATTTAATTACTTGAATGCAATTTAAGCCTCCACATAAAATGTAAATATATTTAAATGACAGATAAGGCACAAAATGTGCTTTATCATAGTATGTTAAGTTTATATAAAGTGTTCGGCATAATTGAGCACACCCCATTTTGAAAATAAATATTTTTATTTATTTCTCAGTAAATATAGACAATATATTTTGGTGCATTTAAACAAAACAGATTTATTAAACATTTATTAAAATGATATTTTAGTCACTGAACATATTTAGAAATTGAAAGGTAATACAATTAAATTCAAACCAAATATTGCAAAAACAACTTACATTTTTTTTGCTTCTTTTGATTTTTCCTTATTTTTTAAATTATATTTAATATTTTTCTATGAGGCGACACAGTGGCGCAGTAGGTAGTGCTGTCGTATCACAGCAAGAAGGTTGCTGGGTTGCTAGTTCGAGCCTTGGCAGGGTCAGTTGGCGTTTCTGTGTGGAGTTTGCATGTTCTCCCTGT